TCCACATCGCTGAAAAACTCTTATCAGAGATGGTTACAGCCGTATGAGGAATATCTACGTGTGGCTAAGCCGGGGGTCCAGCAACAACTGGAGCTTGAGCATGGTGGTCCATATACGCCATCGCCCCACCCGTCGCCTATGCCAAAGAAACCAGCTCCATTCGAAAATGGCACCCCTTCGACAACGCCGCAGCCGATAGCAAGCGCACCTGTCCTTGCCCCAAGGGAGGTGGAAGCGACACCAGACAAACCCACTCCACCGGTTGAACCTACACCGCCTCGGCCGATTGCTTCCGGTTTCACTGCGGTTAACACTTCCGGTGGCTTTACTGCCGTCAACCGGTCTCCATCTTTTGTGGCGGTGAATAGCGCGCCGGCAGTGAAGCGTGAGGCTGATAATGGCTCACTCACTCCCAAGAGTGTGGCCGAGCACCCGGGCAATGGTCACGGCGCTCCGCCCATGAAGCGCGCGATCAGCCACGAGAGTGGTTCGCAAACGGAGAGCGGCGAGCTCGATGCAAATGGCCGTCGCAGCAAGCGTCTTCGTAAAGGTATTTGTCGCTTGCCTGCGAGTCATTTGATCCTAACTGACACAAACAGACGCGCCTTTGCCAACTGTCTCTGGGTCTCATATGAGTCTTCTCCGCCCTGCTCCGCCCCGGCAACGCAAGACGGACATTCGGAAAAATGGAGATGTAAGGCCTTCTTTGGTGAACGGCTGCAGAGCCTTTGCTAACTAGTAGTCCTAGAAATGTGAAGTCTGCGGTAAATCCGAGGACCGGCCATCAATTCTGCTTTGTGATAGTTGCGATCATGGGTATCACAAGTCCTGCCTCGACCCACCTCTCACCACAACTCCCGAGTACGATTGGCATTGTCCCAAGTGTCTTGTTGGCACAGGGGAGTTTGGATTCGAGGAGGGTGGGGTGTATTCGCTCAAGCAGTTCCAAGAAAAGGCGAATACATTCAAGCAAAAGTACTTCGCGTCCAAAATGCCCTTCGACCCTGTCCTCAACACTCACAGACGCGAGTCTGAAGATGATGTCGAGCGTGAATTCTGGCGCTTGGTGGAGAGCTTGACAGAAACCGTTGAAGTCGAGTATGGTGCCGATATCCATTCGACAACCCATGGAAGTGGTTTCCCTACGATTGAACGCAACCCTCTCGATCCATATTCGGTTGACCCCTGGAATCTAAACGTTTTGCCATTCCATGGGGACTCGCTGTTCCGCCATATCAAGTCCGATATCTCTGGAATGACGGTTCCCTGGGTCTACGTTGGTATGTGCTTCTCGACCTTCTGTTGGCACAATGAAGACCACTACGCGTATTCGGCCAACTACCAGCACTTTGGTGCCACCAAAACCTGGTATGGCATTCCTGGTGCCGATGCAGAAGCGTTTGAAGAGGCAATGCGACAAGCCGTCCCTGAACTGTTCGAAGGCCAGCCGGATCTTCTCTTCCAGCTGGTCACGTTGATGCCACCCGATCAGCTCAGGAAAGCTGGCGTTAGGGTCTATGCTCTCGATCAGCGAGCTGGACAATTTGTCATCACCTTCCCTCAGGCATACCATGCCGGTTTCAACCATGGGTTCAATTTCAATGAGGCGGTCAATTTCGCTCCGGCTGACTGGGAGCCCTGGGGCGCCAGGGGTGTTCTGCGCCTGCAGGACTTTCGGCGACACCCGTGCTTCTCGCATGACGAGCTGCTCCTGACAGCTGCCGCCCGCGATTCGTCCATCACCACCGCCAAGTGGCTAGCACCAGCTCTGCAGCGTACTTGCGTAAGGGAATTGAATGATCGGGCCGCCTTTGCCGCACGCCATCGTGAAGTCGCACCGCACAAGTGCGCACTGTACTCCGAGGACCCCGCAACTGGCGACTGCCAATTGAAGTTTGTTGTTGAGGAGGAAGACCTTCCCGAAGATGACTACCAATGCCAGTACTGCAAGGCATATACCTATCTCGCGCAGTTCAGGTGCCGGAAGACGGGGAAAACCGTGTGTTTGCCACACGCCGAAACCTACGACTGTTGCGGAGAATCACTAACGCAACGACTACTGGGACCGGATCACGTACTGCGTTACCGCATGAGCGATGAGACCCTAAAGGCCGTGGTGTCGAAAGTCCAGGAACGCGCCAGGATCCCAGAGGCATGGGGAGAGAAACTCGACAAGATTCTAGAAGACGAGCCCAAACCCCAGTTGAAGGTCCTCCATAACCTACTAAGCGAAGGTGAGAAAATCCCATACCATCTGCCTGGTCTCCCAGATCTCGCGGCCTTTGTCCAGCGCTGCGATAAATGGGTTGAAGAAGCAACCAATTACATTACCCGCAAGCAGCAGAACCGGAGGAAGAACGAGAAGGCGTGGCGCAAGGGTACTTCCAAGGCTGCGCAGCTGGAAGAACGTGATCGTGAAGTTCGCAGAGTAGAAAACATCTACGCCCTTCTTACAGAGGCTGATAAACTGTCGTTCGACTGTCCACAGATGGCGGCACTGGAAGAGAAGACCCGCGAGATCGAGAAATTCCGCCAGGACGTTAACGCTGCCCTCATGAACCCCCACATCCGATCGGTCCAGGAAGTCGAAGATCTGGTGGAATCCTCTCGCAATTTCAACGTGGAAATATCCGAGGTTGAAGGACTAGAGCACATCCTCCGACAAATGAAATGGAAAGAAGAAGTGCGCCGCAAGCGCGACCAATTTTTGACCCTCAAGGACTGCCAGGAGCTGATTCTCGCCGGCGACCAGTTGAACTTACCAGACACTAACGACCACCTGATCTACCTCAAGGAACTCGCTCGTCTGGGTGAGGCCTGGGAGGCGAAGGCCAAAGAACTAATGGCCGTGGAATCCGTTCACTACCAGCAACTGGAGGCTCTCTCTGCGCAGGCGTCTCGCTTCCCTGTCTCCCCCGAGACCCTTGCCGCGGTAGATGCCATATTAACCAAGCAACGCGAGGCGCGAAAGAGGATCCAGACCCTATATGAGAAAAGCAAGGACCCAGATTACCGGAACCGTCCCAAATACAAGGATGTTCGAGAACTGATGGAGTCCTTGGAGGGATTGAACAGTCGGCCAACCGGCGCGATTGACCTAGAGCGGGAACAAAAGCGCCATGAAGACTGGATGCGCAAGGGCAAGAAGCTTTTTGGCAAAGCCAATGCTCCACTGCATATTCTGAAATCCCACATGGAGTATGTGGAGAAGCGGAATTCCTATTGCTTTGATCTGGAAGATCGTTGCCGGCCTCCTGTTGAGCCTGCCTCGCGAGACAACAGCCCAGATGGTCTGCTGGAGAGTAATCCCACTCCCAGCATGTGGGGCGGGGGGAAATCACGCAAGCGAGATGTGTTCTGCATCTGCCGACACTGCGAGGCGGGCATGATGATTGAGTGCGAGGTCTGTCATGAGTGGTAAGTCTACTGAGATTTGGTTACTCTGGAGCTTAATTTAACACTGGCCATAGGTATCATGGAAAGTGCTTGAAGATTGCCCGTGGAAAAGTCAAGGAATTCGACAAGTACACTTGCCCGATTTGCGACTGGCGACAGAAGATCCCTAGAGATGCTGCTCGTCCAAAGCTAGAGGACCTCCTCGAGTGGCAAGCCGAGATCCCCGGTCTGCCGTTCCAACCAGACGAGGAAGAGATCCTGGACAGTATTGTCAATCAAGCAACCACATTCCGCGATTTCCTTCAGAGCTTCACAAATGCTGCCTGCACGACTACCGAGGAAGTGCCTACGCTGATCTTCTACTTGCGTAAAATCGAGGGAGCGGAGGTTCTGTTGGCGTATGAAACGAATTTCTTCCGTCAAGAGATCCACAAATGGGCGCCTGTTGCGCCTGAGGCCCCGCCGATTCTGGAACAGTCACTTTCCACCCGCAAGCCTCGTCCAACCAAGCAGCAGAAGATCATGGCACAGCTTGGCCTAGAGCGACCCGAGGATCTTCCCCCGCATCTACGCCCTAAGCAGCCCAACCCAGTCAAACGCAAGTCCATTGATCTCACTACGGGTCGGCCTACCCTGCTTCAGGCCTCTCCCGGCGGCGGTGACGGTTCCAATTCGGAGTCAGGACCTACCTTGACCATGGGCGATCCGCAGAACCCGCCGTATCCTTTCTCTGCTAGCTACACTCTCTCTGCGTCTGACTCGACGCCGGCATTTGCGCCGGGATCCTCAGCTTTCTTGCCCCATGTCTCCTCGGCAGACTCGCCGTCGTTCCCTCCTCGATCCCCTCCCCTCCATCATTCGGGTCTGGATACGTCTCTGTTCAGCTCTCCTCGGTATACTCGGGACCATCACGACGGCCCTCCTGGGGTTGTTGACTCTCAGGATCCCTTCGACAGCAGTCCTCGGCAAAACCTGGACGATGTGTTTGCCGATCTCACCAACCAGGACACCGAAGGAGATCAGGAGCCGGAGCCGGAGCCGGAGCCCATGGAGAACACCCATGCCAACGAGGCACTGGAGGTTCTCGATGTGAGCAACGGCGAGAGTCATTCCGATCTTCCGGATGACGAGTCTAGTGATGACAAAGTCAACGGTCACGTGGATGTGGACGACATCGAATAAAGCGCGCTTTCTTTTTCTCTTCTTTCTTCATCCTCCCTTGTTAGATCCCTTGACCTTGCATTCAGGCATTCGGCGGCGTTCCGAAGTTTTCATCTGGTGGTTTTCTGTGTGTGGTTCATGAATGAGTAACGGTGTTGACGTGTCTGGGGTTTGATTTCGAGTACTACGGTGCTTTAATACCTGTTGTTATGGACCGGGTGTATTAAAAGGACCAGGCGAGCAGGGTCTCATACATGCGTTTTATTTCTGTTTGTTATCAATGGCCTGAGAGCCCGATGTACAATGTCAGTTTTCTATCTCATGGTATTATCAGTTTCAGAGTGCCCTCGTAGTTTTCATTACCCGACTAGTGCATCTAATCCAGGTCTTGATCTAGGCTAGATGACGCCACGACAGTCCATCAATCCTCAGAACTACATGAATTACTCCACATCCGCATACGCACTCAACGCCGATTGGCCCCCGGTATGTATAAAGAGCACATTCACCGAGTCGGGCTCCTCAGCGGTCTTCCCAGTGTCGGTCATCCTTCGCCGCCAATCCTCCTCCAACTCGCCCGTTCCCACCCAATGCATCATCGCCCGCGCCACCTTGGCCGTATACACGGGATCGAGGACGACGGCCTCCGTGCGCGCCATCATATTGATTGTGTGCTTGGTCTCCGGATCCAGCACCCCATACCCGGCGCCCACGAACCGGTCCTCGAGCGTCACATCATCCGCCGTGACATCGCGCTGCGGATCCAATCCGATCCGGCCGGCCGCCTGCCGCGCGAACCGCAGCACGCGCGCCTCGTGGTAGGCTTTCGGGCTGGTGGGGGATGTGAGCACGCCAATGATTTTCCGAGGGGGTCGGGGTCGGGGTCGTTGCTGCCCTGCTGCTGCGGTTGCTGTTGTTTGGGGGTGTTTCGCTATCTCCATCTTCTCGAGCAACTTGAACCCCGCGATCAATCCGCCGAGGGTACTCCCGCTCCCGCAGGCGACGAAGATATAGTCATACCGGAATTGGGACTTCTGCGAAGAGGTTTGGGGGTTTGGGGCATTTTGGGACTCCTCCTCCTGCTCCTCCTCCTGCGCCGCAATCTCAAACGCGCAGCGCGCGTACCCCAGTCCGCCCAGGGGATGCAGACTGGCGCCCGAGGGGATCCAGTAGGGAATTTTGCCGTGCTGGGTGCGGAGGGTGTGGATGATTGCGGCGATGGGGTCATCGTCGTCAGCTGTGCTTGCGTCTTCGTCTTCGTTCTTGGTCCGGGGCTCTGCGTCTTTTGGGGCAGCAGCAGCAGCAGCAGCAGCAGCAGCAACATTGGCCGACTCGAGCAGACGGATCTCTGCGCCGAGCAGGCCCGCGATCTGGACGTTGCCGGAGCGCGCGAAGGCGCGCGGGTCCGGGGCGGCGCGCCATCCGCCGCCGGTGGTCTTGTGGAGGAGGAGCACGGCGTCGAGGCGGAGGTGGTTGGCGAGGGCGGCGACTTGCACGGTGTGGTTGCTTTGGAGGGCGCCTTCTGTGACTAGGGTTGTTGTTTTTTTCGTTCTGGTGGTTGATGATGGGGGTGGTGGTGGGGGCGCACTCCCCCGCTCGGGGCTGGGGCCCAGGCCCCCGTATTGCGGGGTCGGGGAGAGGATGTCCGGGACGAGGTATTCGAGTTTGCGATATTTGTTGCCGGCGCTGGCGAGCGGGGAGGCTTGGTCTTCGCGTTTGGCGTGTAGGGTTATTTTGTTGTGGGTTGGGAGGAGGTGTTTGGTTAGGGCGGGGAGGGGGTGGATTGGGGAGTGGTGGGGGTAGAGGAGGGGGTGGCGGGGGATTTGGGCGAAGGGTGGGGGAAGATTGAGATGTGGCATTGTTGTTTGTGGTTTATTGTGTATTGCTTATTGGTGTTGGATGTGTTTGGTGTAGCGAGGTTGATATTGATAGTATATATGGATGTCTGTGTCTCCGTTTCGGGGTTCCATGTAGAACTAGGATTGGAATTGAGGTTTGCCAGGAAGTTGAAAAGAAGGGGGATCCGGTGGTTCTCCCCCGGGACGGTACCCTGGCCCAAGTACTTAGGATTGAGGTTTGCCAGGAGGTTGAAACGAAGGAGAGTCCGGGGGTTCTCCTCTGGAAGTATGTATCTTCGGACTTGGATTGAGGATTACTGGGAAGCTGAAAAGAAGGGGGGTATATTGGCCCAAGAACTTAGAACTGAGGTTCAACAGGGAGCTGAAAGAAAGGGGGGTCCGGGGGTTCTCCCCCGGGAACGGACTGGAGGAGGATTGTATTGGGTGTAGTGGGATTGGGAGGGTTGATGGTTGTTTTAGAGGGCGTAGTTGTAGTTCTTGGATGGACACGATGGCGGTGAGATTCTGCCGCCATGATGTCTTCCTGGCCATCCAGTCGGTGAGGGGAGAAGTTATCGTTATCGTTATCGACATCGACATCGACATCGACAACAGCGTCCTTCGTTCGCTGCAAGTCAACGTCCACTCGGCTCATCATGTCAGCCCTCAACCGGAGTCTCTTCGGATTCCTCGCCCAATCCCTCCAAATCCACCACCGGTTCCTCGCCGGTCGCATCAGCCGCCCGGAGGAGACTCCGATCTACGTCATCGGCAACCCGTCGGCGGACGTGGACTCGATCATCTCCGCGCTGGTGTACGCCTACTTCGCCCATCCACGGCCTCACGTCCCCCTCATCAACCTCCCCGACGTGCCCTCCGGCTCAGAACTGCGACGTCTACGCCCGGAATTCCTCGAAGCCCTGCACCTAGCCACGCACCCCGTGGCCCCGACTGAGCAACCATGGGAGATTGAGGCGGACACCACCCCGGACCTCCTCCGCAGCCACCTGCTCACCGTCGCCGACTTCGCCGCCCACCTCGCCCAGTCCACGGTTGCTGACAACCTCCCCGCTGTCGACGCCGTCCTGGTCGACTGGAACGCGCTGCCCAACCGCTCCCCCTCCCCGAAAGGCCACGGCACGCTCCCGGGGCTCGAGGCGATCACCTTCAACGTCGTGGGCTGCATCGACCACCACGTCGACGAGGACTTCCTGCCGCCCATCGCGGCCGACCAACCGTTCCTCATCCAGCCCACGGGATCGTGTGTCTCGCTGGTCGTGAGCATGCTAGAACGAATGGGCCGGTGGACGCCGCACCCTCTCTCCTCCTCCTCCTCCACAACCCCACACAACCCAACCGCCGACCCCACTCCGGACGTCGAACTCACAACCGCCGCCGCGCACGAGCACCAACTCTCCAAACTCGCGCTCGCGCCCATCCTCATCGACACAGCCAACTTCACCGCGAAAGAGAAAGTCACCGACACCGACACGCTCTCCTACAGCTTCCTGCGCGCCAAGATCAATAGCACCAACTGCCAGCAGCAGTTAGGGTCAATCGCCGTAGGTATCTCGTCCGGCGAGAAGCTGTGGGACCACCACGCGTTCTACCGGCGGATCGCGACGGCCAAGGAAAACAGTCTGGAGCTATTGACGGTGGCGGAAGTGCTGGGGAGGGATTATAAGGAGTGGGTTGAGGTGCCTTCCTCCTCTTCCTCCTCCTCCTCTGGGGATGCTCCGGGGGGTAGTAGCAGTAGTAGTAGTAGTAGCAGTGGGGATAAAGACGCCGCCGCAATCAAGATCGGGATCTGCTCGGTCGTCAAATCCCTCCCCTGGGTGATCCGGAAGGCCAACAATTCCAACTCCAACTCCGCGCCCGAAGTGTTCCTGGACGAGCTGGACGCGTTTGCCCGCCAGCGGGGCTTGGATATCGTCGTGCTGATGACGGCGTTTGCAGGTCCGGCTCCTGCTTCCCCTTCTCCCTCGTCTTCTCCGGGGACGTCACCACGGAAGGAACGGTTCCACCGCGAGCTTTTCGTCGGGGTGCCCTTTTCAGTTGGCAAACGCAGGGATACCGCCGTCGCGGCGGCGGAGGCGTTCGTGCGGCGCGGCCGCAAGGCGCTGGGGCTGGAGAAGTGGCGGGCGCTGCTGGACGAGGACGAGGCGGTCGGGCAGGTGTGGTTGGATTGCGTGGCGCATGAGCATGAGCATGATCACCACCTCAAACACGGAAATATGTGGAAGGGGGTATGGGTGCAAGGCGATGTGACCAAGAGTCGGAAGCAGGTCGCGCCGTTGGTTAGGGAAGCGGTCTGCGCTGTCTAGTTTTGGCGGGATCTGGGGCGTTTTGACGGTGTATTGTATATATCCCTCTTACAGGTAGACAGAGCTATGATATAGTATGGTAGAGTATAGTATGATATAGTGTAGTAAAGTGTAGTATAAATCACTAGTTCCCTGAGGTTCATAGTAGATGAAAGTAGTAGAGTATAGTGTAGTATAAATCAATTACTCCCCTAGATCTATAGTATATTATATTATAGTATAGTATAGTATAGTATAGTAAGTCTCCTACTAATGCCCTAAGTTTTGATTAAAATGCAAAGATTCATGTGTGTATCTATGTGACCAGCCGTAGATCATTCAGACATCATACAATAGTACAAAGTACAAACAAACCGACACAAGAAGTACAGGTAAGGTGAGGTAAGTAAGGGGAGGTATGCAATGCAACGTTTTTGCTTGCTTGCTTGCGTGCTACAGAAACAAAAAAGAATCAGAACAAAAGCAAAGCCGAGTAACGCCGCACAATGGGAATTATGATTATATAATTCCGAAGTGAAGGGACACAACACAATCCCAGATTTCAGGATGCAAAGGGAGCAAGATTCCGAGCAGAACAAATAATAATGTACATCCTGCAGCTGTGAGAAACGTGCTGCAGAGTGTAGATGCAAGTACAGTGAGACAAATGCAAGGCGAAAAATGCAAAACCCACCCCTGGGGCTCAGACGATGCGATCTATGCTGGATGTAACCATCAAAGGTAGAAAAAGGATATGCATGTTTAGTTGGGTTGCACAGGATTGGAATGTAATGCAACAGCCGGGAGAAAGTCACTGAGGGAAGGTAAGGCCGCGATGGCTACTGCATCAGTAGCATTCCCATTCGCAGAACACACACCATCGCGCAACGCGGTCGGCGAGAACCAACCCCCGCCAGACACCCCGTTCCCCGATCTTGATGACCGTCTCCCACACGCTGCCATCCGCGGTGGCATCCGTCGCGGAGTCGGCCAGGCTGTTGGAGCTGATCATGTGGTCGGCTTTGCGCGTCAACCGCAGGATCTTGCCCGACGGAGACTGGATGGCCAGCTTGGCCGGCTTCTCTCGCCCAGACAGCGAGCGGCCGGAGGAGATGGCCGACGTGGAGGCCGAGAATTCGTTCGAGACGGCGGAGACGGACGATCCGCCCGCGGAGCTGGACACCATGCTCAAGGCACTGGCCGGCCGCGAGTAGACGGATGGCGACACCCGACCACCACTGACCCCGAGATCGCTGCCGCCCGGTTGGTAGGCGGACGAAGCGGGGTGTTGGCGCACGGCAAACACGAAGGTGTTGCTCACGGCCAGCTTGGCGCACTGGGGCTGGATGATGTATAGATCGTGCCGTTGGGCATGAGGGGTCGGATGGCGTAACACGAAGTCGTACGGCGGATTGTCTCCCGTGTGAATGATGGGAAGGGCAAGAGCCAAGGGATGGGGGATGTCTCGGCTGGAGTGCATGAGCCCCTTCTTGCCTGCATAGATTTTGACCATGCCTTGTCCCTCATCACCCGGTAAGACCGCCTTGACAGTGATTCGTTTCTGTCCGTTGATCCAGTCAGGCTGGACGAGAGCCCGTTTGCGCACGGTCTCTCCGTTCTCGAAGCAATCGCCATCCGCATCGCAGGCGAAGCCGGGCGCTTCGACTTCGGCGGCGCATTCGACGTCTGCAGGAACGAGAAGACGGATCTGCATGACCTCGAGTCCCTCGATACGGACCACGCTGGTGTCATAGTCTGGGAATTGCATGTTTAGCTTGAAGTACGGCGGGCAGGCGGCTGGAAGAGCCATCAGGACATCCGGCGAGATGGGTGGGCAGATGTGCTGCTCATGGGGTGAGAGCGGAAGGTGAGTGTAACAGATCTCTAGAGGACGCGCGAGGAAGTACCAGCTCTCGGCCACAGAAGCGTTGTTGGTGACGAATAGATTCCTTTGCGGATTAGTAGGACTGGCTAGAGAACAATCCATGATGCGCCATTCACCATCCACGAGGACTGAGTTCCACCAATGGTTCGCGCGTGCAACGCCGTCGTATTCGTGCAATTCTCCCGGGGTTTTTAGAAAACCTCGGATGACTTCAGCATGGAGACCAACGGCAGCACACATCTCCTTGACCAGAAACGCAACCTCTTGAGGGCTTCCCCGTTTCGTCTGTAGCACGCGTTTCAGGTCAATCCCAATCTCCTCAACCGGCTCATCCCAAGCAATCTTTTCGCTAACCCAGGTGAAGATAGCCCGCAACCGTTGAATATCACTCTTGTACGGACGACACACATATCCATGGGCAAGGCTAGCCGGATTCGTCATTGGTGGAAGACTGTTGACGAAGCGGGCGCTCTTGTCGACCAGACTAAGATTGAAGGAGCCAAAATTGTTGGGTTCGCTGATGGGCAACCCATCAATGCTTTCGTCACCTTCCGCGGTCTCATTGAGTTCCTCCACCGCGTAGATGACTGGGTGATCCATCATTTGACATCGCTCCGCTCTCTCAACCCGCTCATTGTGACTCGGAGAGCTGGCACGGTTAACATCACGCCTTACTTGCACCCAATCTATGGCAGAGGCACTTCCTGCATCCCGAGCCGAGTCCCGGCTAGATTGCAAGGCACGGATCGGCGAGACACCCCGCCCTTTGGAGGGGGAGAAAGTACCACCGCTTTGACCAACTGCAATGCTACTCCGAGCGTTAGCTGCTCCCGTCTTCGCGGACTCGAAGATTTTCTTGAAGAATCCTGGTTTTTTGGCCTTTGGAGTAGACAGACCCCCAAGTACTCCTGCGGTCTCTTCCGGTGCAGCTTGAGGGCCGGACCATGGAATGGCGGAAGACGCGCCCTGTCGGGAGGTATTGTGGCTTGAATGATATGAGATCCCTGTGAGTGGCGTCTCAGGTCTAGATACCCGGGATACATCGCTGAACCCTCGAGAGCGGAACGTATCAGTCGCCGTGTTTGGTCGTTCAGCTGGCGTGGTCCTCCTAGCGTAGCTTCCGGCACTTGTTGCGCTGAATCCACCAGCTGATGGACCGCTCATCACACTGAAATTGGTGCGCTCAGTACTTGCGGTGAGATTGGTGCTGATGCTTTGCACACCGCTCGAAGAAGTCGTGGTGCTCGACTTATTAGTGTAGCTGCGATTGAGCAGATCCTCACGGAGGTCCTGTCCTGATCGTCGTCCTCGAAGATATGGATACTGTGCCGGAATCGAATTATGTCGGCCATGGTACGGGGCGCCTCTTGGAGGAGGCGGTGGAGGCTCTTCGTCCTCCTCCGGCTGAATTTCCTCGGAGTCCTGTCGATTTTGTTCCTGCATCTGACGGAGGCGGCTCTCCATTCTTTGTACGTAGTTGTTCAGTTGCGGAGGGCCATCCGGATAGGGGTCATGCGTCCAAACGCTGTTCCTATGTTTCTGGCTACTAGGTTGTTGGTATTCCTTGTACCCGTCGAATCCCATGGATGTCACGGGTCGATTGGAAGTTCGCAAGGGTCGACTCTGACTCAATCCTTCGTAGGCATCTGGTGACCAGGGATTATTGAATAGTGGTTGTGGCTGAGGTTGTGGGGATGGTGAATGCGTGCTTCGAGACAGCCCCATATCCTCCAGAGAAGTCATCACATCCTCCATTGCATCACGGAGAGGAGAGGGCGTATGGCCGCGGCCTTCAGAATGGGCAGCAGGGGACGGTGTCCTGGGCATGGTAGCATAGCGGTTATTCATATCCAACCGCGATGGAACAAGAGGCCCAGGAGATGGCTGTCGATGTACCGCCACGCGATGCGGAGGCGGAGGCGGAGGCGGAGATTCTTCCCGTTCTTGCAGCTGTAAGGGCGAGATCTCTCGGGAAGATCGCCCGGGTATTGCTATACCGTGCCTGTCCGGGTATGGGGAGGGCATGTAGTCGTAGTCGGCTGGGATATGTGGGGACGCGGCATGAGATGGAGGAGTGGGATGCATTGTCGTTCGCACAGGGGGGATCAGTGGCATGTGAAGCTCAGGGTTGTCAGACGGGTACGGCGATACAGCTCGAGACGGCGGTCTGTTGCGGGGACTATCGGAAGGATAAGGTGATACTGCTCGAGACGGCGGTCTCATGCGGGGATTATACGGTGCCGGAGCGCTTGATGAGAGGAGCGGATCAGGCTCAGCTGGAGGACGAGGTGAAGCTGCGCGCGATGGAGGCCGCGACCGCGAGGGCGGCCTCGATACAGAGCTCCGATGCTTGACTGCGGTGGTTGGTGTTCGCAATGGTTTGACCTTTCCAGAAAGACTGCCATCCCGGGGTGGCGTTTGTGGTATAGAGCTTGCCATCACGGGGGACGACGACATGCCGCCACGAGACAGCTCGCCTGTTGGCGCCAGAGCTTCCCTATGGGCTTGAAAGGGTTTCCGGAAAACGGTCTTCGTCTTCTTCGGCGCCGAAGTAGGGTTCGTTATCGGAGACACGGTTGCGGAGATCATGGGGCTTGTCGATCTAGTCACAGGCACAAAGTCCTCCCCAAGGACCTCGACGAAGTTGGATGGGAACAGGCCCATCATGCGCCTGTCGCGCCGTAATCGACCCATCCACCATTGTCCATCGCCTGCGTTTAAGCATTCGATAAGATCACCTTCCACAAACCCCAGGTCACGTTTTGTCTCGCCTCCCCACGAGTATATGGCTCGACACCAGCATGGAAACCGGGCGGGGAGTTGGGGGGCGGCGGGCGCCATTGCGACTGCGGTTCCCCACGAACCTCCGACTGAATGGCGGCCGCGATCGGTATAGTGCGAGTCAATTAAAGATTAACTTAGGCTTGGTATCACTTCAATGGGGAAGAATATCCCTCGGGTGAATGAGGTGGAAGCGGACAATACAAGGCAACGACACGAGTTTAGTTCAAGGCGCGCTGTGGGTCAATCAAACAACGATAACGAGAACATCAAGAACAATGAGGTGGAGCTGCAAACCCAAGCATGGTACCTGCAAGCAAATGAGATGGAATGATGTATCAGATTCCAGGGGCAGTGGGCTATAGGAATGCGACGGGGAAGGAGACTGCTCTCATGCAGCAGTCCTGGGGAAGCAGGGCGCCTCGGTCATAACAGGGAGGGAGAAAGACCGAGAACACCGCGGGAGAAAGGGTGTGGGTGGGGAGGGGGAGGGGGAAATGTGACGAACGCAAAAGAGCGAGTAGGAGAAGACGAATATCAAAGAGGAAGAGCAGAAGCAAAAGCGAGAGTGAATGGGTGAAAGCGGATCTCGAGAGGGCGGAGGGAGAGAGGATCGATCGAGAGGAGAGAGAGAGAGAGAAAGAGACAGAGGGACGACGGGAGCTGAAGTGAACGGTGAGGCCCGATTGATGTTTTGGTGTTTACGTGGGCACCCGATCGGGTTTAGTGTGCGGCTTATCGATAAGCTTATTGCGCACTGTCCCCGTGGTTCAATTCGCCGCCGTCGGTTTCATTTATTCGCCTCCAGCTTCTTTTCGTCTCTGGTTCCCCTGATTGTTGCTTAACGTCTTATCTACGATCCATGGTTCGTTCCTCGTGCTCCACTAAGCTTGTCTAAGACCATAACACCATCAGGGGTCCAGGCTTTCAATCCAGGCCAAGCGAAGCAAGCACCGCGTCGTTGTTTTCGAAACTCGTACCACAAACACTGAACCTGGAACACTGAGTGAGCCCTGAAAGTAATTACACTATCAGACTGCTGGTACGAAAAGGGAAGAAAGGCTGGAAAACAACCCATTATGCAGCATTTATCCTGCTCGGACCGGAGATGACGCGCAACGAGTCCTTGTTCGCTACCTTGATCGGTGCTTGTTCAAAACCTATATCTGGAGCAAATCGCACAACAGCCACTGAGCTCATGTGCTAAACGTTGCGCATGCCTGGCTAGGCAGGAATGCTGCCAATGTTGCTCAATTTGCGGGCGCGAATCAACCACATGGAAGTCTCTCTGACAAACACGTCATGAGACAAGCCTGAAGCTTCGAGAGCAGTCTTCTGATCGTCTTGTGTCTCCTACTGCTGGTGCTTTAGCTTTGGCCTCTTTTCAAGAGCTTGTTGCGAAAAACGAATTTTTGCCGTTGGTACTTGGACTAGGGTCTTCAAGAATGCTGATTATATATTCCTGTGTCCGGTCTATTATCGTTACTCGTTTAGCCTTCATTGCAAGAAAGATATATATTTTGATGCTTCGCAGTCACAAATCGACCCTATCAGGGAGCAGCCGGCTCTGTACGGCTGCAACCGTGTGCAATCGTTGATGTTGACCAAGTTTGATTAGAGAGAAACTCTAGATTCCCATGGCATGAGCCTGAAAGTCAATTATATTGCCAATCTCCGAAGCTAAGTAAATGGACCTGCACCTCTCATTCGGCACTTTGGTATCGGGCTCATTGCAGTACGATGTAGTGACCAGAAATCCGGACCTTTTCTTCAGGACCAACAAGGTACAGAGACGATGTTCTAGTGATGTGTCATTTATACAGCTCAGTTTGGCATGTGGCACATTAGTGCTGTCGAATGATTATGGTGCCTGATGTGAGCTGTCACACAGAGATTTTAAACTTATCTGTGACACACTAACATTAGTCACCTCAAAGGGTTGTGTTGACCCTACATTCAATTGAAACTGCTGCCGGTTTTCTTTAATCAAAGGGGGGCATTTAAGAGATACACTGGGGAAGCAAGACCTCGACCTTGGACATCCCCACAAAAAACTATACAGGGAGGCAGAAGTCATTGGGACTAAAGACCAAACATTAATGTCATCCGTGAAGGCGAGTTTATGACGCCAGCTTAATGAGACGAGAGAAGATGTTTACCAGGTGCACAGAACGGTATGCTCAGTCTGGGTCAATAGAGGCTGTCTTGATCAGAAACAGAAAATCCCTTTAACAAACGACGACCCCGTCATGGCCGATGTGAAGGTCTAAAGAAGTCGACAGGACAAAGGCAGGTGGCAGTTACCGGTGTCGATTAATCTCTTTCTAATCTCTTCCTTGCCCATCTTCTCCCTCGTGGTTCAACGACCATCATACTTGGCAACCAGCACAAATTGAGCTATAAGTCTTCGGATATCGATTCCAGCAGCTTCCCGGGAAAGTGACTTTTCGAGGAATTTTGAGATGGCGAATTTAACCTATCCGGCCACTGAGGGGTGGAGAAACTCGGGTGCCTAGGGGTTGGAATACCTACTCACAATGAGCAAGAATGGTATTTTCTATGAGCTGCTGATGACTATGTCACGTACTCATCGAGGAAGGTTTAAACGCTGAGCATAGTTTGGTCTTGATATGAACCGTCATATTATGACCATGAAGTCTCAGAGACTGCTTACTCTAGAACAAGCAATCCCTTCTCTGGGTTGTCTCATCGTGGCTGTCTGGGCCAAGCTCATGACGGGCGGGTTATTGGATATCGTAATCATGATTCGAGGGTTGGCTTTGGTCATGACATCAATAAGCCTTGCTAGTGACATTCCACGCCTCTGATACAGTCCATCGATCGATCATAACTTCTGGCGGTGTCAACAAAGCAAGGCTGGTAAGCTCACCGTCAAGGCACGCACCCTCAGGTTTTAGGCATGTTTCCCGGTAAGCTCCACAGATTCCGCCAAGCCAGAAATCTTACGGCCTGTGCCGTGGAATTTTGTGTCTCATGCTCCATAAGGAAGTAAAGCGAGGGAAGAAAGGAGGGAAGAGGAGTCGGAGAGGAGAGAAGAGGAGCGGACAGAAGAAGGTAGTAGTGATGGTGCAAACAATCGAAAGAAGGCATAGACACGTGATTGTATGCAAGCACCGCGGGTGTGGTTCGTGGAGGTGGCTGTTGATCGTCGCCAAATACGGTTTCAACGACTTTCCTCTGTCGGAACATACTTGCTTCCTCCAAGGCTCTTTCTTTGTCTTTTCCTATCCCCCGCGCAGAACCATCCATCAGTGGCCACGATGCGATCACTGGACCCTGAACTTGGCTGCCTACGCTGGTTAACCATCCATGGAAGCCGTGGAAGCAGGGGTTAAGACAATGGTACCTCACCCCTTGACGATCATGCTGCAAGTGTGCTGGTGCACGGAGCCACATACATTTCCTGCCGAGGGTAATTTGCTAAGTCTAGAATTCTCTATACTTGGAAGTATGGAGTCCCCACCAGCCCCCTCGGATAGGGATACTAATCGACCCACAGTAACGGTGGCATCGGCTTACGGCTCCTTCAGTTGCAAATGATATCCAGCGATAGGGTCTTAACCATGAGGGGCAAAAGGCGTACCATACAGGATTCGAGAACAATCCTGTCACTCGCTGCTGACCTCATGATTTGCTGAATATGTGGCAATGCTACGCACTGGGGTCAACGCGATGGCATCAATGCTCAGAAGTCGGCCCCCTAGATGCGCAGGGAATGCATCTTAACCAGTTCTGAACATGCCGCAGATGAGACACGCTCCCCCCACTCTGGGATGTCGGGCAATTCTATCTCTGTATAAAGCTTGCTGCCCTTCAACATGGGACCAACAAGTGTGGTGATTTCTCGCCCAAGAACCAAATTCTGTTGGTGAAGAATACGCCGCTCCCAACGATGGAGGGCCCATACCGCGTTTATCTCTTTGGAGATCAGACCAGCGACTTCGAAGCAGGTCTGCGTCGTCTTATCCAAGCCAAAAACAATACGATTGTTCAGTCTTTCTTCCAACAAGCCTTTTACGCGCTACGGCAGGAGATCTCGAAGCTGCCACCCGCCCAACGCAAATTATTTCCCCGATGCACAAGCCTTATAGATCTGCTCGCCAGATACCGTGAATCGGGACCGAGCCCTGTCCTCGAGAGCGCCTTCACATGTATTTATCAGTTGGGGTCTTTTATCAAGTAAGTGTGGTTGTTTCCAGTTTCACGGCGGTCGCTCTAATATGCCTCAAGCTATTATGGAGACCTGGGAAATGCATACCCGTCAGAGGGCTGCCAGCTGGTCGGATTGTGTACAGGGCTTCTCAGCTGTGCAGCTGTGAGTGCATCGAAAAACGTCGGAGAGCTCCTGCCCGCTGCAGTGGAAGCAGTTGTAGTTGCCCTGCGGCTCGGACTATGTGTCTTGCGTGTTCGAGAGCTTGTCGACTCTGAAGCAAGTTCCTCGTCATGGTCCGTTTTGGTTTCAGGACTGAGCGAGGAAAGCGCGTCTAGTTTGATCGAAGAGTATAGCATCAAAACGGTAAGACTAGTGGATCTAAACGTCACCAAAGTACTAACCTTTGTAGGCAATCCCTCCGTCCTCAAAGCCTTACATCAGCGCAGTGAGCTCCAATGGAGTCACGATCAGCGCGCCACCCCTTGTTCTTGACGCATTCATCGAGAAGGGTCTTGCAGGGAACTACAAACACACTAGAGTGCTGATCCACGGGCCTTACCATGCTCCGCATTTATACGACAGCAGAGACGTGGACCGGATTCTGGAATCATTCCCTGAAGAGCGACTCGGACATTACACCACACACACTCCTGTGTTGTCCAGCAACACTGGGACACCTATCGAGGCCAGCAAGATCAAAGAGGTTCTGCAGGTTGCAATTGAAGAAATCCTATTGCGTCGACTCTGCTGGGATAGGGTCACAGAATCATGCATTTCAATCGTTGAATCAGCGAACAGCCAGTCATGCCAACTTATCCCTATCTCTACTAGTGCCACCCAAAGCCTTCATACTGCTTTCAAGAAGGCCGGAGTCGCCAATATCTCAATCGAGACCGGAATCGGTGATGTATCCACAACTGCAGACAAGGCTAATCTGAGCGGAAAGACCGAATGCTCCAAAATCGCCATCATTGGTATGTCGGGTCGGTTTCCCGACTCCGAAAGTCCGGAGGCGTTCTGGGAAATTCTGCAGAAGGGCCTTGATGTACACCGGAAGGTTCCTGCTGATCGTTGGGATGTTGATGCGCATTATGACGAGACTGGCGCCAGACGAAACACGAGCAGAGTACAGTACGGTTGCTGGATCAAAGAACCTGGACTATTTGACCCACGGTTCTTCAACATGTCGCCAAGAGAAGCCCTCCAGGCTGACCCGGCTCAGCGCCTTGCTCTACTGACAGCCTACGAAGCTCTTGAGATGGCTGGTTTCATTCCCGATAGTTCTCCATCAACCCAGAGAGACCGTGTCGGAATATTCTACGGAATGACTAGTGATGACTATCGTGAGATCAACAGTGGTCAAGATATTGATACCTACTTCATCCCGGGTGGCAATCGTGCCTTCACCCCTGGCCGGATCAATTATTTCTTCAAATTCAGTGGCCCGAGTGTCAGCATCGATACAGCGTGCTCATCCAGTCTTGCAGCTATTCATATGGCTTGTAATTCTATCTGGAGGAACGATTGTGACGCCGCCATTGCGGGTGGTGTCAATATCTTGACCAACCCGGACAATCACGCTGGTTTGGATCGTGGGCATTTCCTGTCCACTAGGGGTAATTGCAACACGTTTGATGACGGCGCGGATGGGTATTGCAGAGCCGATGGTGTTGGTACCATTGTGCTGAAACGACTTGAGGATGCAGTAGCAGATAACGACCCAATCATCGGCATCATCAACGGGGCATACACCAACCACTCTGCGGAGTCGGTCTCGATCACCCGCCCCCACGTGGGAGCCCAAGCTTTCATCTTTAATAAATTGCTTAACGAAGCGAATGTCGACCCGAAGGATGTTAGCTACATTGAAATGCACGGTACAGGCACACAGGCAGGAGATGCGGTCGAGATGCAGTCTGTTCTCGATGTCTTTGCCCCTGACTACCGCCGTGGCCCCACGCAATCCCTTCACCTGGGCTCTGCAAAATCCAATATCGGACATGGCGAGTCCGCTTCCGGGGTAACAGCACTTGTCAAGGTCCTCATGATGATGAGAGAAAACCAGATCCCACCTCACTGCGGTATCAAGAACAAGATCAACCATAACTTCCCCACTGATTTCGCGAAGCGTAATGTTCATATTGCATTCCAGCCCACTCCCTGGAACCGGCCAGCTTCTGGAAAGCGCCGCGCCTTTGTTAATAACTTCTCTGCCGCTGGTGGCAACACCGCCCTTCTGATCGAAGATGGGCCGATCCCTGAGACGACTAGTCAGGACTCTCGATCATTTCATGTTGTTGCAGTCTCGGCTCGGTCCCAGAGTGCTTTGAAAAACAACGTCAACTCTCTAATCAAGTACTTGGACTCCTACACCAACTCATTCGGAGTTAAAGAGTCTGAGTTCGTTCCCAACGTGGCTTACACCACCACTGCTCGCAGGATTCACCATCCCTTCAGAATCACCGCTGTTGGCTCGACTTTGCTGAGTCTGCGCGACTCTTTGCATGCTGCCGCTCAGCGCGAGACATTTACAGCTGTCCCAGCCAAGACTCCGGGCATTGGCTTTGTCTTCACCGGTCAAGGAGCTCAATACACCGGAATGGGCAAAGAGCTATACAAAAGTTGCTCTTCATTCCGGGACACAATTGAGCATTTTGATTGCATTGCACAGAGTCAAGGCTTGCCTTCTATTCTATCTCTTGTCGATGGTACTACGCCTGTCGAAGAGTTGAGCCCAGTGGTTGTGCAGGTTGGCACATGCTGCGTCCAGATGGCCCTGGTCAGCTACTGGAGTTCTTTGGGCGTCAGACCGGCTTTTGTTCTTGGCCACAGTCTTGGAGACTATGCCGCCCTGAACGCTGCTGGCATCCTGTCAACAAGTGATGCAATTTACCTATGTGGACGCCGCGCCCAATTGCTCACGGAGAAATGCGAGGTCGGAACCCACTCCATGCTGGCAATCAGGGCTTCACTTGCCGAGATCAAGCACTTCCTCAAGGATAACGTTCACACGATCGCCTGTGTCAATGCTCCGGCCGAGACTGTCATCAGTGGCCTTGCCTCGGACATCGAGGCCTTGGCCCAGAAATGCTCGACCGAGAACGTCAAAGCAACCAAGCTACGGGTCCCGTACGCGTTCCACTCCCCGCAGGTTGACCCTATTTTGGACACATTCGAGGCTATTGCGCAGGGGGTCACATTCCACAAACCGACAACTCCCTTCGTCTCGGCCCTGCTTGGCGAAGTCATTACAGAGGCTAATGCTCATGTTCTCGGAGCTAAATACCTCAAGGACCATTGTCGGGGCACAGTCAACTTCCTTGGCGCTCTCGAAGCTATTAGGCACGCGAAATTGGCCGATGACAAGACTCTGTGGGTTGAACTCGGTTCTCACACCATTTGCTCGGGGATGATTAAGGCAACACTGGGCCCCCAGGTGACCACCGTTGCCTCTCTTCGACGAGAGGAGGACACATGGAAGGTTCTTTCAAACAGCATGTCATCACTGCACTTGGCGGGTATTGATCTAAACTGGAAGCAGTACCATCAGGACTTCAGCTCCTCCCATCAAGTTCTGCGACTCCCTGCCTACAACTGGGACCTCAAAAATTATTGGATCCCGTACACCAATAATTTCTGTCTGTCTAAGGGAGCGCCTGTGGCAGCCATCGAGGCTGTGCCAAAGTACGAGTATCTCACCAGTGCAGCTCAAAAGGTCGTCGAAACGAAAGATGAAGGGGACACATCCACTGTGGTTGTTGAGAATGACCTTGACTATCCGGAGCTCCGACGCGTTATTCAAGGACACAAAGTGAACGGTGCCAATCTCTGCCCATCAGTAAGTGCTCGTTATGTTTGCAATCTTGTCTTTTCACAGCCGCGCTAACCGCTGATACAGTCTCTCTATGCCGACATTGCTCAAACGCTTGCAGAGTACTTGATCAACAAGTATAAGCCGGAGTTCAAGGACGTCGGTCTTGATGTGGCCGACGTGTCTGTACCCAAGACACTTATAGCGAAAGGTGGCCAGCAGCTTTTCAGAATTTCTGCAACCGCTACCTGGGCGCAGCAACGTGTGGCAATTCAGATTTACTCGGTCACCCCTGAAGGAAAGAAGACTGCTGAACATGCAACATGCACAGTGAAGTTCTTTGATTGCGCTGCTACAGAGAAAGAGTGGAAGCGCATGTCCTACCTTATCAAGAGGAGTATTGAACGTCTGCAAGAAATCGCGGAGAACGGAGAAGCGCACAGGCTCCAGCGGGGCATGGTATACAAGCTCTTCGCTACTTTGGTTGACTACGACGACAACTTCAAATCGATCCGCGAAGTCATTCTGGATAGCGACAATCACGAAGCCACTGCAAGGGTCAAGTTTGAAGCTCCGGCAGGAGACTTCCACAGGAATCCGTTCTGGATCGACAGTTTTGGGCACTTGTCGGGTTTCATAATGAACGCCAGTGACGGCACAGACTCCAAGTCGCAAGTTTTTGTGAACCATGGCTGGGACTCGATGCGCTGTCTGAAGAAGTTCTCCAAAGACGCCACGTACAGGACCTACGTCAGAATGCAGCCCTGGCAGAACTCCATATGGGCTGGTGATGTCTACGTCTTTGAGGGTGACGAGATTATCGCTGTTTATGGATCTGTTCAAGTAAGTCCCATTGATGTGCAGCCATATTTGCAGGAAGCTAATCTGACTTCAAACAGTTCCAAGCCTTGCCTCGTAAGATTCTCGACACTGTGCTTCCGCCCGCCGGAGCTGCGAAGGCCTCCGCCCCCGTTCGTCCTACTGCAAGTGTGATTCAGAAGCCCGTGCCTGCTGCAGGTAGCAAGACCCGTGCTAAAGCTCCTACACCCACGAAATCACTCCTGAAGTCAAGTGGACCCAGTGTTATCGTGCGGGCACTCAGCATACTTGCAGCTGAAGTAGGCCTCTCCGAGTCGGAGATCTCGGACGACTTGGTCTTCGCCGATTACGGGGTGGACTCTTTGCTATCTCTGAACATCACCGGACGGTACCGTGAAGAGCTGAACATTGATCTGGACTCGTCGGTCTTCATCGACCAGCCGACCGTCAAGGACTTCAAGCGATTGATAGCTCAGATCAGCCCTTCGGAAAGCAGCGACGGGTCAACCAGTGATCCAGAGTCCAGCTTCTCCTTCAACGATGGTTCGGACGAGTCGGGTCTTAGCTCTCCGGTAGTTGCCTCTCCTCCAAACGAGAAGGAGATGGTGATGGAAGTCGACCAGCATGCTACCATGAAGGAGATCCGTGCGATCATCGCGGATGAAATTGGTGTGACTGAGGATGAGCTCAAGGCGGACGAGAATTTGGGTGAGATGGGAATGGATTCCCTTCTCTCCCTCAATGTCCTGGGTAGGATCCGTGAAACACTGGACATGGATCTCCCAGGCGAGTTCTTTATCGAGCATCAAACCCTCGAGGAGGTCGAGACTGCTCTCGACCTGAAGCCTAAGGCCGCACCGATCCCGGAGCCTATAAGACTTCCGGAGGTTTTGCCGACGATGAAGTCGAACATCAGTGTACGTGCTGCTCAACACCCCCCGGCAACCTCAATTGTACTACAGGGAAATCCCAAGACTGCTACGCAGTCACTGTTCCTGTTCCCTGATGGCTCCGGCTCGGCCACATCTTACGCAACGATTCCGCGGGTTGGTCCCGACGTCTGTGTCTACGGGCTCAACTGCCCCTACATGAAGACGCCAGAGAACTTGAAGTTCCCTCTTCAAGAGCTTACATTCCCTTATCTTGCCGAAGTCCGGCGCAGACAGCCCAAGGGCCCTTACAACTTTGGCGGTTGGTCGGCTGGCGGTATTTGCGCCTACGATGCTGCTCGCTACCTGATTCTCGAAGAAGGCGAACGAGTTGACCGTCTCCTCCTTCTCGATTCCCCCTTCCCCATTGGACTGGAGAAGCTTCCGCCACGGTTGTATCGGTTCTTTGATTCGATCGGATTCTTTGGCGAAGGCAGATCCGCGCCTCCGGCCTGGCTCCTCCCTCACTTCTTGGCGTTCATCGATTCCCTTGATGCGTATCGCGCGGCACCGCTCCCCTTCGATGATCCTAGATGGGCCAGCAAGATGCCCAAGGTCTTCCTTATCTGGGCGAAGGATGGTGTCTGTAACAAACCCGATGATCCACGTCCGGAGCCCGCTGCTGACGGCAGTCCTGATCCGCGCGAGATGATTTGGCTCTTGAACAACCGTACCGACCTCGGCCCCAACAAGTGGGACACGCTCGTGGGGCCGAACAACGTCGGCGGCATCACGATCATGGAAGAAGCGAATCACTTCACCATGACCCTGGGCACGAAGGCCAAGGAGCTGTCCAACTTCATTGGCGAAGCTTTGGCGAACTAGAATGACTGGATGCTTGCATTGTTTTGCAAATAATAAATACCTCTTGCTGTTTGTTACCCTAGATAGTACTGATATGCTTTGCTGGTCACGATTTTGTATTGGTTAGTCCCTAATGGAAGTACATGATCTTACCTAGGCGTGCTCGTTTCTCATTGTGAACTTCACAGAGTACTATTAAGGTAGCTTGCAGCATACGACGTTCCGTCTCAACCGACGTACTAGTTTGGATCGGTATCATTTTGTTCGTATGCCAGCCATACTTAAGATCGCCTCATCGCCTTCTATGTGTATGGGCAGCGCAAGAAGACAGTAGAGCGAGCAGTCCGAACTTCAGTACCTCCCATCCTCCTCCTCCTATCTCCCGGCCTTTCCCACCTTCACTTCTAGGTCCCGTACAAGACTAACTCACGCACTTCCCCCTCTACCAACCACAGCCCAGCCCAGCCCAGCTTAGCTTAGCCCTCCATTCCCTGACTGCCCTGCCCTGCCCTGCTCCATCTTCACTCGGTATCGGATTTAAGGATCTATGCCACGGGTATCTACAGGGGCAGTTCTTCTACTATGACGAACACAAACATCCCAGATCTGAATCTGAATCTGATTCTAAATTCGTTGGTACGCGACTCGATATGCAACTAGATTTGGGAAGCAGGGGGAGCGCGGTGGGATGGAAGGTAGGTTGGATAGATAGATAGATGGGTTGCGTACATTGTGCTCGTTCTGGATCTATTTCTTGATCTGGACTTGGATCTGCCCTTTGGGCGGTGGGGAGGGGGTGGGTGTGGTGTATAGGATAGGGAGGTGATTGGATTGAAGGGGCGGTATGCTTGGTTAGGGGATTGGAATTGAGGGGACAGTACTATGTAGATTGGGGCTATGCAAGGGTGTGTCGCTATGAGGCGGGCAGAAGAAGGGATATCTGAGGATGCGGGTGGAAGAATCAAGGAAACAACGAAGGATCGGTAGAGGGGAAGGGGCGGGGTGAGGTGGTAGTGCATCTTGCATAGTGTATGCATGCATGCATGCATACATGAAGAGTTTGAGGGGGAAAGGGGGTTGGGATGTGTAGATGGGAGGTTGGCGGTGTGTGAGGAAGGAAGGGGAAAAGCTTCCTCGTGGAACCAACCGAATTAGGTTGGATTCAGGTGTACTGCATGCATTCGCACAGCTAAAAGGTCATCTCCGAGCTGAAGCGTAGCGCACTGCCCCGCGTGTTCAACGACGATCCATTACCGCCGTGGTTGTTGATGCCCGGGCTGGTGGGCCGGCTGGCCGTCCATTTGGGACTGCGCGGCTGGGTGCTCGTCGAGCGGGTCGAGGGCCGGTTCTTGCGGATCTCGCGCAGCTCCTCCTCCTTCCGGCGGAGGAGATCCTCGCGCGAGGCGAGCGCGGCCTCCAGCTCCAGGGTGCGGGCCAGGTGGCGGGCCTCGTCGTGCTGGAGGTTGAGTTCGCGGAGCCGGCTGGCGTCGCCGGCCACTTTGCGCTTAAGGGTTTCGTTCTCGTCGCGCAGCTGGCGGTTCTCGTTGCTGGACTGCGCCGCGACGTTCGAGGCGGTCTGGTACTGCTCGCGCGTGTACTCGGTCTGCTTGGCCTCGTAGTCCGCCTTGCGCTCCAGCCCGCTGTTTTCCTTGGTCAGGCGGCGGATCTCCTCGCGAGCCGTCTCCAGCTCCGCGGTCATGCTGCCGGCGTCGCTTTTCAGGGCCGCGCGCGCCTGCTCGAGTTCGTGCCGCAGCTGCGTGCGCTCGTCTTTGATCTTGCTCAGCTCCTCTTTGCTCTTCTCGCTGCGCTGCTCAGCCAGGGTCTTGGCTTCGACCAGCTTGTCCCTCTCGCGGCGGAGCTTGTGGAAGTCCCGGGTGCGCGTCTCATAGCGGTGCTGCAGTTGCTGGAGGACATGGTCTCGTTCTTGCAGGCGGGCCTGGGTTTCAGCGAGCGTCTTTTGAAGTCTTTGGACTTCGTTCGCGTGCGAACTGCGGAACTGAACGAGGTTGCTCTCCAGTGATCGGAGCTCGCCGTCGAGGGTCTGGCTGGGGAATTTGGTCGACTCGGTGAGTTGGCTGGCATCTTGCGGTTCCTCCATCCTGGGCCGCTTGGATGTTTGCTCGCTGGAGTCTTCCGTCTGTGTGATTTCTGTCTTAGGGCCAGGGAAATTGCGTTCAGGTGAACGGGAACTTACGAATGCTCGTTTCTGCAGGAGAGGCGTAGCCATGGGGGGAATCTCAACATCCGGCCGGCTAGGTGGCTCCTCAGGGACGGGTTGGAGTGCTTCCAGATCCACAATGTGCAGAGGCGCAATGTGCGGTAGCGACCAGTGCGCGTTGAAGTTGTCTGACAACAGATACGACACAAGCTCTTCTGCGTCTTCAGCTACCCCAAGCGCATCATCCTGGAGGTCGCCAACCGCGTTCTGCAGACGCGTGGTGTATTGCAACAACAGACGCACACGCTGGAGCTCGGGCAAATTGGAGAAGCAAAGCTCGATATGTTCGCTGGAATTGGACACGATCAGACGGATGACGGGAAGCAGATGCCCGTGTCGAGCAAATGTGGTCCGCATGTGTTCAACCGAGGGAATCTTGGTGTTAAACGATGCGTCCAGGGCGATGATTGCAGAAGGGGCTTTGTAGGTCTCCACGATGCCATCATTGCGGGTTGACTGAACCCCAAAGCTCAGCGGGCCCTTGGCCAGAGACACTTCAACATTCGTGCCAGGGCCCATCTCCTCGCGCGGGCGGGTGTATGCGAGGCCTTTGCCGAGCAGGAACCGCTCGACCACGTTCTGGGTCTTTTCGCCATTCACCATGATGACCAAGTGTATATCACGATCACATGTAGACCCCACGAGATAGGAGAGAAGCAAGAACTTGGCACTCGAGTACTCCGCCCAGGAAGCCTCTTGCCGCAGGTCCGCTTGCGAGTCGTTAAGATGTTTTGCGACGTTCAAGTCTGGATGGGTGGCGACATTACTCAGACACTCTAACACCTCTCTTATTTTTGGCAGCAGTCGCACGCGCTGTGTGATAGTCAGTTTCTACAAGGCTCGGGTAGGGGCTGCTTCATAGTACCTGGTCTGCTTGTGTGCTAGTGCCATTGATGAATTCCTGGATGGAATCACTCTCGTCCGTCAGGACTTTCTCGTAATCATCCTTGACCCTCGAGTCCATAGGGAGCGAGATGGCAAACTCCGATGGACCAAGCAGGACAGATCCTGGAATCGACTCCTCGGTATGATCGACTGACAATGCATGCGGCTGAATAGTTTGGACATCGTGTTGCATATCGTGTTGTATATCGTGAAGCTGCGCGGGGTCCATGTGTGCAGGTTCCAGGGGTGGCGAGGGGATGACAGGCGGGGGTTCTACGGGAGAATGATGTTCAGGATGAATGGCCGAGGGTTTGTCGATCCTCACGCTGAGTGGGGCGGCGGTTTCGGGCAAAGCGACGGGCGATGGTTCGATGTCGCCAGCCTCACCCACCGAAGATGGCGTGGCGCTTGGCTCCGGTGGTACCGTACTCTGCGCTCGCAGCTGGGCATATGCATTCCGGAGCTTCTCTCGCGGAGTGCTCCCTTCAAACTGGCTGTATTTTTCCATCGTCTCCGCTAGAGACATACCTTTTTTGTCCTGACCCTCCATCTGCACAGATGATTTCCGTTCTGTCACAGAGGCGATTCTGCAGCTTGGCTTACTAGTAAAAAAGACCTTCGTAGCTTGCGAAACACGCGCAGTTACTGGCTCTGGTAGAGAAATTACGCGACCAGCGCTAGTACTACCTGTGCAACGGTTAGCCAGTATTGAATAGAGGAGAATCATGATTATCACCTTGCGACAAGTAATGAAGTGATGAAAACTGCTGCGAGACCGGCGTACTTGCGCTTGGAGGGTTCTTGGCCGAATTTGTTGCGTACTGCGAGCTTGCGCTATTATATGTGGGAGCTGGACGCGCCGTTTGACTCTCAGAGTTACTGAAAGGTCCCAATGGCGTCTCCGGTATTTCATCCAAGGCGCTCGCGTGGTTGCCTGCTACCCGACTTACCGGCCGCTGAGATCCAGAAGAGCCGACAGTGCTTTGATAGAGTCCCTCGCGCGGGACGGTACTCACAACACTCACGCTTTCCCACGTTTGGCAGTTGGCGGCAGGGGTTACCGTTGGCAGATATTCTACGGATCGAGAGTCAAGGAACTCGCCAGGCAAGCGGAGTGCAGCGGGAACGGGTGTTGCAGGCACTTCTTGGAAGACCTGCAACTGGCGGGCGTGTAATGAAGCTCGCAGACTGTTCTCACGTTGTGCTGAATAAGGTGTATTCGATTGGCTTGTTGAAGCCGAGCCGTACGCCTCCGCAACCTGCAAGTCCGGTGTACCGTCGCAGGGGACAAACAAAGGCGAACCGGGGTCGTTGTTTGTGTGCTCCGGAGAGGTTTCAGAGACAACAGGGTCGGTAACCAGCTGCTCCGCGCTGTGCGTCTGTGAGCGGGAGGAAGACAACTGCGTCGGTGGAGTATTACTCGGTTGTGTGTATTCACTCTGAGCGCAACTCTCCTGCTTGTTCCTGTTCTTGTTCCTTTCCCAGGTCTCAACAGCAAGTGCGTTGGCGTGCTCCTTTGGTTCCTGACCACAAAGCCGAGCAATTAGAACAGAGACCTATCACAAAGAGATCGTGTAGATTTACCCAAGTGGGGTCCCAAGGTCCTTCCCAATCAATCAGGTATTGAGACTCCGTCTCCTCGAGTATACAGTTGATATAGTATTCGTCGTCGTCCAGGGTATTGCTCTCGTGGTCGTAGTTGTCGGAGTCGTCGCTCGACTCGATGGTATAGTTCTCTTTCCAGCGTTTCTTCCGTGAGAAGGTGCTGTGGTTGTTGTCTTGGTAGGGGGACAGTTTGCGCTTGCGCCACATTATGCGCGGACTGGGAGCATGGCCGAGGTGGAATAATCCATGGTAGTGTGACAGTGGAACAATAGAATGCTGGGTGATGAGAAGGGAATGCGGCGGAGATAGTCCAGGCGAGGTTAACTCCGAAGGAGCGACAGGAAGTGCAATGAGAAGATTGCGCTCTGGGGGGGAGGTCTGTAAGGGGAGCTGTAGGCGGACTTGGGGGAGGATTGAGGAGCAGTGGAAGTGAATGCAAGTGGTGGTGGATGAGGAGGTCGGCGGGAACAACGTGGGTGATCCCCGGCACGTGATAGTCCTTATCAGTCGGTCGTCCGGAGCTTGAGAGGCGCCGGGGTTGCTACAGATTAAGCATAGGTTGTTCAGGGTGGAATTTTCTTTCTTGAAGCTGTGGAGTAGCCTGTGTCTTAGCTTCTGTCAATCTCGCGATGGTTTCACAACGTTCTGCGCTCCCTTTTTGGAATTGACGGTTGACAAGACAGGGATGCCCGCGGAACGGCCGGTGATGCTCCTCGGGTATAGATAGGCAGTCATTTAGGGCTAAGGACGAAGGGAAGAGCAGAGTCAACCTCCGTCAGCGGGGCTAAGCAGGGACTTACAAGATCGGAATCGCTCAGAAGGTTCTTCGATTATCTGCGTCGGTTTGTTCATAGGTTGCTTACCTGCGCTGACTCGGTAAAAGAGGGGCTTACACGGAGAATTGAAGGCGGACATCTTCCCACCTTGTCAGATACAGCAACACATTCATAGTGAGCATATGAAGTTCAGATTGCTAGCCACTAATCTATCCGATGTTTGAGCTTGAGAGCGCAAGTCATCAATCGTCCTCACCTGAGCCATGATCGTCTCTTGTCAGCCGTGTTGTATCAGCCACCCGAGAGACAAAGAGATGTTTCATGCCGTAGCAGCAGCCTTTACCGTAAGTCCCATTATTACGACTTACGATGTGGTGTATATCAGGTTGTCAATAATTCAAGCTTTGAGGCCCACAGTAATAGGGCCCTGATGATCCACACAATCAGCTCCTGCATGAGCCCTTGATGAGGAGCTCTATGAAAAGGGACAGTACGGACTGAATACCCTTAGCCCTAAGCTCATCGAGGCCGGCCAAAAGCAAAATAGGCAAACGACTATAAGAGACCTTGGTCGGATTGTAGTTTTAAGGCTAATAATTAGCATTGGCTTTTCGCATGGGATTGGAGCCACCCCGATCTTAGGGAGAGTAAGTTAGTAGTCCTTGCAGGCAGGCAGCCCCTCTTGGGAGCCTCAGGCAGAGACCGGCTAGACCTCTTTAAACAGGCCGCCGATAAGATCCCATCCAGAAATCCGGAGAAATTGGTTCGATCAAGGGGAAACGAAAAAGAAAATATAAAAAATACAAAAAAGACCCCGCAACAACACAGTCTTTCCAAGCCAATCTGTACGCAACCATCCAAATCATCTTCTTGATCCTCTCGAATATCCAGGATAATGTCAGTTCGTGTCTATCCCCAATCAACCTCCATCCCAAGCCATGCAACTCTAACCTAACCCCACAGCACCAATCTGCACAGTCCACCAACAACACCATGGACACCTTCCGCCAGATCCTGCAGACAGCCCGCCAATCCAACTACGGACGCTACCTCGTCGAAGAAGATGGGGTCTTCGAGTCCGTCGCCGAAGCGGTCCAGCAGCACATGAGCCAGTACGACGCATCGCACGACTTCCTCCACGTCCTCCGCGTCGTAGCCCTATCCTCGAAGATCCTTGCCGCCGAGTTCGAGGCCGAGTCCGAGCGGCACGAATGGTACCGGCCCGACCTCATTCTTCTGAGCGCGTAAGTCTTCCCCCCTTGTTCCACCAGATCCACCATGTCTCACGCGTCCCGAAGCCTGCTCCACGACGTCAACGACAAGAAATACGCCCCTCCCCCGTCTGCCACCGGGGAGCAGGTGTCTAAAGTCGCCGTGGTGCTTCGAAAGGCCGGCATCTCCGAGGACGAGATCGAGCACGTCGAGCAGGTCGTCAACCATGTCTCGTACTCGACGGAGGTCAAGAACCCCGAGAAGGTGATGGAGGTCCTGGAGGATTACCCGGATCTTGCGGTGGTGCAGGATGCGGACCGGTTGGATGCCTTGGGCGCGATTGGCGTGGGCCGGATGTTTACGTACGGGGCCGCGAAGGTGCCGGATGCGACTATGCAGAGGTCGCGGGATCATATTGATGAGAAGTTGGTGAAGTTGGAGGGGATGATGAAGGTACGTGCTTGCTTTTTTTTTTTTTTTTTTTTTTTTGAGGTTCATGGCGCGATTCTCTGATGGCGTGGGAAAGTGAGGAGGCTGACTCGATCTGTAGACGGACGTTGGGTTGAAGATGGCCAAGGAACGGACTGAGAGACTAGTCACTTTCAGCAAGTGGTGGGATGAGGAGGCTGCCCTATTCGAGCCAGAACTATAGGTTTCAAGTTTGACGGTATGCTGTGAAAGGTCCGGAGTAGGTTTACGACGGATTGGAGGGGAATCTCATCCGTTCTTCACTATTCGTGAGGCCAATCATAGCGATGTTTTGCAAGGAATTCGTATTCGTATTCCGCGTAGCAATGCTTGTCTAGGTTTCATGAACTTCTAAATGGTGGATATCTAGGCCTGCTGAGTTTTAAAGACGAGATGCACCAGTCGAGCTCTCCTGCTCTTGTTTCCATCTATCAAAATCGAACCCGAGCTGTGCGAGAGATTTGACCAAACCACGCTCGGCACCTTTTTGTCCAAACGTCCGTTTGATCTCCGCGATCTGCCCTCGAATCCACCTCTTCCTTTCTCCCCAGTAATTGCACTGTTTGCCGTTGCCTCCATTATCGAGTCCCGGTCGGGACTCGGCTTCTGCCGCCCAGTCATGCAAGAAATTCATGAAGTCCGCATCCTGCGGAAATGGAAGAAGGTGAAAGGGTGTCCCTTCGCCTTTCTCACGAACAGTCGACTGTTCCCACTCTTCCATTGCATCTTTCGAGGGAAGACTCAGGCGCCCCGAGAACACCCGCGCAAAAACGGCCGCCTGGTTCTCCGACAACGGGAATGGAACGATGCGCTGCGGAAGGGCACTGAGCACCAAGGTGGGGTCGTGGATGTAGAAGAGATGCTGATATGTGTTCACCACCCGCCGGCCGTTGGTGATGATAGGCGGGTCCAGCGCCGACAAGAACGGATATGTGTACAGATATCCGGTGCAGAACACGATAGCGTCGATATCCGCCTCAATGTGGCCGTCCGCAAAGCGAACGGCTCTGCTGCGGGCGTCAGGCGGGAGGAATTCCACGATCTGAGGACGATACACCTTGCTGGTGTCCCCCGCGGAGGAGGCAAGAAGCGACTGGTTTCTCTCGGACACGATGACCTTGCCCTTGCTCACGGGGTTGATCTGGTTCCCGATATCCAGTCCCGACGCCGAGCTGCCCACCACAATGACCTTTTTGTCCCGGAACTGCTCTGCAGAGTCATACAGCTTGGAGTGTAAGATGACGCCGGGATATGCCTCGTTCCATAGCGTGATGCCCGCGATGTCGGGCGTGAACGGAAGATCGTAGTGGCCGCTAGCAACCACCACGGCATCGTACGCGTGGGTTCTTGCGTCTCCCGTGCGCAGTTTCTTCGTGGTGACCGACCAGCTCCCTGCGCCAAGGAGGTCTTTCCGGACGTCCGAGACCTGGGTCTCGAATTGGATCAGACCGCGGATCTCCTCCGCATAGTCATGCAGATAATCCTTCACGGCGGCATGCTTAGGCATGACTTGCGTCTTCGCGTCGAAGTGTTTGTCGCTGTACCGCATGATCTCCTTGGGGAGGTTGGTTTCCAGTGCTTCGTAGATGGGGGAGATGAAAGTAGGCTCCTGCCGCCCCTCTGTTGTGAGCCAGATTGGCCCTTCCGGAGGCTGGTGGGGGTCAGTTTGGGGGACAGTGCTTGTGAGATTGTCCTTCAGAGGGCCTGGAGTGTAGTTCCAGACGCCACCAGCCGCGGCTCTCTGCTCGAAGACATCGATTTTCTCGAAGTATTTCTCCGCAAGCAAGTACCTGGGCGATTGATTAGCGGTTGAGTCCGGAGGTCGGGGGGTCAATACGTACTTGACTGCAGCGAGACCAGAGGGGCCTGCGCCGATGACGGCTATTCGACTGATCCGTCCTGATCGTGTCATTGTTGTGTGAATGGCCACGATGAGACGATCGGTCGACGCAGGAGATAAGGGGAATTATAGTCTGTAGTTCACGGCGGTTTCCAGTGGCCGATGACTACATTGTGGCGGGGAATTTCGTGCTCCGTCATCGGGAATGGGCCGATCAAGTAATTGTTCGGGATGTTCGACCCTATACTTCGACCTGCAGAAATGATTTCTCCAAGTTGACAGAGGTTGTCGATCATAGAACTTCAATCATGTTTTTCTTTCCAGTTTCAACCCAGCTCCATCACATGTGGGAGAGCGTGGAACAACGTTGCAATGGGGTCAACAAACCATTACCGACTCCACTCTGCGGTGGGCTGCGGCAACCACAAAGAAAAGTCTGTAACATTACAGCTCCAATACGCCGGGTTTTGTGACGCAACAACCTCCTTCTCCTCCTCCTCCTCCTCCGCATCCGTTCGCTTTCCCGCGCGTGCTGCCATCCAAACAAGAACCTATTTTTTTTTGTGTGCCCCAGCTTTTGTCGACCATTGCACAACCTCTCCACCTGAGCGACTATCTTACCTCAGGACAGGGAGTACCTATGATTCAGGCAATGTGGAACGCACATGACCACTAAGCGGCCACAGCGATGGACGCCCACGATAAACAACAAGCTCCGGTCTCCGAGCTCCTTCAATCGACCCCGGTCCCCATTGCGCAGCTCTCCCCGTCGCTCGACAATCTACCCCACAACTCCGTGCGCGGTGTCGTGGCTCTGCTATGGCCGTATTCGTCGTCCACGCGGTCGATCAGTTTGCTTCTCGCGGAGCCCGACTTTCGGCTCCGGCGGTCTGGCGGACAAGTGAGGGTCGTCTTCCACGGACCCGTCGCGGAAGAGGTCGCCAAGTCGCAGGTTGGGATCGGCGACAATGTGTATCTCAGCCTGCACGGATCCAGGCTAACCGACAATGACCCGAAAGTTCTCACCCCGGGCAAGAGCGTCGCCTGGGATGTCCATTTCGAGACTACGGTTCTGGTCGAGGTGAGTGAAACCACTGAGAACCGAAAGTGAAACTGAAGGGTGGTGGCTCATTGCGCACTAGGTATGGCGCTCCGATCAACATCTTTCCACCGTCAAGATCGATCCTCCCTCGTCTCCCCTGCCCGCTGCCGAGAGTACCACGCCCACACCGACTACCCCGGATCCGAAAGGCAGTGCCTTCCCCCGCGGCCTCGACTCGGCGACCTGGCAATCGCCCGCTTTCCTGGGACCATCAAGAACGTCTATCGGAGGGTATATAGCTGGCTCGACTTTGCATCCGGCCTTTGATCCCTTCGCGGAGGATGATGGATTCGTTCCGGGGAAGGGGAGGAAACGGACGCGGTTCAGTATACGCAATGACTGGCGTCTGGTGGACGAACCAGCCAGCCCCGAGGACTTGGAAATACCGGGGGACTGGACGGCTATGTTCGATGACGAGGCCTGGCTCAATGAAGCGGCGGCGGAGTTGGAAGAGGCCGCCGAGGAAGCGGATGGCTCTCCGGGAGTCCCTACGGTACCCGTGCCGCCTCAGATTGGCGGGACCGATCAGCTGCCCTCCGTCCCTACGGTCCAAGAAGAGCCTACAAGTGCAGTCTCAGATGTAGACCGAATGCCGGAGACGCCCGAGGCTCGTGAGGATAATACCCCGGAAAAGGTCCAACCGAAGCCGGACGCGCAATTCCTTCTTCCGAATCTTTCTCAGCGGCTCGAGTTCTCGCGTCATATGCATAGGACTATCTCAGATCTTTCTGGTCACCTTCCCACAGACACTCCGCGGTTGAATCCGATTCCTTCTCCGGGTCTGCCCATTCCCTCTCCACTGGTTAGCTCGTCAAACAGCCCGCTGGGATACTTTGGCTCGGTTGCGATCACGTCTGAGCCAGCCACGTCTGATCCGTTCCAGTTCTCCGCCCCGAAGTCAGACTTGACCCGGGAATCTTCGCACGCAGAAAGTGAGGCTGGGTTTGGTGCGGAGATCGAGTCTATCGAACATCAAGCCCAAGGGCCGATAACAGTGGGTGCCACGGGTACTCCCAGCAATGAAGCTGCCGAGTCAGCCCCTGTCTCTGAGCTTCTCAAGGAAGACTCGGGCCTTTCAATCGTGGAAGAAGCGGTGAGCGTGGAAGAGAATGTATCAACACCTGCCCTTGCTGGTGAAGTTCCGTCGCCAGAGAGAGATGCGGATTTGCAAATGGTGGATGCAGACTCAGTGCCAACTGAATGGACTGTGACGGAAACCGAACATGAGACATTCCATGGCGAGGCAGATGATCACAAAGAAAAACCCCGTCATATCCCCCAATATGAAGAGGAATATTCTGAAGGTGAGAATGCGAGTGGAGAGGAATCGGAGATCGAGGAGCATAAAGACGAACTTGCTAGCCAAGCCTCCGAGCCTCGATCAGTGGACTTGGCCGATGACAATGAACAAGATGTGGCGGACGACGCGACACCCACCTGCGAGCCAAGGACAGACGTTGATATGGTATCGGACGACGAAGCAGAATCAGTTGTGGCGGATCATGGTTTCGCAGAGGAGCCCCGAAGCCACTATGATTTCGACGAGGAATCCGAAGAGTTTGAGGAAGACGTGTCCGATGAAGGTGATTTGGATGATGTCGACGAAGATGAGAATGAACTGGACGAAGAGGATGGGTACGATGACGATGACGACGAGGAAGGATATGACGACCGTGTCAAGTCGGAATCAGATCCAGAGGATGTCAGGGACGAGGCGCCCCAACCGAAAAGGAATTCCCCGGAGATCATTGTTTTAGACAGTGACAGCGAGGATGAACCTGCGCCTGTACAACCGAGCTCTGGGGCTTATTCAAGGCCAAGAGATGCAAGTGCCTCAGATTCTGACCGATCAGGACAATTCGATGATGAGTCTTCGGGCTCTGACGTCGTTGATGAAGATGAGGAAGAGATTTACGATGAGGAAGATATGGAAGATGAGGAAGATATGCACGACGAGGACATGCACGAGCAAGAAATGGTCGACGAGGACGAGGTTACAAACGTCCCCTATACTTTCGATGCCGAGGTCGAAGATGCTGAAGGGGATGTTGTATCCGAGGCTGACGAATGGACGATCCAAGACGAAAGGCATGCACAAGAACAAGACCTAGAAAGAGGTCTAAAAGAACGAGAAAGCGACAACCGTCCAGTGCATGAGGGCTTTGGGGATGTACATTCAGAAGCAGAAGATGCAAGTGACGGGGGAATAATCAAGGGATCGCCGGACGATGAACACGAGCAACCGAGAGGGGAAAGCCTTGTCGAGGAAAGCGTGAAGCGACAACACACCGAGGCTGAAGAGTCTGAGGATGAGCAGACACAAGCCAAAGAGGTTGAATCTGTGCAGCTTGAGGAAGCATACGTTCAGGAGCGCGTCGCAGAGGAAGCAAGTCCGGCCGAGCATATGCAAGACTTGGTCCACGAACCAGAGTCTGTGCCTGTGCCAGATCAAGATATGGAACCAGTCCACAACCCAGAAAGTCCCGCTGGCATTCAAGAAATTCAAACGACGACAATAATCCACGGTCCTGGCTATGAAAGTCTGGAGTTCTTCTCGTCGAGAGGGCCTGATTTTGAACATGTCGACCACAGCGCTGGCCCTTTCACGCATTCGACCGATCTTCCAATTGACCCTGCACTCCTCGATTCGGCTACATTCTCAGCACCGATACCTTCGATTGATTCGCAACACAGTCCAGTCGATGCAAAAATCCAACCAGAGGATAATGAAACAGCCGTGGCAGATCAGCAGCAAGTGGATGCAGGCCTGTCGCTTGATGGTGCCTCGGAGAGCCTGCCTGTCTCCGCTGATTTGAGTCGCCAAAGTCCGAGCCTCCAACTCGACCACCAGTTGATCACTCCGGAACCTTCGCAATTCATTGGCATGGATAAGCTTCCGTCGGTAGCTACCGCTACAAACGAAATACCACCGACTCCCGAGCCCACACAGGTAGATGCAGACATGCAGGATGTCGAAAGCGAGGAGTTCCTCTCGGTAGACGAAGGCTCCGAGGCAGAGAGCTACGCCTCTGCACCGTCGCAGAAAGAAGCCCACCCGGACGAAGGCGGCCACGGGAGTGAGGATCCCGACGCCCATGCCACGCCCAGCGAGGACGAGGTGATGCTGGTGGGGGGTGACGTCTCTCGCATCGTCGCCATGAATCGCAACTACCCGGGCCTGCGCAGCAAGCTGTCCTACTTCGCGCCGCTGGCCACCCTAGTCGACCATTTCCGAGGGCTCGTCGATACGATCTCCACTGTCGCCGAGGTGCGACCCGTGATCCGGGCAACGTCCGGTAAGAAGGACTACATCCTGACCCTGGGGCTGACCGACCCTTCCTTGGCGGGCACCATGCTCTTCGCGCAGATCTTCCGGCCCCACAAGACGGCCCTGCCGTCCGTGACGGAAGGCGACGCGGTCCTCCTGCGCGACTTCCAGGTCAAGAGCTTCAACCACGCCATGATGCTCGCCAGCGTTGAGACGAGCGCCTGGGCCGTGTTCACCGCGGCCGACGCCGACGCGCAGGTTTCCGGCCCGCCGGTCGAATACGGCCCCGAGGAGGCGACCCACGCCACGGACCTACGCCAGTGGTACCACGAGACCGGGATGGCGATGGTCGCCGACCACCAGCTGCAGGCGTCGATCGAACGCGACAGCCGCGAGGCCACGCCGCACAGCGTGGCCGGGCTGAGCGATGCGGGGAGCGTGAACTCGGCGGGTGGCGGCGGCGGCGGCGGCGAGATGCGTGAGGCCTCCTCGACCTCAAACCGGGGGGTCGGGGGCTCGCGGCGGCGCAAATCACACCGTCGCATTACGATCCACGAGCTGCGGGATGGCCGGCGGTACGCCGAGGTGGGCTCGCCGACGAGCCGTGATAGTATCCACGAACTTCGCGATGGTACTGTGTACGCCAATCTCTGAAGTTACACCTTTGACTAAAGCGTTCTATAGGGCCAGTGAGGAATGTCTGAGTCGGGCAGCTGATAGCGATGGCTTTTGAGCTTTCAGTGGGTTTAACAGATGTCATAGACCACGTCACTCAAACTTGTGTGGATTATGTGAGGTGTTGGTACCATGTACTTGTATATAACCGTGAACAACATTTCGCTTTTCGAGGAAACCCACACGAAGCACAACAAAGAATCTCAGCCGTGTCTAATCTATCTAAATCTTTGAGTTCTTCTCCCCACCGAGGAGATCTATACTAATCGCCGCCCGAATCAGTTGATTGGCGATGGCCGTAGGCGGGGGCAACCGCAGCGCGCCCTCCTTATACTCGGGGCCCGGCCCATCGCCGAGCGCACTGACGCCATTCCGCAGCGCCTCCTCGACCTCGGCGATGTCGAACCACTTGGCATCCTCGAGCTCGGGGTCATGCTCGAGGTTGATCGTCTCGTGCGCGGCGTCGCTGACCTGGGCGATGGCGCCGATCATCAAATTGGCCGGGTAGGGCCAAGGCTGGGAGGAGTGGATGACGACGCGCGACAGCGTGACGCCGGCCTCCTCCCAGACCTCGCGGCGCACCGCGTCCTCGACCGACTCGGCCGGCTCGATGAATCCGGCCAGCGTCGAGTACCAGTTGGGGGGGAACCGCTTCGACCGGCCCAGGAGGATCCGCTGCGCGTCCGCCGACATCACCGCCACGATGATCGTCGGATCTGTCCGCGGGAAGCTGAGGTTTGAGATCGTCGTCCGCGTGCTGCACGCCGGCCGCTCCGCCGGCAGGCCCTCCGCCGTCCGCGCCACGTCCGTCGGCGGGCACGCCCGCTTTGTGCCCGAGTGCACCGCGATCGTCCGGTGGCCGCACGTCCCGCAGAACGTGTTGCGCGTGTTCCAGTCGATCAAGGCCCGGGCTTGCGCGTAGATGGCCGCTGCATTCGCGGATCGTGTATCAGCATCCATCCCTCCATTACATCACAGAATTGGGACAAGCTGAGGGGGCGGGGGACATACCCTGATCAGCGGCAAAACTCATGACGACGCGCGCCTGCAAGAAGCTCAACCCCTTCGCCTCCAACGCCTCCACCACTTTTCTATACTGCTGCTGCTGCTCCTCCTCCCCGCCGCGCGGTACCGTCACATCCAGCGCGAAGTACGGCGTCCCAGCGTAGATCTTCCACGCGAACGCTCCCTCACTTTTTGTGGAAGTCTCGTCCAACCCCAGGAAGATCGGCGTCGCGGCGGTCGGCTTGCGCGAGTCGTAGGCTTTGAGGAGATCCTCCTCGGATTGGTCGTAGAGCGTGGCCGGGACGAGGGGCTGGACCTCGTCGTAGCGCGCGTAGTAGGGGTCGGCGGGGGCGGCGGCCTTGGTGAGCGGGGCGAGGTCCTTCAGGAGGACGAAGCGGGTGGAGGGGTGCTTGAGGGCGGCGGCGAGGAAGGGGTGGTCGGAGCGGAGGAAGGAGAGGCGGTTGAGCGGGGAGCCTTTTCGCCCTTGATTAACATGCTGTGGGTTTAGAGAAGGGGGAGGGCGTACTGGAGAAGTAGTTGGCGGTTTCGCGGCCGAATTGGCGGGCGAGCATGGTTTCGGCTTGGATGTGCGCGGGGTTGGGGATGAGGGCGTCGCTGCTGGTCATGATGGTGGTTGTGTAGTTTTGGGGGGGGCTTGTCTTTAAATGATAGAAGAAGGGGAAACGGGACTCAATGGAAAGAAGGGCAATTGAGTACAGGACACGAGTCAAAAGTCAAAGAGGAAAAAGAACGAGCCCCGAGGCATTTGTAGGATTTGTACTTCTTGCTCTTCTTTCCTCTTCTCCGATAACGATGGATTAATCAGCCGGTTTCGTGCCGAGGATCTGCGCCACGGGTATTGCGATTACCGTACTTACCACAGGAAGCGGGTGAAATGCCGCTGTAAGATGTAATACGCGTACACTGAGGGGCAGTCGGGGAGCACCCCACACACGTGACCTTGCATCAAGCTGACTTGCCGGGGCATCGCCATTTCTCCAACTCTTATCAATCAAGTCCGACTCCAGCTCTGCACTATTGCTTCCTTGGCTTGGACCCGACCGGAACCTGTGCATCCTCACATCCTCACATTCAATCGGTCTGTTGCCAATCCCCATAACCAATCATGGGGCACCTGGTCACTCTCGCAACATGGTACGTGGGTCCCATCGCTCCCGCGTTTTCGGGTTGGGTGCAACCGTTCTGACCATTGCCCACATGCAGCTCGCTCAACCAGTGGGCCCTCGACTTCGAGGGCAATGCTGAGCGCATCATCGAAAGTATCCGACAAGCCAAGGCAGCTGGCGCCACCCTGCGCGTCGGTCCGGAGTTGGAGATCACTGGTATTGTCCATGTTTGAGGGGCTGGGGTAGGCGCGTTGACACGGACTAGGCTATGGCTGCTTGGACGCCTTTATCGAGGGCGACACGTTCCTTCACTCGTGGGAGATGCTGGCGCGCATCATTGATCACCCCGACTGTCAGGATATCGTGGTCGATGTCGGGTGAGTTGTGGCAGTCAGACTACATGGTCTGCGACGGCAGCTGACCGGATGATAGCATGCCTGTCCGTCATCGGAACGTGCGGTACAATTGCCGGTGAGCTTGCCCTTCCAGGGGTTAACAAAGACAGCCTGACAAGACTAGGGTGATCTTCTTCAACCGCAAGATTATCTTGATCCGGCCCAAGATGTGGCTTGCCAATGGTGGGACTTCCTGAAAATGCTGCGCTCGGAGCAGATCGCTGACGAGCTCATGCAGATGGCAACTATCGTGAGATGAGGCATTTCACTCCCTGGCAACGCCCCCAGGAGATCGAGGATTACTACCTGGAGCAGATTGTCGGCAAGATCACCGGGCAGTACAAGGTGCCGTTCGGGGATGCGGTCATCAGCACTAGGGATACGTGCTTGGGCTTGGAGACGTGCGAGGAGCTGTTCACTCCCAATGGGTAACCGGTTCCTCACCCGTTAGAAAGCCGTGCTGATCGATGTAGTCCCCATATTCCTTACGGTCTCGCTGGCGTGGAGATCATCTCGAACTCGTCGGGAAGCCACCACGAACTCAGGAAGCTCGATACCCGGGTCAACCTCATCACGCAGGCCACCAAATTGGTGAGAACACCCCAAAATAGAGTGTGGTGGGATACTGATGGGTCTGCAGAGTGGAGGCATTTATCTATACGCCAACCAGCAGGGCTGCGACGGTGATCGTCTGTACTATGACGGCTGCGCGATGATCGTTGTCAACGGCAACATCGTGGCTCAGGGCTCGCAATTCTCGCTCAACGACGTCGAGGTTGTCACTGCCACCGTGGACATTGAAGAGGTATTTCCCTGCTCTTTGACGTACGGCGTCGGCTGACTTGGACAGGTCCGGTCATACCGTTCCAGCGTCAGCCGCAGCATGCAGGCCAGCAGACAAACCCCCTTCGTCCGTCTCGATCTGGATTTCAGACTGTCGCGTACCGGCGAAGAGGCTGATCCCGGCCTTGCCCCATCTGAGGTCCTCCAACCACGTTACCACGCCCCGGAGGAGGAGATCGCCCTCGGGCCAGCCTGCTGGCTGTGGGACTACCTTCGCCGAAGCGGAGCCGCGGGATACTTCGTTCCTCTGAGTGGAGGCATCGACAGCTGTGCGACGGCCATCATTGTGCACTCCATGTGCAGGGAGGTCGTCAAAGCGGTGCAGCAGGGAAATGAACAGGTGATCAAGGATGTCCGCCGGCTCTGCGCGGAGCCGGAGGGATCTGCCTGGCTTCCGTCCACCAGCCAGGAGGTCTGCAAGTAAGCACCTTCTTCTCCAGTTCGCTGACGACGAAACTAAACTCCTCAAGCCGCATCTTCCACACCAACTATATGGGCACGCAGAACTCCAGCAAGGAGACCCGGGAGCGGGCCAAGACCCTGGCCGCGGAGATCGGCTCCTACCACATCGACTTCAACTTCGACACTGTCGTCACCGCCGTCACGAACCTGTTCACGGTGGTGACCAACTTCCAGCCAAAGTTCAAGGTGCACGGCGGCAGCTTCGCGGAGAACCAGGCGCTGCAGAACATCCAAGCCCGCCTGCGAATGGTGCTATCGTATCTGTTTGCGCAGATGCTTCCGACGGTCCGTCAGCGGCCCGGGGGTGGTGGGTTGCTGGTGCTGGGATCGTCCAACGTCGATGGTATGTCCACCCGTACCTGTAGCTAAGCTGGTGCTAACGTCCCGCAGAATGGTGTGTACCGAGCAACCCAACCTCTCACCTGTGTACAGCAAAGCAAACTAACCCAACCAAAGTCTCCGAGGCTACCTAACCAAATATGACGCCAGCAGCGCCGACGTACGTCCTCTTCCCCGACTCCCCCTATCCCCCTCCCCCAACTAATCTCCGTCCAGCTCAACCCAATCGGCTCCATCAGCAAAGTGGACCTCAAAAAATTCATCCACTGGTCCCAAACCGCCTTCGCGCTCCCGATCCTGCACGACTTCCTGCACGCCACCCCCACCGCCGAGCTCGAGCCCATCACGCAGACCTACGTGCAGTCCGACGAGGCCGACATGGGCGTCACCTACGCCGAGCTGTCGGTGTTCGGACAGCTGCGCAAGGTGGCCAAGCTGGGCCCGTGGTCGATGTACGAGCGCCTGCTGCACAAATGGGGCCACGAGCTTAGCCCCCGCGAGGTGTACGAGAAAACCCGCCATTTCTTTTACAATTACAGCATCAACCGCCATAAAATGACGGTGTTGACGCCTAGTTACCATGCTGAGGGGTATTCGCCGGACGATAATCGGCATGATTTGCGGCAGTTCCTTTGTACGTGGCCCTGTTTTCTGTTTTGTTTTTAGGAGGGGTGGGTTTGTGGTTTGGGATGGGTTAGGGTGTGGCTAACTGTTTCTGTTCTTTGTGCTGGGCAGATCCCCCGTTTACCTGGGCGTATCAGAAAATGGAGGCGAGCGTTAAGTATTGGGAGGAGAAGGGGTGGACGGCGGGCAAGGCGCAGAAGAAGAGCGTGAAGGCGGATTAGCGGCTGCTTGCTGTCTAGAGGCAGGAATGAGAGGTCAAGCGGGTGCTGATTTGACAGCTTCGCTTAGCGTCGGGTGTAAGTGTACTGTAGATGTTGGTGCCTGACTCTACCTGTGGGTTGGATTATGCGTAGCATGGAGATCTTGAGTCGGTCAGGGCAGGGCATAGACCGAAGAGTACGGAATACTTATTGCTGGGTGATAGATACTATACCATACCTTGAGACGTTCTTCATGATCTTTGTTCATGTTCTTAATCATGTTCTTATTCTAGGTGCTTGCTACTGGGGTTCCTGACACACTGAAAAGAGCAAGTATGCAAGAAGCAAGTGTCCTATTTAGCTAACGTGCTCTTACACTACTCCACCGACCCCGGAGAGAACGACATACATCATCCTTCACCCCCGATGAACTCCCATACCCCAATTCAAGTATCTGACTGAGAATCCACATTTTGGACAAGCATGCACCTCCATCCCCCGCCGTTGATGATACAAAAGAAACCATGTAGTAACAAATTGTGATAATACAAGACGCGAAACGCTAACAACGACATCACCAAGCAAACAACAAAACAATATGGGAATAATGCTTTTTAATATAGGCATGGACAAAGGAAAGAACCACCTTAACCCTGGCAAGGGGGAAAAAAAAAAAGAAAGGGAGTGTGAACAACAGGTCTGAAACCAGACCGCGAAATCATCCCTTCCAGAACCAACCATCTTTGTTCTCTTCGGCGCCGCCGGCATCAGCAGATAACTGTGGTGGCTGCTCACCCTGCACACCCTGCCGAGGATTCACGACGTCGACATTTTCATTCGTCTCTTCGCGACCATCGGAGAACCGCTTTTTCCGAATCGTCTTGGTCTGAATGGCGCCGTCGGGGAGGCGGACGCGCTCGGTGCGGGTCTGCGTGGCGATCACGTATGGGGTTTGTGCAGGTGCCCCCGTGCCACTGTCATGGGAGGTGGGGGTGGTCTGGTCAGCCTGCTGCTGCGATCCGTAGAAATCGTCGAATCCCTCGCGCGGCGCCAAGTCCCTAAAGCGTCGACGGTCGTCGAGCAGCAAGCGCAGCAGGGGACTCTCATGAATCTCGCGGGCAAACGCCTGCTCGCGGGCCTGGAGATTATCCAAGAACCGATCGTACAGGTCCTGCTCCGTGAGCGCGTCGGCCCCGCCAGCGGTCTGCGCAAGGTCCTCCGTGTCGATGACCTCCGCCTTCTTCCTCGGGATATCGTCTGGCAGCACTTGCGAGTTGTCGAAAGTGATCGTCGACCACGACGGCTGATTATTACCGGCCTCCCCGGACACATACTTCCACCGGTCGCCCAGACTGCCCCGCTGCACGAGGCCCTGCAACCAGTCCTTCCCGGATTCCCGGCTCGCTGTTTTTGTGGAAGTATCCGCCCGCTCGAGCATGGGCTTCCCGTTCTCCAGCCGCAGGAGATCCTCGAACGCGTCGCGCCACAAGGGCTCCGACTCCGGCTCTGCGGTGGGGGTATCGTCGCCCTCGGAGGAGAGACTCAGCGTGGACATCAGGGATGAGAACACCCCCCTCTCCCCGCGGGCACGGTCGCGCCGCCGCTCGAGATGCAGCGGCGAGTACGGGCTGAACATCAGGTAAGGCACGGGCCAGGCGGGGGAGGCGTCGCTGATGAGGTTGTGCAGCATGGGGCGGTGGGGGAAGGGCTGGAAGAGGAGGCGCCGCGAGGCCCCGAACTCGTCGTCGTCATTGTCCGCGTCCAGCCAGAACCGGTCGAAGAAGGAGTTGAAGAAGAAGTCGGCGTCGCTGCGGTAGTTGCGCGGGTAGAAGTGGTGGTGGTGTGCGGCGACGGTCTTGGAGTTGTCCCAGTCGGACCAGTACGCGGTGGTGGGGGTGGTGGTGGTGGTGGCCTGGTCGGCGGAGGTGTCTTCGGGGCCCTGGGCGCTGCCGCTGGTGTTGTTCGGGTTGTCGCGCTGGCGGTCGTCGAAGATGGCCCAGCGTTCGGAGGAGGGGTTGATGGAGGAGGGAAGGCCGGTTACGGACTGCAGTACAGAGGAGATTTGCTCGTCGGCGAAGCGCCGGATCGCGACGAAGGGGTTGTCATCTTCGGGCCAGCCGTGGTAGTGATGGTGGTGGTGGTGGTGTTGGTTGTGGTTGTGGGGGGTGGGATAGGTGTCTTGGTTGGGGGTGTTTGTGTTTTGGGTGTCGTCTCCAGCCATGGTGTGTTTTGAGGAAGCGAACGGATAGCAAAGAATGGCGAATTGATATGTGACAGGTAGAGTGAAAGCACAGCTTTCTTCGGAAGAAGAAACGAGGCAAAGCGAGGGGATTGAGAGTAGATAAAAAGTGGGCTCCAGGCATTTGTTGGGGAGATCGCCCCACTGCAATCATCCACCGCCCGCCACTACCGCCTGAGGCTGCCAACGCCATACCATACACTACGGTCAGATACAGTACGCAAACATCACCAGTACCTATACTTCAGCGAGTAGCGGAAGCTCACCGGTAGGCTCAGGATTTAGGAATAGGTGCTACCAGGAAGCTGAAAGAAAGGGGGGTCCGGGGGTTCTCCCCCGGGAAGTCTTACTCGCGGGGGACATGCCAGAGATGGGGAGATTAAGTTGGTGATGTACCAGTTGCATCAAGATATCATCATGAGTATACAACAATAAGGGACTGTACTATACTATACTTCAGCCTCGAGATACTGGTGACCATTATACCGGACAGTACAAGTACGGAGGATCATAGTACAGTACAATACACAGCCCCATACAGCACGTGATCCTCGCCCGATGGGGCTGCAGTGCAAGCTGCAAAAAGCAAAAGCAAACCCGCATTCTCGACCCTTCGCCTTTTTTCCACGCTGTCATCGGTTCAGCTTCTCTCTCATTCATTGTTCCATTCACGCAGATTCTACCATTCATTGATTATGCTGACGCTCAGGGCTAAGAATAGCTCGCGAGAGCTTCCCATGCTTACACAAACCAGCATAGACATACTTCCAGAATACCCCTACCATGACGCAGGCCTAGTAGTGTCATCCCTACAGCTCGGCGCGCCCGTCGAATTCGCGCCAGGCCTGGTCAAACCCGGTGGAGCGGACCCACATCGGATGATGATCGTGGTCGGATGTTGAGTCCATTGCTAAGTGGATCCCGTTAGCTTCAGTCCCAATGCTTTAGAGCCCCTCTGGCATAGCCTTGCAGGGTACTCGTACTCCGCACGTAGTCCACTGATTCGGTTGTATTAAAGGATGACGGGATTTGACGACCTACCCATATTGGCAATCCTCAGCCACATATCCCCCTTAATCGGCCAGCGACGCTCGTCCTCGAACGGCCGACAAGCCCGCTCCCCGTGGGCCACGGCACGGACCAGCTTGGCCAGGTGGCCGTCGTCCTGCGGGTGGCGGGTGCAGAAGGCGAAGATCTCCTCCCAGCTGTGCGCGATTGGATACGTCCGGATCTCATCGAGGTACAGCGTGGGCGTGCCGCGGGAGACGTAGAGCAGGAGGTCGATGCGGCCTTTCCACTCGAGCAGGCGGAGCTTAGTCTTGATCTCCAAGAACGGGAGCGTGAGGATCTTGGAGAAGAAGATGGAGGAGTTGAGGCTGTGCAGGTAGAAGAAGTCGAACTTGATCTGCTTGGTGGGGCGTTGGGCGGCGCTGGTGTAGTATACTACACACGGTCAAGAAACACCCGATTTGCAATGCAAAGGAAAGGAATACTCACCCACGGTATTGATCATCTCCGCCGTCCGCTCCTCCAGCTGCTCCGCCGACACCGTATACTCGGCCGCGTACGCGAGCATCGTCTCGCCCGCGCGGGCCAACACGCCATCGCGCATCTTGTTCCCATCCTCCCAACGCACTGAGCGCGCCAGCGTCTCGTCCCGGCGGATCTCCCCCAAAATCTCCAGCAGACCCTTCTTCCCGCGCCGCCCCACGCCCCCGGCCTTCTCCTCAGCCGGCCAGAAGAACATCGGGCCCGTCCAGTCTTCATGGATGGCCGTCTGCGCCAGTGCCTCGGCCACGAGGGCCGGCTGCTCGAATTCCAGGCCGAAGCCCAGATGGATGAACGGGTGGACCAGCCCTTCGTTGCAGTCAGCACCACCCCCACACCCTCGTGTCAAACACAAGCAACGTAAGAAAAGGAAGACTCACCCCCAAACAACCGCCCCAACATCGCCCTCGCAACCTCATCCTCCTCCTTGAAAAGATACACATTCAACACCTCCTCCACACCCACCCGCTCAATCTCGCGCTGAAAGAACCGCAGAAAATCCGAGTAGTGCTTCCTTCGCCCCAACAGCTCCAAAAACCGGCCGCGGTCGGACAGCGCCGCGACGGTCGCCTCGTCGACGGGGATCGCCTTGCGCTGGTAGGCGCGGTCGCGCGCGTAGGCTGTGCGGATCTCGTCCGCTGAGGCGCCGAGGGCGTAGGTGCTTAGGATGTGGTGGACGGTGTGGTCTTCTTTCGGTCAGTATGTTGTTTTTCGGGCGGGGTTGGGAAGAGGTAAGGGATGGGAACAGTACTGTGGAACCCCTGATCATTGAAGAAGACATGATGATGTTCCAGGTCATGTTGTAGGACTTCGCTGGTTGCGCGGGCTGAGGCTTCGGTGATGGTACCTGTCCCGCTCTCCTGGTTCTCTGGGCTGGAGGTGGAGACGGGGACGGAGAAGGTTCCCGGATGTGCTGCTGGCGAGAGGTGGATTCGTTGGGCTGTGGCCATTGTTGTTGCTGTTCGCGGGTGGTCGGTGGTGAAGTGCACGAGATGTGGTGGTGATAATGGGGTAGGCTTCGCACGAGTGGGGGTGTGTCGGTTGCTTTGTAGCGCAGTAGTGAGGGCTTTTGTGCCTTTGGTAAAAGCAGTGGTTGTACTTGTAGTATACCAAGCGCTTGATCGAGTCGTATAGCAGTATCTGCTGGGTACAGAGGGTAGTGATAGTGCCACCGCACGAGATTTATATCCGATGCCAGCACATCTAATCCGTGGAGGAGGAGTCATCCGACGCATCTAGCCCAGCCCCCGGTTTCCCAGTCTGAGAATAAATATGGTCTGGCCAAGGGTGTATTAGAAACCGGATTCCAGAACTGGAGAAGAAGCTGGAGCGAATCAAGTCGAATGCGCGTGAGACCCTGGAGACCCTGGCGACCCTGGCTGGAGGTAAGTATGTTGCAGGAAAACAAATTGCCTCCTCTTGATTTGCGGAGACAGGAGACAGGCCAAGCGCGAGCTTCCCGTGAATGAAGGAGACGTCATTCTGATTCAGGCTAGGTAGGTTAGGCTACCCCGGAAAACAGCCGGGAATTCCTGTGGATCGTGATCGTGCTGAAACAGCGTCGCATGATCGGAGCCAGAATACGACATGCTTATAAATGGGCTCGGCCTTCGGGGCTTGCGGGCTTGCGGGCTTGCTGGGGATCGGTGGTGTTCCCTAATTATGTGGGATACGCCGATCTAGAGCGTCGGTCGGGGCTGCGGTCGGTGTCATCATGAGTAAGAATACTGTACACTCAGTACTCAGTGGTCGGGGTAGGCTGAGCTAGGTCAGTCAGGGTACATTGTCGAATTGCTGGGAGATATATGAGAGTATCTGTAGTCTGTATTTGGGGTTACCTGACCAAATTAGTAGCCCGCTGGGGACTGAGAACTGGTGTCTTCGTAGCGCTGCCCCAGGGAGAGTGGCATTGTAGATTCTGGCCGCTTCAGTATGAGCTTCTTAATTTTATTTGTTCATGATTTTAAGACTATATAGTTCATGCTGAAGGCTATTTCAATCTGCCAGACTTCTACCAAATAAAAGAATAGCTAACGCACGAAGTCCTCCAACTCCTTCTTCCGTTTCAGTCGCTCCCGCTCCATCTTCCGGAATAGAGGATGGTGACCGGCCTTGTCCTTGAGCTGCTTGTTCCGGCTGCGGTTGTACTCGATGTAGGCCATATCCTCGCCACCCGCCAGCCCACTGAGAGTCGCCGCGCTCCGCTTGACGGCGCCCTTGCGAGCCCGGGCCCCTCCCGAGCGCGAGGAGAACAGATCGTCGTTGACGTGCTCGACCTCCGCCGAGGTCTCGTTCTGCAGCATCACCTCCTGCAGCAGCTCGCGTCGTTCCGCCGGGGTGGCATATGCCAGGCCTTCCAGGTTCTCGATCCCCTGCAGATGGGTGATCACCTTGAAGGCATAGCCCTGATCGACCAAGAATGCCTGCCGCTTGGAGGAATAGAACATCTCGTCCGTGTCTTTCGACACCAGGGAGTAGAAGAACGCGTTGAAGCCTTCGTCGTTACGACGCTTGGCCCGCAGAATCCGTCCCAAGCGCTGAGCCTCCTGACGACGCGAACCGTAGTGCGACGAGATCTGGATAAGACAGGTGGCTTCCGGCAGATCAAGGGAGGTATCGCCGATCTTGGACAAAAAGATCGTGTTGACCTGCTCGTTGTGCTGGAAGTTCTCGAGAATGCGCATGCGCTCGTTCTGGGGGGTGCCCCCGTAAATGTAGGCCTTGTTCAGCTTGAGCGCATATCGCTCGAGAGCATAGACGTTGTCCGAAAAGACAATGACTTTGTCCCCGCGCTTCTCGTGGTAATCAATAAGGAATTGACACGCCTGGAACTTTCGCGGATTCATAATGTACAACAAGGCGGCTTTTCGGGATTTCTCCCGCATGTACTCCGAATAGAATTCGGTGGTCATGGGGCACCACACTTCGGCACATTGTACCTTGGCGATGTGCCCTTGCTCGGCCAGCTCCATCCAGTTCGCTTCGTACAGCTTCGGACCAATCAGGAAGTTCAAATCCTTGATCTTGTCGTCTTCACGCAGCAGGGTGGCAGTCAACCCAAGCTTGCTCTGACAAGCGATGGCGGATGTGACCTTTCGGAACATGGAAGCAGGCACAACGTGCACCTCGTCGAGGATCATCAGACCCCATTCACGCCCTTGAATCCAGTCCATCATCTTCTGCGCGTCGTGGGAGCGCGCCCGCGTTTGAGACACCATGGAGTAAGTGGAAACAATGATACCAGTCGACCGGCGGAACTTCTCCTTGTTGTCCGAGGTGAAGACGGCGATGTCGCCCGGATCGATATTCGACCACCGCAAGAACTCGTTTCTCCATTGCACCACGGACATGGAACTGGTGCACAGGACCATAGTACCTTTCTTGATCGTGCAGGCCGCCGTGATACCCACCAGGGTCTTGCCGGCACCACACGGCAGCACGATGATTCCACTCTTGGCACGTCCGTTACCGAACATCTTACTCAAGCTCTTCTCCTGGTAACTTCGAATCCGCGCGTTGGGCTTCAGGTCAATATCCAGCGTAGGGTTGATCTCGTCGTTCCGGAAGTCATACTCCTCCAACGCCGGGCAACCCATGGCCTGACAGCGCGCCTTGACCGGTTCGACGGCTTCGTTCGGAATCTCAAAACTGTGCACCTGTGCTTGTTCCTCGTCATCGTCGTCGTCGTCCCGGATGGCGAGAAGGATATCGTCCTCGCGACGAGCCTCCCCCGCCGCGTCCTCGGCCGGTTTCTGGTCCGTGGTCTGCTTCACACCCGCCGCATCCTTGGTACCGGGGATAACCAAACCGCCCATCTTCGGCGCCGCCTGCTGAATGATACCCTCCGACCCCTGTAATCTCTGGGGCCCGATAACCTCATCCTGGAGCAGCATCTGCAGCATCGCCGGATCGGTACTCTCCACAAAGAACCGGTTATGCTTCAAGACCACCTTAATCTTTCCGTACGACTTCGTGAAATCGATAATGAACGACTTGATGGTCTCCGGGAGCGGCGTTTTCGACAACCGATCGAGGAAGTTGATGATATCCTGCGGCTGCAGGCCGACCGACACGGCGGCATACAGACTGTTTCCCGTCAACCGGTACTCGTGGAGATGCGTCGGCCGGGAGAGCGGTTCGGCGATCGTGGTGAGGAAGTCCTGGGCCTGGGGCGCGAGCGGCGAGAAACTCTCCAGGGTGATGGTGCCCTTCAGCGGATCGATCCAGAGGGGGCGATTCGCGTGATCGGGCTTCAACGCCAGGGACGAGAAGTCCTTGTATCCGAAGTTGGGATCCTGCTTCTGAATAGCGCCGCCGCCCTTTTTGCTGAAATGCTCGATGTTGAAATTCTCCACGACATCTGTGAGCGAAGCCCGCCGCAAATCAGTGATTTCGTTCTGGGACGTTCTCTCCCCCTCTTATTCTTGCTTACCTTTCAGGTTATCTTCCTTGACCTCCTCCTCCTCGTAGTCCGAATATTCATCACCGCTACTGATATCAGGCACGGGAGTGGCGCGCTTCGAGGCTCGACTCGATCGACCACCTATACAGTCAGAATGGAATCACCACCGGAGTAGTGGCGGTGGGATGGGCATGCATACTATCTAAAGCTTTGCGTTTGACCGGCGGCATCTTGTCCAGTCCAGTGGGGCCGGGATATTATCCCTGAGAACTCTATAATTCTATACTGTGCAAAAGCGAATCCGCGCGGTCGCGACCAGGCAAGAAAGTATCGATTTGCTCCCGACAGGCTACCGGCGCCCTTAGTGAGCCGTTCAAATAAGTATGACCATATCCCGATCAGACGAAAAGCACCTACCAGCTTTTTATTTACTGCTGGTGGTATATATGGCGGTGGTCGACAAGGGACAGGAGGGATGAGGAGTGAAGGAGGAAGACTGGAGGCATGAAAGAAGATCGATCGATTGCGGAGCGGAAGAGGCGAGGCTCGGCGGTGTTTGGCAGCCTGAGGCAACAATGAGATTGCTCAGCCAGCGTCCACACCTGCAAGTGGCGTCGGCGCCGTGCGGGCAATTCAATTGGTCAAAGTTTCGGCCGAAGGGCTTCGGCAGTGATTGACGTAGTTCAATCTCGCATTTCCCCGTCCTAGACCTCAGTGCGGTCTTCAATCTCCCTTGAATTGACACTGCGTGCAAGAAGTGGTCAATATATACAAGATGAACACAGTATGTGCCTGACTGGACTTACCCATCAAACCAGTTGCAAAGTTAAAGCTCGCTGACTTTATGTCTCACTCAACAACTAGATCAAATCCACCTGGTAAGGTGAAGCCCAAAACAACCAAGCCCGCAAACACACACACAACCACATAAACCAACCACAGCCTTTCCTTGAGATGCGCCTCAACTAACACGAATCCCAACCTAACAGGATCGGCTGGGGTACTCTCTGCGTCGGTAAGCAACGCAACACCCTGCCTACTCCCCTCCCAATCACCCCCCTCCATCAACAAAAACTAACGCTCCCCCCGAAAAAAAGCTGGCGGCGGCGCCTACTACTTCGCGAAGAAATCCATCAACGCCGACCGTCAAAACCGGTTCGAGACGGAGATGAAACGCAAAGCGCAGCTGGCTGCCATGGAAGCGGAACACCGGCGCCAGTCGGCGTCCTCGCTGACCAACCCTCCCCCGATCCCCTCGGACGACCCGAGCCTCAAGCGCGCCGCCCAGCTGGCACGGTCGCAGCAGAACGCCGCCGACGACGTGGCATCGCCCAGCGCCGAGGCGAGCCACGACCCGGCCGCGACGCGCCACGAGCCCGAGACCGAGGCCGACCGCGTGCTGGAGAAGGGGAAGTACGAGGCTGCGCAGCCGTTTCGGCCGCCGAAGGGGAATCGACTCTAGGGGGTAGATGGGGGGGAAATAATGAGGTATAGAGAGGGGTTTGGTCAGAGATGAGGTAGGGATAAAGGATGACCGCGAAAAAAGTGCCAGTGACCTCTTTCGTGTGCGCACTGTACTGTACCATAATGTTTCCCTTAATGTATAGGTTCTGCCCTTTTCGGAAATCGGTTTTGAGGTGCGTGTGGCTTGGGCTCGTGGGGCTGGGTTGCGTCCGATGGAAAGCTTGTTCTCTCTGCACTCTACACTACATACTTCGTGCATGTCTTGGATCTCGTGAAGATCCGGGGAAATTAAGTACTAATCGGATTTACTTCTACATCCGAGACAAATCGGACCTGGGACTGATTATCCTCGAGCGAATGCGTCGGTTGGTTGATTAGTAACGCGAATTGTATTGCTGCTAGACAGCTAGCTAGCTATCTCATAGTCGTAACATCGTTATCCGCTACCTCCGGCGATTTCCACCTCCTGTATAGCGGGTATGAAAGAAGACCGCGGGGGAAAGACAGAAGAAGAATCCGCCCCGTCAGCATTACTGCCTGGCACCTGTCCAGGAGTTCTCCCTTCAGAAACACAAGAGTTTCTCGCACAGTCACGCCAAACAAAAGGAAATATTAAGGTTTGCAAGCTAAACGCCAGCCGGACACGTTCCCGATGACCCCTGAAAATCCATATGTGGGGTTTCTCATGATGCAATTCCCTCAGAAAATGTCGTTTGTGAGGGTGGTTGAAAAAAAAAGAAAAAAGTAAAAAGGGAAAGAAAAAAAGTATATGCCAGTATCCATACGCCAGCCGGAAAAAGCCAACACAGAAAAGAGAAAGGATCAATAATCCGACAGAAAATCGAATGGCGTGATAACACGAGAGGTGATGTTATGTCGCTGCAAGTATGGCCCCACCCGTGGAGTTATGTGTAAATCCGAACGGATATATGTGGTCTAGCGGGCATGGAAGCAGAGTGGGGGGTGTGGCCTGATAGAGAGGAAAGATTCCGTCAGTCGAGGGTTGCAGCGATTAACACATGCAGAAATGAGACTCACTTGTTGTGGGTGGGATAGCCTTTGCTCTTTTCCCGAGAGCTTTCCAGCGCTGGAGGGATGAAGGGGAGGACGACCGCTGAGAAGAGGCAGGAACTGGTGATGAAGCGGGAGGTGCGCGTGTCGGGGCGCGGACGGTGCACCGAGAAATGGCGGATGGTAGGGCGGGCAAATTGGATGGCAATCATTGTGATGGTTTGGAGGGACAAGGGGTTGGAGATATAGGGCTGGTATGATGCGATGCGACGCGATGAGGTAGACAACGAGTTCGGGGTATGTATTGTATGTATAGTGTGTGTGCGTGTGTGTGTCGGTCCAGAGCGTTGTGGATTGTGATGTATTGGAGATAGGTTGAAGCAAGTTAAATTTAGGTATAGCAGTGAATCAATCAAGTCTAGCTAGAATTAAAACACCCTGCAGAGGGTGGGAACCATGGGGGATTTATAGTTGAGGTGGTTGTGGTGATCAAGAGTCACTCTGGAATCCCGAGATCAGATCATGAGCATGAGAGCATGAGCGTGTTTCGGGAGGAGTTGCGGGGAGGGTCCAGATGGGGGATGGGGTCATTGAGGCCCACTCAATCGAGGGAGGCATTGAGGGAGGGAAAAAGAAATAGCGCGCACGCGGAAAAACGGTCCTCAGTCGTCATGGCTCCATGGCTCCTGCAGCAGCCGAAACATCGATCGGCTTGCAGCATAGGCAGTTGGAACTTGGGAGTGTGTCATCTGAGGTGCGCTCTTCATTTTTACTGATTCAAGCCACTAGTTCTCCCTGCATGTCAGAATTGAACTAAGCAGGTACCCCATTGGTCTTGGATGCATCTGGCCAGTCTATGGCGGATTAAAGGATTCGGATACCTAACAAGGTAATCCAGTGCAACTTCAACCTGCAATTGACCCCTACGGCCATCAGTGGGTAAGGAGGAAGGACCTTGTTGTCATACTGTTGTCGATGACCCCTCATCCCTCTCCCTCTCCCCTCTCAACCAAGGTGCGGGTGCAGCGAGGAATGCGTATTGCCATGCTCACGCCATCAACAAGAGGGGCAGATGATCTACAAGTTCCGGCCGAAGACGTGAAAGGAAGAGGGGCAGTACTCGTAACAGTCCAAACAGTACGTACCCAGCAGAGTCAGACTTTCCAGTGTGGGGTCCGGCGACTCGAGATCCGGCCAGGCACACTGGGGGGTAATCGCGGTAGTTGCTGCGGTTGGGCACTGGCGCTGTACTGCATCTGCCCGGCCCGTGGCAATTGCGGTCTGCTCACGGTTTGTCTGATGGCGGGAGTCGACCATCCGGCGGAACACACGAGTAAGATAACAAGTACCCTAAACTCAAGTTCAGGTGATTGTCTAGTTCCTCAAAGAGAAGAATGAGCAATGACCAGTGGATCCATACGCAGGAGTCAGAAAAGACCGAGAATTATGTTGAAATTGGTAAGCCGGAGAGGACTAAGGAAAACACTGAATGACGACAGAGATCCCCCGGATCATGTGACCACCACCAGCATACCAAGTACGTAGTTCAGTTCGGTTCATATTATATGATGCTTCAAGCAAGACTATCCAAGAATCTGAGCGACTCATCATGATACTTCCACTTGTCTTGCTTGATCGGAGAATGAATTCCAAGACATCTTCCCGTGAACCCTCCTTCAATGCAAGCTTTCCCCGCATTGTGTGCATGGTCGATAACTACCTCAGGCACCAATGCTGTTTAGTCCTTTTGGCCCTCTGCGCTAGCCCAGCTGCTTCAGCCTCACACTCCCCTCACCGACCTCAAGCCCTGTCTGATGATGCCACAACGTGGCTTTTGACTCTTGGCTTTTGGCTCTGGCGTGAATTACTGAGGTCCCAAACGAAGCGAACACCCGACCGAATGATTGCCAAATAGCAATCTAGTCGACAGTGGAGAATGTCGCTTTATATCCCCAACAGTGGATACCCAGCATAGAGTGTGCTTCGACACCCCGGGCCGACAGACAATAGTCCGCCACCCAATTCAGGTCCTTGAAATGGCGACAACCCCTAGGATTTACCGTCATCATGACTACACAATCGCGTGGATCTCTGCACTACCCTTGGAGATGGCGGCTGCAGCCGCAATGCTTGACGAGAGGCATCCGGACTTACCAACTGATCTAGGTGACATTAATAGCTATATCTTCGGCGGTATACACGGGCATAATATTGTCATCGTATGTCTTCCTGCCGGAGTATATGGCACAACATCAGCTGCAGTGATCGCCAGTCAGGTTCAATTTACCTTCAAATCGATACGGTTCGGCTTGATGGTCGGCATCGGAGGTGCGGTTCCATCACAAGGCGACATCCGGCTTGGCGATGTGGTGGTCAGCAAGCCAACGAGAGACTATGGCGGCATTGTGCAGTATGACTACGGAAAGACTCTGAGCAACAATCGCTTCGAGAGAACTGGCATGCTTAACAAACCACCGTCGGTACTCTTGACTGCGATCGCCAAATTGCAGGCGGAGCACATGGTGAGGTCGAGCAATATCCCCGCCATATTGTCTGATATGGTATGCAGGTACCCAAAAATGAAAGACAGATTTACCTACCGTGGTGCGGAGCAGGATGTGCTGTTCGAGGCAGATTATGATCATGAAGACGTCGAGAGTACCTGCGCGAACTGTAACCCCAGCAGAAGGAAAAGTCGGCCCGATCGAGGCTACGATGTCCCCGTGGTTCATTACGGCCTTATTGCCTCCGCAAACCAGGTAATGAAGAGTGGTCGTATAAGAGATCAACTAGCGAATAATTCTGGGATTCTCTGCTTCGAGATGGAAGCAGCCGGCCTGATGGATAACTTCCCTTGCTTGGTGATCCGAGGGATCTGTGACTATGCAGACTCTCATAAAAATAAGCAGTGGCAAGAGTACGCGGCTGCCACGGCGGCAGCATATACCAAGGAGCTTCTGTCCATGATTCATACCAAGCAAGTCGTCGACATGCCGTCACCTGGTGTGGCTTTGGAGCTGGCGCAATATGGTCTGAAGGCCCCAGTCGGCACGGAAACACATGCAGGCGAAATAAGCAAAAGTCTACACATAGACATCGGACAGCTACTCGAGCGGATCTCGAACTATGACCATGACAAGGTTCACCGAAGACTTGCCTACAAGCGTCTTCCTGGAACAACTCAGTGGTTCCTGAACCATGCAACATTCAAATCATGGCTTACGGGGTTGGATCAATCCAGCCTCTGGTGTTCGGGGAAAATTGGTTCAGGTAAATCGATCATCGCGGCTTCCGTCGTTGAGGTTGTCAAGTATCGCGCACTCGAGACTTCCAGTTGCCATTGTCCTACGGTATTTTTCTATTGCGAAAACGAGTATTCTGGCTCGTTACAGGCTTCCTACATTCTCGCCAGTCTAATCAGACAATTAGCTCAGCTCTTGTACGAGTCGCATCAGATCTTTCCCCCAGATGTCGCTCGTGAGCTGGAGCGTTTTTTTGGAAGAGACCGAAGGGTACCAGACTATGACGATCTACGAGAAATCTTCATTCTTCTGTTCTCATACTTGCCAAACACAATCTATGTTCTTGACGGACTCGATGCACTGGAACAGCAGGAGTGCCAGAAAATGTTGCTGCTGATTCGAGCGACCTTCAGCTCTGCCCGCCCACCCAATGGATCAAAGATTATGCTGTCGAGTAGGAATCACGTACCAGGCTACGTGAACATTGCTACATTCATGCCGTGGACTCTCCGAATCTCAACATTCAATCATGTTACCCAGGATATCGAATTCTATATCAGAGCCAGTATTGATGACAAGTCTATGCTTAGAAAGCTTACTAGTGACTGTTCTCTACTGGAAGAGGTCAAACGCGTGCTTCTCGCTGAGGCCTCAGGAATGTATGTCGGAAATTCCACAAATTCTTCGTATGTAGACTGACTCGAGCAGGTTTCTATGGGTTTACCTTATTCTCGAAATCTTGTGGTCGACATGCTTCACGGATGCAGAGGTGCGCTCCGCCTTGCGTCGGCTTCCTAAAGGCTTGAAGGAGACGTATAGGCTCTGTACTCAGCGAATTTCCTCTGATCCCAGGGCTGCGAAGGTCCTTAAATGGGTCAGCTTTGCTACCAGACCACTGCATATTGAGGAGCTGAAAGAAGCCGTGGCCTTTGATCTTCATGATACTTGTTGGGATCACGCGAAAGTACCCCAGGACGAATTTGTGCTCGGCTGCTGCGCTAATCTCGTGGTTCTAGACCCTACTGATGGCTGTGTTCGCTTCGCGCACTCGTCAGTCAAAAAGTTCCTTTTGAGTGATCGAGCCGACCATGACGCCAGATATCTGGAGAGCGAGGCGCCGGGAAACCTCGAATGTGGGGAGTTCTGTGTTGCTTATCTCTCTTTCTCAAACTTTAGCTTACAGGTTGAGAAGCAAGGACGGGATCACAATTCAGCAGGCTCGGCAGTAGTCTCGCCAGCTTTGCTTGCTGGTGAAGCGATGAAGTCCTCCTTGTTTTCTCTTTTTCGTGCGCCGAAGATCCAAAAGGCTTCTATCAAACTACCCACTCGCTCGATCCGTACGGACTCGCCGGGGGAGCAATACAAATTTCTCAGTTACGCTGTATCAAATTGGGCTTTGCAGACGAGAGACATAACGCCTAAGTCTCCGGTGTGGGAGAGCTTCACGCAGCTTGCGACATGTTTCAATGAAACGTGGAATTTCCATCCCTGGGTGGCGGGTGGACGCTCACGTCACTCGTTTCTCCATGGCCTCTTTGGGTGGGCTGTCAGAGAACAACATATTCCTCTTCTTCGGATTGTTATGCTGTATAAAGAGGAGCTCGCCAAGATATGCAACCTTCCACTTATTGGGGAAAGCCTCCCAGCTCTACACATTGCGTCCAGATTTGGTTTCACTTCGATTGTGAGACGCTTGCTGAATTTATGCGAGGTCAACTTGCCTGATCTTGAAGGGTATACACCGCTTCATCACGCGGCTGAGAAAGGCCACCCAGCTGTCGTGTCAATGTTTTTGAGAGAGAAGAGTGTTGCCATCAATAGCAAATCTCGAACACAGGCCACACCCCTCTGGTTGGCAGCTCGACACGGACACTTGGATGTTGTGAAGATACTGAGTAGGCATGGTGGAGACTCCGAGGCGCGAAACATTAACGGCCAGGCACCAATCTCCATAGCGAGGCAATATAAGCATGAGAAAGTGGTGAAATTACTTTTCGAAAAAGGATCTACGAGCTTGTTTGTCAGGAAATCATTGACGGAGATTGCTTTTGAATGGGAGCTTGGACATCTGACCGACGACGACGCAATTCGAAAGTTCGAGAGCGAGCTCGAGAACGAGATTACCTTACTAGGAGAGGCTGAGTTAGCTGACAGGGTCGGAAAGCCACGCAAATCCGGTCGTCTACCGAACGGGGAGCTTTCACCATCATATACATTGTTCGCCGTGGAGATTACAAGTGTGAATCGGCTTATGCTGAGCCTTCTCACTTTGAAATGGATTGCTGGTGGCGATTATTCTTCCTTCACACGGCACCAGCACGAAAGCATACGATTAACGAAAGAGTCCTTCGAGACGCTTCAAACATGGGTCTCCCAAGTCCTAAGACCTCCCAGTCAATCAATGGTTTTGATATTGTTGATCGTGATAGAACATCTGAGCCAAGAGTTAGACGCACCGCAGGCTGTGAAACTGAGAGAGAACCGGATTTGGAAAACGGACTTGGAGGAGAAAGCGTGCTCCCCCATCTTGAAGCGATTTCGGAAACATGAAGCAGAATTGCGAAAAGCGTTGAATGTTCGGAAAAAGATTGACATCGCTGAGTTGGTCCGAGGCCAGCTCGTCGCTCTAGAATCATTGCAACAGCTTTCATCCAGTCACCAGCAACTGTTCCAACTGAACTATCTTGGGTATGTGCTCTACAAAGCTGGAGTAGCCGCCTACACCAACAGTTATGGTTGGCCTGGGCTGACCGAATCCGTTCTTGCTCTGTGTATGGAAAGCCTGCCGGTGTTTCTGGGTATCATGTCTGGCGAAATCGCCGTGTCGGAGGGGTTTAGGAAGCTTGCCGATGTCAGAAATAGGTTGCTTGTTGGGGGCTCCGGTGCAGCCGAGTCGTTTTGGGACCAGCGGGAACCATCATAAGGTGGATGGGATTAGCCTGCATACGACTCCAGTTCATTGTAAGAAGAGAGATGGTCTAGTGTACCAAAGAAGTGGCTGGTTGCAGTCCTCAGGTATGTACAATAGAGACACTGTTACAAGGGAGTCCTGTCCTCTTAGGGCAGGCTGCTGCTAGCATTAGCCGAAATATATACAACCATGGCTTAACCTACTTCTACTCCGTGTAGAGTGAAGCAATTGTCAACAGAATTGTTCTTTTTGCAATCTATTCGCAATCAAGTCGAGGTAGCTCATTCTTACCTAAGTAGATTTTACGTGTCTGAATTCAAGACTATACTTAAGGGCGTATCTCCTCTCCGGTGCTTCCCGTTTTCGTGTCCACCACCAGATGGCACCCGCTCAATTTGAAGTTCATGTCTATGGATCCAGAGAGCTGCGCTTTCCGAGAGAGTGATCGGTCCGGAGTAAATACAAGTAAATACAAGTCAGGTAGTAGAGAACAAGTGCAGGTGAGGTTTATTTTAACCCCCACGAGGCCGGGCGGTCGGGCCATAAACAAACAAACCAACCACCAGCCCCGGGTACCTTAACAGGCCACGCCGGACTTCGCCTACTACACTCTCCCACCACCACCACCATAGCTCAATACTGTACTGGCATCCCCTTTCCACAACAGACTAACCAATGTCTCCCTGCGATTTGAGTGTCGATCTAACGCAATTTCCCCAGTTTGGCCCCCAGAGGCTCAAACACTGGTTCCCCATGAGCCACTCTGGCCGAAAGGCACCGTTTCCGCGTGGGGGCCACCTCCTAATGCAGGGGGTCGAGCGAAAGCTCACGGTAACCTTTCCGCATTTTGACTTCAATGATGAATGCGAACGAGACCTCACAGTATTCAAGGACCTTTGTTACCGCATGGATGACTTCTGGGAAGCAAGAAGAAAGGTTATAGAAATTCACAGGCACTGACGAGAACGGTGCCGTTGCACGATCAACCTACCCCATCGGTCTATGCAGATAAGCAGGAACCCGTTTGGCCCGCCAGCTGATATAATGTAATGTCCTACTCAGCCTCACGTCAACTTTTCTTGGTGGCAGGATCATCGCCCGGCCAAGACATGGCCGTGGTCTTTGGACCGTGAGATAGCCTGCCCACCACGCCTCAATCGCTCCCACGGCTCCATCGCGATTTTCCTATTAGCATCAAATCGCTAAGCAGCAATCATGCTCATGCTCCTCTCATACAGACTGTACGGGATACCGTTCAAGCCTGAATGAAGAAATTTGAGCAGTGCGGCTGTTAATGGAAGCGAATTGCCAGTGGGGCGAGGTACATGGATCCGAGCCAAGCATTTCCTGAGCCTATCCCATGGATTAGAATGCTTGACCTGTGTTGGTATACCTGATTCATCCTGCCGCGACGGCAAGCAGGGGCCTTGAAACAACTCTAAGATTGTTGTGGGAAGGGTCCTTCCCTTTCAGCTAGATGGATCGGTCTTTTCGCTCTGTCTGGACCAGGCACAATTCTGACGCCAAGAAAGGTACACGGTCTTTGTGTGGCATCGCGCAAGCCAGACAGCTGCTCTGCGTCCCAAATTAGAGAGACACGAGGATTCAAGGTCTATGCACTGGGGCCAGTGCTTGGGTGTGATTGCGGGCGAAGGTTGCTGTGATGGGTCTCAGCGAAGCCCTATGCAGCCGCCCCCCAAGTTGGCCAGGAACGAGAGCTATCGCCGGTTGGCTCCCCCATGACTGCGCCCCTTAGGAGCTGCATTCTGAAGTCCAAGTCTAGAATATTACTCTTTGCGGGCAGACGATCGTCTAATGAAAGGAGTAAGGTGAGCCGGGCTGACCTGAGACCACCAAACGATCCTGAGCGGATGGACTTGGGGGCCAACAGTATGGCCTGGTTTAAAAGACCAGAAGATGTCGGCGGATTCAGAGATACCCACGCAAACCATCACCTTCTCTCTCAGTCACTCTTTCTTGTCCACCGCGACAGTCGTTCTTTTTCCATCACGATAGTGATACACGCTCTTTCGGGATTCTCCCTCTTCATTCGTTCATTTCGACTATTGACCTGGCTGTCATATTCAAAATGGTTAAACTCTTTCAGAATGGTCTGGCATCAGGCCTCATGGCCTACGCCTTGTACCAGCAAGCTCTGGCTGTGGAACTGGCCGAGATCGACTCGTACGAGACGACGACCACCAACGCCGAGGTGAAGATCGCGGTGTCGGGGTCCACTACTACTTCTACCTCGTCCTTGGATCTGCAGGACCAGCACTCATTCTACTGGGGTGGTAAGCTTGAGAGTTCTGAAACTGCATGTCTAATGGCTAATACGATTAACTAGGTGGCGAGACCGACATCCTGGGAAACTTCACAGTGGGCATGCTGGAGGACTATGAGAGTATCCTCGCCATGGAAGCGTTCAAGGATCTGGCTCAGAACGTCACTTGCACCAACGGCACCAGTGCCAGCGTGACCGTTGCATTCCAGGACTCGACCTCATATTCTTATGCCAAGAATGCCTGGAACTGGGTCAACGACGACGATGCTCACTATGTCATGCTGGTGGCCGGTGCTGGCCAGTGTGGCTGGAACACCATCAGACAGCCGTTCATCATGACGGGTGCCAGCTTCCGCGATAACGTCAACACTGCTCGATTCACCGGCAACGTGACCGAGTGGGAGGATTCCGTGCGCAACTACGCCATCAAGATCGGCAAGCCCACCACCGACTCGCAGATTGCCATTGCGAAACGCGGTGTCACCAAGAGAAAGCGCGGTAAAAGCACCAGCGACAAGACCATCGACATCGCCAAGGACTTCTCTTTTAGTGACAAATCTCTGTTCGACAAGGACGGCGTCTCGCTGTCTGCCGGATGCTCGACCTGCAAGACTGAGGGAGAGTTCGACCTGGTCTTCGAGTACACCAGCGGTGCCAGCGGCCTGTGGAACGTGATTACTGGCAGCGAGAAGGCCACGGCCACCTTGTCGCCCAAGGGTGTCGCCGCCTACATCGAGCCCCAGGTCAAGCTGGGCGGAAACCTGACCAAGTCGGAGGCGGACGAAGTCGACCTGGTCACGATCCCCATTGACGGCATCAGCATCGCCAAGATTGCCACCATTGGCCCCATGGTCAAGGTCGCCCTGGGATGGTCGATCGGTCCGATTGACGGAGAAGCCACCATCGGCATGGGTGTTGAAATCGATCTCAAGGACTCGGCCACCGCGGAACTGACCTTCGACGAGGGCTCCAAGAACGCCGTCAGCTTCACGCAGAGCGGCTGGTCGCCCACCGTCACCACCACAGACATCTCTCTCGACGCCAAGCTGGAGGCTAACGTCGAGATCTACGGCAAGGTGTCGGTGGAGCTTGAGCTCGAGATCTTCAGTAAGTCGGTCCTGCCAGGAGGATGAATCAAAGCTAACGCGCAATAGAATATGGTTGGGAGGCCGGTATCTACATGCAGCCCTACGTTGGTGCCGATCTGGCCCTTGAGGCTTGTAAGTCTTCCCTCAGTGAGATTATAAGCTGGTGCTAACTGGACCCCAGCCAACAAAGCTGCCTGCTCCAAGGACGGCTCCGAGTACCACTACGCCGTCGAGATTACTCCTTCGGCCGGTGTCAACCTGGTTGCCGACGTCGCGAGTGCCAGCGACGAAGCGAACCCCATCAGCACCTGGAACATTGCGGTAAGTGGGCCCGACACTTGAGAAAGTAGGTATCTTACTGATTTTCCAACTAGTCCATCGCCACCACGCTGTCCGAGCAATGCTTCGGCTTCGACAAGATCACGTCCACCACGACCACGACCACGACCACCAAGTCCTCGAGCAGCTCGAAGACCACCAGCTCCAGTTCCAGCTCCAAGCAGACCGGCTCCTCCTCCCACGTCGCCAGCTCCTCGGCTACCTCCAAGGCTACCTCCAAGTCGCATCCCAGCAGTGGCTCGGCCCATGCCACGTCCACCGCGGCCGCGTCCAAGACCTCCGCCCACGCGTCCAGCCACAGCCCCAGCATCACCGCCTCTCCTTCGCACAAGGCCCGCCGCAACATCATCGGCGGTCACGGCCGCCGCAGACAATACTAGGTAAGGGGTGATTGACCCGGGGGGGGTGGGTGGTATTTGAGGGATGATTTGGTTTAGTTTATGTGATGATTATAATTTCCCTTCTCGGCCACTTGTGGCGTGTATATTTTGGCTTATAGATGATGCATGTTATGTACACGAGTTGAATAGTCATTTGGTTGTGCACGTTGTATCAGGCCCAACTTGTATCAAAGGAATCCCTTTTATCAGACCTCTATCTCAGGAACCATTTTCATCAGACCAAACCTCTATCAGAGTAACCCTGTTCCTCAGACAAAAACGGTTAATACTACTGTACTCCGTACTTAATCTCATATATTTGATCTCGCAGTTGCCCATCCAATACCTGGTGAAGGGCACAATGGCCAGTACTACTGCACTGACCCACACAAGGACTCATGACTACTACTAGAACTTACCAGTATTTCTACTTAAGAACCAGAACCACCTTCACCAGTAACCCAACAGGTGGATCCTAAATACTCTCAACCACATAGGGCGGACGGGATCACGTGCAGCAAGGTAGCTCCCGCAGCCGCTGAGCGTCTCATGTCGGCCGCTCTCACTTCCTCCTCACCTCATCAACAACACCCCACACCGAAGAGCGATGGCATCCCATCAACTTGCCATCGCGAAGGCCTCCTTCTCAGCGGGGCTGCTGCGACCCGACCCGACCTCCGTACCCCGCGACGCGATCACCGCCTTCCACACCTTGCTCGACCGGGCGCTGTCGCAATGCACCCCGGCAAACATCCAGGTTTGAGCCGCCGTCGCCGCCTCTGGCCCTTGCTTAAACACCGCAAGACATACTAAATCCCGATGCTTCCTGAAATCTCTAGACCTGCAAGACCTGGCTCCTCGACCACCAAGTGGTCTCCTCGTCCAATCGCGTCGGCGTGTGGGCCAAGTACCTGGTCGCGCTGTCGGGCTCATTTGACGATGCTCCCCCGTCCAAAACCTCGGCGAAGCGCAAACGCCTCCACATCCTCTACCTCCTGAATGACCTCTTCCACCACACCAAATACCACCTCCCGACGACCGCCGCCTTCGCGACGCTGACCGGCGCCCTGCAGCCGCACGTTGTTGACCTCCTCGGCGCCGCCGCCGGCTACTCCCGCGAGCAGCACCCGAAACACCACCGCCGGCTGGACGAGCTCCTCGACATTTGGGCGAAGAACGGCTACTACGCCGCCGACTACGTGCTGAAGCTCCGCGAGGTCGTGCAGAATGCGGCGCTGTCCGGCCCCGTCAAGACCTCGCTGATCGTCGAGGAGAGCATCGCCGTCGCAGAGAAGGAGCTCTCCTCGTTGCAGCAACACCAAAAGAACGTGCCGTTTGTCATGCCGGCCACGCACGGCGATCCCGCCACCCCCTGGTATGATCTGCCCGCCGGCAATCTGATCCCGCATATCATTCCGGATGAGCCGGTGCCGTTGCGCGGGGAGACCATCAGGCCGTTGCAGTTTCTGGCCGGGCCCGCCGATGGGAAGTTGGTGGCGGCGTTGAAGCGGTTTCTGGGCGAGGTGGACGGGATCTACGCGGGGGCCGCGGACGAGGCGGTCGAGCTTGAGGAGGATGAGGTCGTGGATTTGGATGAGTTGGGCCAGCTCGTCGTGCGCGAGAGCTTGAGTGGCGAGATTGTCAAGGGCGAGACGTATTATGGCTGGTCGAGGGGGTTCTGTCAGCAGATGAAGAAACGGGCCAAGAAGGGGAAGGTGGAGCGCAGCCGCAGCCGCAGCAGGAGCAGAAGCAGGAGCACGCGCAGTCGCAGTCGCGGCTCGTATCACAAGCGACGGTACAGCGAGAGCGAGAGCGAGACGGGCGGACGCTGGAGGGATGACAGTCGGTCGCCGCACAGACGGCGCTACGATGCGCGGCCTCAGTCGCGGTCCCGCTCGCGGACGAGGTCGCGATCGCCCCCTCCGCGTGCAGGTGCGTGGCAGCAGCTGGGGCAGCAGCCGGGGCAGCGAGACCGGTCGTACTCTCCCCAGCCGGCGCCGGCTGGCTATCATCCGGACTATCGCCAACCGCCTGCTCCTGCCTCGAATCCCTACGGCCATGCTCCCCCTCCTCCGTCGCTACTTCCGCCCACACCACACGGCCTTCCGCCCGCTCCTCCCCATCCATCCATGGGCTATCCCCCGCCGCCTCCTCCTTCCTCGTACCAGGCCGGATTCCCCCCGGGTCCACCGGGTCTACCCCACGCTCCTCCTCCTCCCCCTCCCCCGAACTACCAGGGCCCATGGCCGCCCCCTCCGCCTCCCATGCCCTTCGCGCCTCCGCAGCAGCCCTCCCACTTCCCGCCGCCATATCAACAGGGGCCGCCCGGCCAACCACCCGCTCAATACCACCACCCACCGGGCCAGTACCAAGCACAACCAGGCCCCTACGCCCAGCAAATGCCCCCGGGATCTTACCACTTCCCGCCGCCACACGCGCCACACGCGTCTCACGGCCACGGCCATGGCCGGGGATGGCAGCAGTACCCGCACGGGGGTAGATAGTCGATAGTGCATCTCCATAGAGCGGTAGATAGAGAATATCCACACAATGTACCCAGCAAAGAAGAATAAATTACTCTACCAACTGACCATACATATAACCATGCAAAACATACAAGCCAAACCACCCACCACGCATCTCATGCTATAGAGTAGAGTAAAGCGTTCCCGGGGGAGAACCCCCGGACCCCCCTTCCTTTCAACTTCCTGGTAACACTCAATCTAAGAACTAGGTGTACCGTCCCGGGGGAGAACCCCCGGGCCCCCCTTCCTTTCAAACTTCCTGGTAACACTCAACCCACATCCACAGAATCGAAAGCAACACCAGGGCCCGGAGGGCCCTGGACCAATCTAATTAGGGCCAGCTCCGCCCAAGCCAATAACACTCCCCTTCCCCCCAAACATCCCCGCCCCGCTCTCCAGCAACTTCCCCAGCCCCAGGTCCGGCAGCGCAGGCAGGCCCCTCTTCGCCGGCGTCGCACTCGCCCCCGCCCCGACCACCGTCCGCGAAGGCGTCGGAGACGAGCTCGGAGAAGCAGCAGCAGCGCTCATCTGCGCCTGCCTCTGCGCCTCGGCTTCGGCGGCAGCAGCGTCCGCAGCGTCGTCGTCCGCCTTGTCGGCCATCGCCTGGTCCCAGGTCGCGCAGGCGCCTTTCAAGGTCTGCTGGCTGGCTGTCTTCTATTCCACCGCATTGTCAGCATTCGGCTTGCGGTTACTGTAAGATACGGGGGTGGGTTAGGGAAGGAAGCGCGGGAAGGGGGTTACGCACGCCGGGGGTGCCCTCGCAGCACATGACGGAGTTGAAGCAGTTTGCGTTCGGGTCGGTGTTTTCCATTCCGGTGCCTGCAACGCCCAGGATTGTTAGTGTGGATACTTGACTTGGAATAAGGGTACCAGGGAGCTGAAAGAAAGGGGGGTCCGGGGGTTCTCCCCCGGGACGGTATACTCCCCAGTATCAAGGAGGGGGGAGGGGGGGAAGGGGACGTACACTCGAGAGCCAGTAAACTGGAGATGTCGACGCCGGACAGGTAGGGGACGAGCTGGCCGAGCGGCTGCAGGACGGAGTCGGCGACGGACTCGATGCTCTGGCAGCATTGCTTGGAGGGGCGGCCGGTGGGGCAGGTCTGGGTGGTGCCGGGGTTCTGAGTTGCGTTGGGGTTGGGGATGAGGGAGATGGCGCTGGTTAGGCCGGATTCGTCTTCGTCGTTGTTGTCCTTGGGGCTGGAGTTGGATTTATCGGTGGTGGTGGTGGGTTTCTCGGTGGTTTTGTTCTTGTCGTCCTCGTCCTCGGGACCGGGGCTGGGGCTGGGATCGATATCTTCTGGGCTGGTGGTGCTGGTGGTCTGTTCCGGTGTTGCACCTTTGGTTCTCGTGCTGGTTCTCGTGCTGGTTCTCGTGCCTGTGGTGGTGCGTGTGCTGGTCGGGGCCGAATGGGCCTGGTGAGTCTGCGTTTGGGTCTGCGTCTGCGTCTGCGGCCGCATGTTCTGCAGGACGTGGTTCTTGATGGCTTCGCCTGGGTCTTGGTCTTGGGGTTGAGCGTGGCCCTGGCTCTGGCCCTGGCTCTGGCCCTGGTCCTGACCCTGGTCCTGGGTCAACGCATCCGAGTCCGGGTCATCGTGGAGCTGTGCAGGGTTAGGCGTGAAGGGAATAGCAAGCGCCAGCGGCGTGATGAGGAGCAGGGTTGAGAGCTTCATTTTTCTGTTTGCTGGTTTTTTTTTTGTTGTTGTTTTCGTGGTAGCGTTTTCGACTATGGGGTAATTAGTGCGGTGGGAAACAAGTGCCAATGCCCGTCAAAAGAGTGTATAGGGTCGGGAATCCAGAAACCACTAAAGGATTGAATGGAGTTGGTGGATGTGGGTTCTGGTCTGGGGGGGCGTATGGTCGAGGGCGAGTGCGAGGGCGAGGGCGTGAGCGTTGTCAAGGGGGAGATGGTGGCGTTATTTGTATAAGACATGGCTTGATGCGTTGCAATGGAGGTCGCCAGGGCTGCCTGGCCGGCTGCGCAAATTCCTCCCTTGGTTGGTTGATTGGCTTTGGCCGGCAGGGATGCGACTTGTTTATCGGGGTTGTTTTGGAATGTGCTGGTGATGTGGAATGTTGGGCCTTGGACTTGGGCCTGAAGGATGGGTTAAAGGATCAGATGGTTGTCTCGGAGTCGAATCTCGTGGTCGGAATTGTTAGTTGCTGGAGGTGTTGAGTGTTGATTGTGTATGTTGTGATGCAAAAAAGGGGGTTGATGCAAGGACAAACTGACATCAAAACATAAATTACTGCAAACTTATACTAATGTAGGACCAGTCCCAGTGAACCAATATACAAGATAACTACGACGTTTCACGCTTGACTCAAATCAGCTACACAGCAACAGATTCTTCGAACGCAGCATCATATGCAAAGAGTGACAATGGTCGAGCAGATGCCCCCAAACAAAACACATGTTCTATCCAGGAATGCAGCAAACCAAATGCAAACCTCGGTCAACAGCACGCTTTCTCTGCAGCGAGATGCATGACATACAGAATGAGTCCACTGATCAATAAATCCATTAAGTCAAAATCCATTTGATTCGAGGTATCAATTAAAAAAAAAACACGGGTCATAATTGTCAAGCCTCAAGCTCGAGAAACCGCCCGTCTATCGTGCGCAATGCGTGTCGCTCGGCATTGCTTCGCTTCGCTTTCTAAATCAAGGTGTTCTCGCTAATCCAGTAATTTGAAACGCCTGGGGGTGCCAGTGGTCACAGCCTTAACAGACTAGTCACTGATCCCCTAAGCACACCAACTAGTCTCCTTTTCATTAAACGTTCACTCGTGTAAGCTGGTTTCAAGGGCAAGTCAAGGCTCAGCCTCGACCTCTGATCCCCGCTAGAACGAGTCAGCGCCGGCCCTGCAGCGCGGAGACTTAGGCATGAGGAGACCCAGCCGAAGTGGACGTCGGTCCAGCCGCTTGACGGGCCAGCACGCCGCTGGTCGAGGTGCCGCTGTTGCCGCTGGTCTGACTGCTGCGGCTGCTCCGGCTCGGGAACGAGCCCTTGTCGTCGTCGAACTCGGCGAAACCCGCCATCCGGCGCTGGGTGTATTCGAGCATGACTCGGTTGTAGTCTTCCACCGAGGTATGAGGGTCGGTGGTCGGGTGACTGTTGATGCGGTAGTCGCCGGGAGGACGGCAGGCCTCGCCGCCAGTGGGAGGCATCGAGTGGTATTGATCTTCATGCATCGAGGTGGCCATGTTATCTTGTCTATCGCCATCGGGTTAGCTGTACGTCCTCACTATAACGCCATGAACCTATACAATGCGTGCCGTTGCCGACAGACCATCATGTCTAGACGACCACGCAAAGGAGCAAACACATACAGAAAGGGCATATTGTGGATAGTACCAACTGTTGAGCCTCACCTTTGGCAGACTGGGAGTGGGAAATAGACTTCGATAGGGTGTAGAGTACAATCGACAAAGAAGATTCGTGAAAGCCCGGAGTAAGACTAGTTCGTCTCAGTAGAAGATGGAACTATATTTGACCAAAAGACGCGAGGATAGGGCGCAATATATGCGGCGGGAAACACAAATCTGCTAGTCGGACCGAATGAGATCACAACAACAATAATGACGGTGGTCCATCAATGTGCATGCCGTGACAGTAGGTTCCAAACTGTCGTCTGCATGATGGCCCACATCAAAACGGAAGTACCCACAAACCCATGCCCACGGATGAGGTTATGCTCTCGCCCTTGAGGGGGCGTATGACATCACGACAGCCAATGAGGACGCGCGCCCGGCCATTGACTGAGAAGGGACCAATCTAGCAAATCAGACATCGGCGCCCCCTCCCCCAGCAAAGTCCCTTAATTCATCGGTACGGGCTTGCGGCGGCGGCGACTAGGGCGGCGGCCGGTCCTACATCAGAAAAGGATGCTGATCGGAAATAACCGTACTCCACTGGCTCGAGGGTCGGCGTTCCCCCCGGATGGACCACGGTCCACCCTCTCGCGGAGCAGAATGAGGTCACTGGTGGAATGCGACTGGCCCATCTGCGATACATGGCGTTGTGGGATCGCCAGTTAAGTTTTCCTGGTGGTCGTTGCTGCGGCGCACCGTCCCTGCAGATCGACGCTGCCACGGGGGGACGGGAAGGGTGGCTGCCCGCAAGCGATTAGCGACATGAGCGTCAGGTGTGAGCTCGTAGGAGTCGAATAATATGACCACGGGCTGGAGTGGCCAGGGGAATGAAGAAAAATTTGGGACACGATGTGTCATAGCCGGAGCTAGCACAGAAAATGGGGGCGATCAGAATTCACTAGTTTATGCAGCGGGGAGGAGGAGAGGGCCTCCAAGCTCCAGGTGTGAAGCCATCCCCCGAATCGACCAAGCGCAGTCGGTCGTCCTGCAGACAAAAATGGCCTCCGATCGGGGGGTGCTGGGGGAAGAATCCCAGTTGGGGAGTGATCAACACAGTTGGAGGAATCGGTGAGGATGGGCTCTGAACTCATGGGTGATTTCGAAATGGTCGATTGCCTCTGATTCGTTGCTGAGCACGGCTGTCTCCAGCAAGGCCCGTGGATAGTGTGGTGTTAGTGAGGGAGGTAGAGTTTGAAGCTTGTCGTCGTGGTTGAGTAGTGACTGGATACTGCAAAGGGGGATGTCGGGAAGATGCCGGCGCTCGTGCCTGAGGCCGATAACCTGACGTCACCATCTGTGCCACCGAGTCATGGATGGAGTCGCATTGCCTCCATAGTTGTTCTCTGCACGACCTTCTCAGTTGCTGGAGGAACTCACCCAAACAGACGGTGTTGGGCTATAACAAACTAACTCTCATCAGCGAAGACATGAATACCTTCTCGCTGGAATGCGATAAGAGGGAGGTCAGGCAGGTCAGGTCAGGAAAGAGGGAAAACGCCAAACACTAACAATAGGCGGGTGCATGGAACTACTTTTCCGGCGCAGTTGCTAGTCGCCCACTACGTAGTAGTCAGTAGTTACTATCAACGACAGCGTGATGATTGGAAATAGAGTACCCGTATGGAGGATAAACATCGACACCTACTCATGCATAAACAATTGCTCCACGGACAAATGCAACTAGTACAACCCAGCACAGTAATGGCATAATTAACGGCAACTGCAATTGTCCCCGATAGACCTGCGCATAACTTACCCGCTTGATTGCCCACACGTTGTCGATCCACCAGCAAAGACAGTGGATCGATCTCTTCCCCAATGGCCCCGACTCCACGACCTCCAACCACCACATCCCAAAGGCCAACTGGCCTCAGATCACACTGGCGTGCAATCGTGTTTCTTTGCTCACGGTCCACGTCGCTTATGAAATGTTTCAGTGATCCAAAGAAAGAATGCCAATGGCAACCGAGACCCGAGGCTCAAACAGAACAGCAACAGTAACAGATCCCTCCTGTGGATCGAACCCCTGCCCTAACATCCACCCTGAACTTGCATCGTGCCAACAACTAAAACAGCCCGTCGAACTTCGGATGGCGTAAAGTATCGACGACAGTCGCACGCGTTTTGACATGCCTGCCGTAGTTATTGAGTACTGCAGACACAGTGACTGTCCATGGACATCGAACCGACGATCACCACTGCACAAAACCAGGACCCCCGAACCATTGGCATGTTCTAGAACCGCTCAAAGGTCTCGCGCCGCTTGCCATTGCCCTATGAAGTCAGCGGAAAGAGCTGCCAGTGAGCGCTCACTTCCATAACAGCCCCCCTCGCTGGATCCTAAACAATACTGCAACTGTCCCAAGAACAATAACCACATAACCCGACAGTAACTAATATCCCATTCTTAATGATTGAATCCTTGGTTGTGGGCGGGAAACCGCACAAGGGGCAACATGGACGAGGCTGGCAGGGCTACGCAGGCAGACAGCCCTCACCATCAAGATGATATCACCCCTTTCGCCTCCCCTCCCCGACCAGGTCCAGATCACCATCACCATCACCATCACCATCACTATCACCAATTTCCTCGTCATCTTTCTTCACATCCCCCGTTCCTTTTACAAAATACCAAAAACAATTCGACCAAGGATCTCCTCGTTACTCAATACCCACAAACCGCCAACCTCAAACGTCATACCCCATAGTTCCAAGAACTCGTGGAACCGGCCCCCCTTTTGCAGGCGCATTCGCCCCATGATGCGACCTGCGCAACGCAACACTACAACCGGATTGACTTGGTCAGTGCAGTGAGGCTCTCCAACCTATTTTTTGGAGGGTAGTCTCGGCCGGTGACTGGATCTGCAAGACCCATGACGCCACGCTTATCGTCTCCGAATCACATTGATCCTGGTGCACCAGGACTAGGCCACTGTTCAAGCACTTTGATATCTGGGAATATTGCTTAATACTCCAACACAATCCAGTAAGGGCAGGGATGAAGTTGGGCTTCTCGCTGTTTCGCCATCGACAGCGCCATAACAGCGTCTCTTCTACATGAGTATCCATGTTATACTCTCATTCTCACAGATCTGAAGTCATGCAATAACGGAGATGGCGAATAAAGCTAGCTATTATGTATGCTATTGCCATCAGTCAATTGACTAGCAGATACAGCGCTGTGTGTACAGAATCTGAGCGAATCTAGGATACCTGATTCTTCAGGCGGGCTATGGGGCTTGTAGTTATGACGGAGATGGCGAATCCCATCATCGTCATCCTCCCCTGGCCCTGCCCTACCCTGTCCTGTCAAGAGGATATGGACGCCGCCCCCATTATATTTCTTTTTGCTATACCCTCTCATTGCGTAGACTCCGAAGGACTTCTCCAACAAGAATCAACGAGGCAGACCGTATCCTCCTCCCAGATAGTAGATACTAGACCCTATAGTTCGGTATTATTTCATGTGGACGACTACTCTTTCCGATAACAAGTCCTATCCGCACAGAGTAAGAAGATCCATTGTCCTATCCTATTGAACCCCGTTAGCACCTTCGTCCAAGTACAATGTAATAGTAGTAGTAAGGATAACCACGCCATCGTTCACTGCCCCAACACGCATCACGCAGCTCCAGTAACCATTCCTCCGCATGCCCCAACCAGAGTCTCAACAAACAGCTATAACCAGCCTTGTCTTACCCTACCTTCCTCCCTACCTCCCCAACGCAGGACCCAATGTCCTGCATCCTACCCATAGCCACAGAAATCATCCTATATCCCCTGCCCTGACCCCATGACGTCCATTCCCCCCCCCCTAAAAGAAGGATACAATCCAAACCCCGACACCAAATCCCAGACGATGACGATCCATAAGGCGAACTCAGAATTGGCCACAATTATCCTCCTCCTCCTCCTCCTCCTCCTCCTCCTCCTCCTGTCTCCGCTTCCTCCCTCCTTCCTCCAACCATTACCCAGGTCCTCACACCCGGTCAGGCCATCCTGCCAGCTTGCCAGCCTGCCTTGTTTCCATTCCCTTGTCTTGCCTTTCCGCAAAACAATCCAGAACAGCCAACCCACCAGCCAAACCAACACCAGAATCCTATCTTCAAGGGAAGAAAAAAAAAGGGAGGAGAGAGCAGCAGGCGATATGCAGGACGGCCCCACATGGCGAGTGATTCTTTTCGCCCCAACCCCAACGCCTCGGGCCTAGTTGCCTTCCACTTGGAAAGCAGGTCCTTGTACCTATCCCCACTTTCAATTCCCAACTTCCATGTATATATCTGTAAAAAGCCTAGCCTTCAATGACAGAAAGGAAGAATGAGCAGGGTCGAATGATTCAAGATTCCAACTGCCCCGATAAATCCGTGTATCCATCCACTTTCCTAGAATCAAGTACGTACGTAGCAGAGTCAGAGTCGGTACATAATAGCACGTATGCCGGAGCGAACCACCGAGGAACAAAAACAAGCTCAAGAACAAGAAGCAGGCTTAGAAGTATGACACCCACTTACCGGATAAACCGATGGATCTGGAATCGAGAATGATGCTTTATCGTAACAAGGAATTCATTTCAAATGGAACTGCCTGAGCTCGAAAGGTGATAAGAGTTAGGAGGGAAGGACGCCATAATACACTCTAGCAGGGAAAAGGAAACGAAAAGACAAAAGTCGATTTGAAAAAAAAGACACAACGTTTAGAGTAAATCTGAAATTGTAGAATTCTCTCTTCTGTCCATAACACTGACAACAAAAAAAAGGTGATATCGAATATATGCTTTGGAACATCATCATCAGATCGCAATCAAACATAACCTAAATCCCATCGTCATGTTAGCACATAATCCACACCCCCAGTTTTTTTTTTTTTTTTTTTTTTTTTTTTTTTTTTTTTAAAAAAAAACCCCCGGGAAAGGGGAGAACTCACCCTTCCGCGCCCCCTGGAAAAAGAACCGCACCACAAACACCTGCAGCGCGGCCATGGACACCATCATCAGGCCCTCGATGACGCTGAAATTAAAGATCCGGCGCTCCGTGCTGCGCACCGTGCTGAAGTTGCGGTTCTCGCGCGTCCGGAAGTACTTCTGGTTGCGCGAGATGGTCGACAGCTGCGCCGAGAGCTTGAAGATCGACTCCTCCAGCGCCGAGGCTTGCTCGGGGCTGGCGCCCTGGCGCGAGGGGAGCTGAGCGCGTTCCTCGTTTTCGACCTGCCCACATTCAAATTAGATTCGGTGGTTTGCCTAGATGTCGTTTTGTAGTTGGGGTGCAGTGTGTGTATGTATGGTGTTGCTGAAGAAGACGTGTAGCTTTCCCCCAATCCCAACCCCTCTCAGGCTGTACACAGACAAACGTACCGCAATCTCAAAGTCCACCATCTTCTCCGCGAACGTCGACATCTCATTGTTGAAGCAGAACCGGTACTCGCCGATGCTCTGGGCCGTGAACACAAAGTCGCCCTGGCGTTCCTTGGTGCCCTCCAGAACCACCTTGTCGCCGGGCCCGATCACGGAATAGTCGACATCAAAGGAGCCGCCGGATTGAACCTTCCCAGACATCACAGTATTAGTACACACTCCTGGAGCCAACAAAAGGGGAGGCGAAGCTCACCGCAAAGTAGAAGGCGACCTTGACGTTCTTCTGGTCGACATAGCTGTGGAAACAGGCCTTCTCGTTGGCCTCGAGGCGGTAGGTCAGCGCGGTGGCGGCCACCGAGGAAATCAAGGTGGCCCACAGGCCGAGGACGAGAGCTGCGAAGCGCATGGTGTACCGAGTAGACGGGAAGAGGTTGAATTCTGTCGCGGGAGAACGACGGAACGAATACACGACAACACAACAGACGGAGGAAGTTCTGGCCAGCTGTGAGTTTGGCCCGCGGGTTTGTTTGTTGTGTTTGCACGGGAGGCCACCTGCGCCCGCCCCCTTAGACTAGCCTCCTAACCGCGGGTGGACCCTTAACCTAATTCATACTGTACTGTACCTCAACACATTAGGTGTTAGTTACCTGCAAGTACTACACCACTACACCTCCAGTCTCATCATTGAATGCATACAAATGTTCAATTAACTCATACATAACTCATCTCGCACGATAAGAGCCACCTCATAAGGCAATGGCTGCTATGACTAGGCCCGCCCTCTACAAAACACTAGTTGTAGACAACAAGACTGCCCGCAAGAACACGCAACCTCCTCCAGTCCGTGACATAAAGAGTTACCACTCTCGTCGCAACCAGGTCTGCTGGTCATCTGATCGTAAGAGTCTGTCCAGCAATCTCAGGCGCATAAAAAATAACCATCACGACAAAATATCTATCGAATGAAGAATGACTCGCTCCGGCTCCAAAAGCTGCGGTTCTTATTTACATGGTCAAGACCCAGAGGGTCGTCCGAGTCGCCGATAATGTCGGAGAGGATATCATCTGAAGTGATGATTAGCCATGGCTATCTGTAAAAGAAGGACTATCACTCACCGTCTTCAATATATTGTACTTTGGTGTACATGTTCTGCGGCACAGCAAACTTGATTTTCTCAAACTGCTTGCCCTTGATCCCCGTCCGTTTCGAAAGGCGTTCCTTGGTCTGCTTGAAGATCTCGCCCTGAAAAGTGTGAGCACATGCCAGTCGCAAACCGAATATAAACTTACAGGCTTCATGACAAACTTGAAGGGCACGCCGTGCGGTCGGCCGGCGTCGCGATCGAAGTTGAACGCATTAATAGTCCGCTCGCCCTCTTGCATGTTGAGCTCCTCTTCGGGGTATTTCTCAGCATAGAGCGTCACGAATTCGTTGATGCCCGCGATCTTCGAGTCTGGCTGGAATTCCCGGTAGATCTTGCCGCCATGGGACTCGTAGACCCGGATGTCTGCATTGTCTTCCAGGTTGGCCTTCTTTTGCACACCGGCAATGACGTCGGCAATGGTACCATCCCGGGGGACAAGGACCTCCACAACTTGCTGTAGAACGGTTAGTCATCGCCGGGGCAATCCTTAAGCTGGTTCAGACGTACCTCTTTCGTGATACCTTCGGGAAGCCACGTGACCTTAAGACAAGTCTTGGACTCGTAATCGCTCAGGCTGGTTTCCAGCACCTCGTAATACAGGGCATCCTGGCGATGCATGCTGTAGCCATAAGTGGACATTTGCCCACTCAGGATGTGGTACAGAGTTTGGTTGTTCTGGTTAGGGTTCCGCTTGATAAACTGCTTGGGCTTACCGGTGCTTGCGAGGACCGGCGCAAAGCGGATGTGGGTGGGCTCCACATTCAGATGCTCGCCAACCTTCTTCGAAAACTGATCATAAGTCATCTTCCGGCTCAGGGTGAGGTTAAACTCTTCGCCCTCCTCCGACTTGAGCGGTGCAAAAGTGACGGTGATCTTGTTCAGCAGGTAGTCGTAAAATTGCTTCGCATCGGTGTACAGGGCTGTCGCTGGCAGTTCAGATTCCTTGATCTGTTTCTGGAAGGTGATAATGTCACCATCCTGGATTTCAGACTGCTGGAAAGTCTGCTTCGGCTTCATGACATCGATCATGTTATGCTTGATCTCCTCGTATAGCATAAACTCAATGCCGGCGGGCCAGTCCATGCGCTCGAGAATGACAGGAGCAAGCTCGCTCACTTTTTGCGTCTTGCGGACATAGACGGGGCCCACGCCGGTGAGGGTTTGCGAAGGAGCATCGAACTCCTTGAGGAAGACCAGTATCGATTCTTTGGCATCGGGCCAAGCCACGGTTCCGTCAGCCGATGGCTTGCCAACCTCCATGTACACCTTGAACGGATTTCCCTTGGTGCTGAAACGATTGTAGGCGTCCTCGAGAGTCATCTTGGGGTCCGGAATGACTTGGTCGGGGCGGGTAGTCTTGTTCTGGCGATTCACCATCACCCAGAAGCGGATGTGGCTAGGATTAAGGCCCCTCTCTTCGGCAAGCTGCTCTGCAAATTCCCCGACCTTTTGAGCCCGCAGTAGCTTGTACTGCGTCGGGACCGCAGGATCGCTGGCGGGCAAGTCATTGCTCGTCAAATCAAACCCGTGATGCGACTGGAAAGATTCCTGGGTCAACACTCCGACGTTGATGTACAAGTGGGCCTCCTCCCGCTCTTTCTTGCGACGAAGCTGCTCGGCCCGATCCTCTACGAGACGCGTTTCTATCGCGATGTTAGTTCAGGCATTCGGTATGAGCAGTTGATCAACATACCGATATGAGACGGGACGTCCTCCTTGGTGATGGGCACAAGCACATCGTCCAATCTGGTCTTGCGGATGTAGACCAGCATGTAGGCGTTCATCGAGCGTTTCGTAGACAGGCCGCGAGTGTAGGGTTGTCGGACTCCGGCCGCTCCGTTAGTCAGCTCATATTCGCCCCCGTAGTTCTCCTCAAGCACCTCCTTGTCCGTGGCCCGAGTCACGCGGTCATCGTCGAATTTGTACCAGAATCCGTCCTTGGTCGGCTTCAGGAAAGCGTAATAGTGGCCGGCATTGAGATCACCGCTGTGAACCAGCACGCCGTGCAGCTCGTAGATCCAGGGCTCGGATTTGTCGGCATCGTTGGAAAGGTAGGGGGTGGCATCAAACTCCATAGGGAAGGCGTGACGGTCATTAATCTTCATCATAGCATCGCGGTTGATGTCGTACTCGAAGCGCTTCAGGTGCAGGTGCAAGACCGGGGGGAAGCTCTCGAAAATGACACCCTTCTTGGCATCCTGTAGACCATACGGCTGACCCGCGTCGTACTTGTTCTCCCCTTCGAGGGTCTCCACCTGGATGTAGTCCTTGAAGCTGTCATCGAGCGTCTTGTTGCCGCGGACGTTCAGCTGGATATCCCAGAAATCTTCCACCCGCGACGACTCGTAGTCAACGTCGATACAGGAGATGTAAGTCTTCGTTTTGCCCACGAAGAGTTCGGGGAGCGCCTTCTCGGCCGGGGTGCCTTTCATCCTTTCCTCCAGTCTCTCCATCAACTTCCGCGACAATTCCTGGACGTCCTGCTGTTCGAAGATCTGCCTCGATTCCCATCCGAAGGATGCGGTCAGCTCCGTGGTGGACACTGAACTCTCGCTGGTTTGGAGGTTGAAGAACAACCTCTGAAGCGTCCAAGCGCTGTTGTCGCGCGAGGCTTCCGCCTCGGTTGGGATCTGGTAAACGGCCTTCCAGGCGGTCAGTCTGAAGCGGTGGCAACAACAAGCGGCGAGGACACACGTACCTTTCGGAAGCGGTTGGTGAAATAGAGAGACTGCAAGAGCGAATTGAGGTAGCACGTAGCACCCTGGTTTTTCAGACCCACCAGGCCAGTCTCCTTCTTCGAGTCGTAACTAGACACGGGATTAGCAATGCGACTTCAGCGGCTTGCCTTCAACTGCATACTTCTGGAAGTTGTGCCATAAGACACCCGTCGGGTCCTTGACCACGCGCACGTAGGCTGTGATCTTGGCTTCGTCATTCTGCACGAGGGGTACGCCACGGTTTTCCCACGGTCGGCTGAACAGCCGGTGCAGTTCGCAGAATCTGGTGAAGCCCCAATCTCCCTCCTCCGCATGGAATCGATGGGTCGCGACTATATTCCGGTTAGTCCGAGAGAGCGAGCTCGCTGAGGAGGCAGAAGCGGCGTACCGTGATGAACGTAGATGGAGGGATCGTTCACATTCGACAGGACGAGTGCAAACTGCACACAGGCGTACCAGTTGGCCGGCGGTTCGCCGTCCCAAGCATGCTCCAGATAGAACGAGGCATGCTCAACATGGTTGCCGTAGGGGAAGAACAGGATTCGCCTGCGGACAACAGCAAGTCAGAGTCGCTCTCACGGGCGGTGATATTCCATCGAGGGATTTGTCGGGGCACCCACCAAGGAAAGCCCGCGCACTGGAAGACCGGGCCGTGCTCCTTCTTCTTCAACTTCCGCCAATCCTGGATATGCCATGTGTGATAGGTCTCATCTTCGGTTTCCAGATCCGGATCTTTCGGGAAAATCCGAGCCATCATTGCTGCATCTGGTGCGGAGAAAGGATCAGTTTCTCGGACGTGGAGGGGAGGGCTGCAGTTGTGCGGCGGAGAGCCGTCCCACGGCGGGGACTTTTGGGAAGCCGGGCCAAGTCCATCGCAAGACGGCAGGATGCGCACAAGAACAATGGGAAGGTGCTATATGGGCCTTACGGTCATCTGCGGAGGGCTCCGACTCCGGTTCATCCGATCCGGAGGGGGAGACGACGACATCGTCGGTTCGATCCTGGTGATACTGCTCATATTCGTCGACGAGCATATCACTGTCGGCGGCCTGGAGATGTCGGCGAAAAGTTACAGGATTAGTACCAGTGGATCTTGCGGGGGGGAGAGATGGGATGGATAGGTGACTGAAATCTCCGCGAGAAGTTGTGGTGAGGCGAGGGGGATTTGAGACAAGAACTTACGTTGTCCATGTGAGGTAAAAAGTGCGATCCACGCACTGAGATCGCGGGCCACTCTTTCTCGCGGGCGATTAGAAGGGAAGCAGATAACCCGTTGGGGTAAAGCAGGGAGAATGGGGGAAGTGAATCAAGGGAATTGGAGAAATGGGGGGAGGCTGGCAAATCGAGCGAACCAGTCCACAACTGGGGGGGAAGAATGAATGAATGAAGATTGACTGGGAAGTGAGAGGAGGAAGAGGAAGAGGAAGAAGAAGCAGCAGAAGCAGAAGCTGATCCGTCTGGGCTGGAGCCGACTTGGAGGCAGTCCACAGGCAGGCAGTTGGATTTGAAGCTAGTGGCGGAGTTGCCAAAACCCAATAATAACGGCCATGCGGGACACTGCACCAGCTCTTTCTTTATTATTAAGAGGGTCTTCTCTTTTTTGTGCCGGTCGACTTTTTGCAGATGAACCCAGTGAGTGGGGGAAAGAGGGTGTGGTTGATGTAGCAGCAATTACAAAGAATACAAAGGTCTTCTACGGTCGCAGGCGCCAATTTCCTTGCTTGCTACTCCGTACTTACGCTGAGTTTGTTCTCTTCGTTCCATCCTAGTGTATGTTTGTTTCACCTGGCTTTTGGTGCTAGAGATGCATAATGACGGGCGTCTCAGTCTTTCAGAGTATGGCGGCCAAGGCAGCAGTAGGTACGGTACTAGGTAGCAGTGGTGGGACAATTTCCTCAATGTCTCTTTCATCTTATCTTCTGTTCACTGTCTTTTCTTACTCCGAGCTGCTATCTGTCTCGTAGTCCACATCGTTCGAGGAGAGAACATGGTCCGGATTATGTATGGCAGGAATCGGCTCGACGAGCCACATACCGAACCGTGATATCACCGCCTTTTACACAGCACTAAGAAGGCAGGCTGCAAGGTCTAGCTAGGTCTGGATGAGGCTGAGAGAGAGGATGGAGATGAATGGTCTGGATGTGACAGAGATAACGCACTGTACCTGTCCTTATAAACTCTCCCTCTTTTCTTTGCATATGCTCTATCCTACATAGATTATCCCTTTCGCCGACTGGCGCCTGATTCCTCAGACAACCTCAAGGCAACAATCCACTCCAACAGATATGACGATAGAAAGCTCGCCTCTCGTGGGGTTCCTCAGCAATCACGCCCCCCCTTAGCGTCATGCCCGACCGGATTTCCATTCATTGATCTGTGAACCAATCCATTGGGAAACAGACTATTGCCGAACAAGGCACGTCACATGCCAGCCGGCCTGCGAGCTTCCTCTTTTTTTTTTCTGCTGCTCTCACCGCCCGGTCGAGGAAACCGGCCGCGTTCGCCATCCTTCAAGGAAACAAGACACTATATAAATGAGCTGATCATCATACCATGGTGAGCTGGGCCATTCGTTGTGGGCCCTTGGATCCTCGCCTCTGACAACACGCCATGTATGAGAGGTTCTGTCCGCTGCTGCTGAATACCCGTGGCCATCGTCTGACTCCAGCAGACCGCCGCTCCTGTTGTTGTATCACCGCGAGTACTGAGTAACTCAATGCCACCCCCTCAATTGACCCTGTGCCCTGCTCCTCCTTCTCCGCCGTCCTCAGCAGCCGCAATATGGCCCCGAGGCATCCAGCCCGATGCTGGCGTGCCCTCCGCCGGAGCTGTTCGTCAGCTCCGCGGTTCTACTCCAGCCACCAAGCCTATAGTCCCCCGCCCTGGCGACCAGTCACCGCACTGGACGAGTATGTTATCTTCCTCTCGGTCGCATCACCTCCACCTGCGGGCTAACCTCATTTTCTGGCAGATGGGTTGAGCGCGACATCCGTCCCATCAGTTTACGACAGTTGACTTTCTTCGGGCGAACATTGACCGAATCCCGCCTCATCAGCTCGGCCAACTACGTGCGAACGGAGCTGCCTACTCGGTTAGTACTGTACATACCTTAGGTGTAGAATTAGCTTAAGCTTTCTGTTCGCGGGTGGATATCCGACTGACGCTCGCCTCGCGCCTCCCCCTAGACTCGCACACCGTCTCCGCGACATCCAACGACTACCGTATGTGGTGGTTGCGAACCCGCATCTTTCGCTGGTCTACGAGCTCTACTACAAAGCCTTTGAACGATTCCGGGCCATCCCGGAAATTAAGACCCTCGATGACAACGACCACTTCTGCGAGATCCTCCGCAAAACCCTGCAGGAGCATCTGGTGGTGATCCCGAAACTGGCCATGGGTGTTTTGGAATGTCGCGAGCTCGTGACGTCGGAGGTTTTGGATCATTTCATGAACACCCTTTTGAGAGCGGTAGGCACCCTGTCCCTGTCCCCAACGCCCACTCCCCGGACCAAAGCTAATGGCGTCGTCGGATAGAGAATCTCTCGTCGAGTCATTGCGGAGCAGCATCTGGCATTGACCGAAACCTTCAATTCGCCGTGGCACTTCCCCGGCTCGCAGGACCGCTCGGACCTCAACGCCGACTACGTTGGGGAGGTATTCCTCAAGTGCAATGCCAAGGAGGTGGTGGGGCGCTGCGGGAAGCTGGCGCAGGATATGATGCGGCAGACGTCGGGGTCGGATAAGATCCCTGAGATCACGGTGCAGGGGCATCTGGAAGCCACCTTCCCGTACATGCTCAGCCACCTGGAGTATATCATCGGCGAGCTGCTGCGCAACTCCATCCAGGCCGTGAGTGAGAAGTACCACGGGCGGCCGGAGAAGCCGCCGCCGATCGAGGTCCTCATCTGCGAGGCGCCGCAGCATGTGATTATGCGCGTCTCCGACCAAGGGGGCGGCATCCCGCGGGAGGTGCTGCCGTACCTGTGGTCGTTCAACAAGGGGCCCCACAGCAAGTCGCATCTGCGTAATCTGGGCAAGGTTCCGGCGATGGCAGCGACCCTGCAGGAGCTCAGCGTGCCGACGGAGCGGAAGCACGCCGACAAGGAGACGTTCCGGGAGAGCTCCCTGGACTCGTTGACCTCGCGGCGGCCGGATCTGCGGCTGGGGATCGGACTGCCGATGAGCCGGGTGTACGCGGAGTACTGGGCGGGGAGTCTGGAGCTGCACAGCCTGGAGGGGTATGGGGTGGATGCATTCCTCCAGATCTCGAAGCTGGGCAACCAGAACGAGCAGGTGACCACGCGAGCATCGATCGATGCGGTATGATCTGAGCGGGATGAGTATGATTTGTTGTTATTTGAGTCTGGTCTGGACTGCAGGGGGAGCCGTCATACAGTATAGGATACATAGTACAGTAAGTACATAGGACCGTAGAACTACTGCATGTTAACATTACAACTAGGCATAGGCATAGGCATAATTAAACAATGGAAAACAATCGAATCAAATTGATGTAAAGCATGTATTCATCACTGATCGAGTAAAGCATCAGCCACAACAGCCCCACCTACACCTCCAAACGTACCCCGGGAAATCCATCCACTAATCGACCGTCAAATCACACATGCAAAGTAAGTTACTGTACGGAGGACTCCGTACACAGTAAAGTAACCGCAATTCCAGTTCCGTCCCCATGACGTCAAACCCAGGGATGCTGTCCCTTGCCGGGGCGGCAGTCCATCAACATTCCAATCAACCCCAGTCAATCGTATACTCTCTCTATTTTCCACTTTATAAAGGGTGCAACGAGGACCACGATCATCCCGTCCCAGTGACGTCGGTGCTTGCCTTACGACAGGTCTAGCCAAATTGAACAACAAAAAAATGAAACGCATCAATTCCTCCCAGGACGACAACATCCCCGTCTATATATTCCTGCTCTTGATCCTAATCTTGGGGTTGAGTTTTCTGGGCACGTATCTCGAGTCGGTTACTACCAGCAATAGCGACAGCACCAGCAGTAATCCCAACAGCAACAGCAAACGAGTGAAATCGACCGTGCGCTTTCGGGCTTAGCCACAGTACACATACACTCGCCCAGCCTCTACTACCTCGTCCTTTACACGACACCCACCACAAACCCATACAACACAGCCAAAATGGCAGGAACATGCTCCATGCTCTGCCTCATCCTAATCACCATCTTCAGTACGCATCATTTCCCCCCCCCCCCCTCCCAAAAAAAACCCAACTCCCAAACTAACTTAACTCCTCTACCCAAAAAAGTCCCCCCGCTCGGCGTATTCCTCATCTCCGGCTGCAGCGCCGATTTCTTCATTAACCTGTTACTCACGCTTCTGGGGTGAGTTCACGACCCCCAAATCTCCATCTAGACAAGATCGCTAGCAAACAAATACTAAGACCCCAACAGCTACCTCCCCGGCCACATCCACGCCTTCTACCTGGAGTACGTTTACTACCGGAACTCCGATGCGGTGGCGCCCCGCCGCGCGCCGGGGGTGTATTCGGAGCGGATTCAGCGGGGGGCGGCGCATCATCATTCCCAGCAGCAGCAGGCGGGGTATGGGACTATTTAGTTTGCTGTTGGACTGGACGGGAGCGGTGGATGGTAGGGTAGCCTGGTCTGGTCTGTTGGATGTGGGTGTGGATGGGGATTATGAATCATGCATGATGTTTTTGTTTTATTCTTTGGGTGAATCACCCTGACGACCGATTGAGCCTTGAAGGATTGGACTTAGATTGATTTAGCGCTTGTCCTTATACTTCCTTATTGTTACTTGTGACGAAGCCAGAAGATGACCCAATGAATCCTTTATCTTTGAACTGAATACCTTAAAACCCACAACCCCATCAAAATCAAAACCCACACCAAACACCCCACCCCTAAACACCCCCCTTCTTCCCCTGCTGCTGCTGCTGCTGTTTCTGCTGCTGCGCAGCAGCTCCCACCTTCCTCAACGCCGGCAAATCAAACGCAGCACTAGCCCCAACACCCCCCTCCGTCCGGGGCACACTGCCCGACCCAGGACTCCACCACAGCGCGCCAACCCAAGGCTGCACATTCCAGCCCACGGCCAGCGTAACATTCTCCCGCTCGGCCATTCTCCCAGAAACATCCCCGATCTGGTACTTGGCCTTCTGGTCGCGCAGCTTCAGGATCCCCGGCTCCGCTTTGCCCTTCGCTTTTCCGGTAGTCTTCTTGCTGCTCGCCGTAGACTTGCGGCCTGCCTTGCTTTTGCTGTTACTCTTGCTCTTAGCAGCAGGTGCCAAGAACCGCTCCTTCAGCGCGTCCAACGAGTAAGCCGACTCCGGGGCGGAGATGATGGTGTCCCAGACGACGGCGTGGGAGACGGCCGACGAGGAGGCGTTGGTCGGGTCGGAGGGGTAGGCGGCGTAGACGTAGACGAAGAGTTGTTTGGTGTTCCAGTTGAAGAGAGGGGTTAGATCTTTCCGGGAGCGTCAAGTTAGCATGTGCGTCGCGGAGCGTCTGTCCACCGGACCCGAACATCTCCATCGAAGGGCAGGGGAGAACGGGACGCACCAGCATCCAGATCGAAGCGCAGCTGTGCGTACTCTTCCTTCCGCGTGGAGTAGTAATGCGGGCGACCTTTTGTTCTGCGATACAGAAGTTAGCTTCGCGGTCCGCGGATGTAGATAGCGGAAGAGCTGGCTAGCTCTAGCCTCGGGGCTTTTGGGCGCGGGCGACATACACCTTGACATCCCGCAGCTTGACCTGCGACGTGACTCCGTCCGTCGGATACAGCAGCACAGACAACGCGGCCAGCCCGGCGACGAAGAGCGCGACGGTGGTGAAGAAGCCGAAGACGGCTTGGGCGCGGTTGAGGGTGGAGTGCATTATCTCAGGGCGAGCATATGAGATGGGAAAATGAGGAACAGATCCCGAGAAGGGAGGGGGGAATCAACAATCCGAATGGGATTGCAGTGGTTGCCGCAGAGTAGATCACAAATGTTGTTGACAGTAAGTCAATGATGATGATGATGATGATGAAGCCACCTGGGCCTTTTCTCCACGGGAGAGTGTGGCTGGTGGGCAGGGACCGGGGCTGAATGGGGTTTAGTGCGGAGATTAGACTCGTGGCTTATCCTTATCGATAAGCCTGGTCCAGTTGAGCCTAGGCTAGTTATCTGTATAGTTAGAGCACCAGCTAGTTAGTTAGTCAATCAACCCCTCCTTCCGTTCCATCTTGCCCCCATTTTCACCTCTCCCTCAGCTTCCCACCACCCTCAATCCCAAGTACTAGAGAATATTCCGTCCCGGGGGAGAACCCCCGGACCCCCCTTCTTTTCAACTTCCTGGTAACACTCAATCCTAAGAACTAGATCTCCCGTCCCGGGGGAGAATCCCCGGACCCCCCTTCTTTTCAGCTTCCTTCCCACTGCAGCACCCTAATATCACCACCCAATTCCAGATCCGAAGGAGTATCTCCACCCCAACCCAAACAAACACTCTACCTTATCAGCTACACTGCACCACTCTACACCACATAAAGTACCCAGTACCCCCGCCTTACCTCCACCACCAATAACTACCACCAATACTACTATAACCACCACACCACTACCTACAAAACCAGAAGAAAATGGGCGACCACACCCTCTTCTTCTACGGTCCGTCCCCTTCCCGGCACACAGCCAACCCCCTCCCCCTCATCCCATTCCCTCCTCAAAACCCACGACACGACCCTCCAGCTAAGAAAAGAAAAAGGAACCCTCATGGCCCCCCAAATCCTGCACCGGGTCATCCACGGCCGTCCCGACCCCGACCCCTGGCAGAAAGCATACCTGACCATCCAGCCCGCCATCCTCCACCACTACCGGCGGCACCGGGTGCGGCACGCCGATTACCCGGGCATCGTGGCTGTGCCTACCCCCGTCCCGGGAAGTTCTCCAGGGGAAGCGAGTGGGGAGGACGCTGTCAGCAAGGAAGATTTGGCAGCAGACTCACTCCCCAGGCACGCGGTTCAAGCAGAAGCAGCAGAAGCAAGCTCGGCCTCCGTGCTGGGGACGTTGGTGACGGGGTTGACGGAGGGGGATGTGTATCGGTTGGATTTGTTTGAGGGGGATGAGTATACGAAAGTCAAAGTTAGGGTTCAAGTTATGCGGGAGGGGGAGGGTGGGGATGAGGAGGGCGTGCGGGTGGGACTGGAGACGGCTGCTGCCTCTGCTCCTGACGGCACAGAGACAGAAGAAGAGGTCGAGGCGCTGACGTACGTTTGGACCGCCGGGAGGGAGCGGTTGGAGGAGGCCGAGTGGGATTTCGAGGCCTTCAAGAGGGATAAGATGGCTTGGTGGGTCGAGGCGGATGAGCGGGATTGGTGATCACCTTTCATCAGACTAGACTTTAGACAATATAGAGACGTCGATCTAGGTCGGTGTCTTCATGTTCGAACCATAATCATAAGTCATATACACGCAAACACTCAAATAAAGCCTCCCCCCCTCCAAACCCCCACATCGCACACAAATGCAAGCAAGCTTGGTATCTGGTATCTATGCTACTGCTAAATGTATTCCACAATGTCCCGAACGCCAGTGAGATCGAAATGCAAGATCAAAACAACAAAAGGAAATTCCAGATATATGCTATTCGGCAACGTGCAGTTCATCGTTTCTTGGACGGACTGTCTTTGACAAGCAACGACTGCGAAGGTGTTCCGGGAACCTGGGTCTCAACAACCGTGTCTGGCACACCCCCACCGTCCTTGTTAGACGTCCTGCTATCAGACTCCGTGGCCGCGGCAGACAGATGAAGCGGTGTATACGTCTTGCTGACCTCCGACCTAACCTTGGCCGGCGACGGAACCGGGGTCAACGGCCTCGTGGTCTTCGACTTGGCCTTCAAGGATGCGGCCGGCTCTTGACTGTCCGGTACTTCGATGACTTCTTGATGAGCCGGGTGCGGAGCAGACGGCACTGTCTCGTCCTTTGTAGATGTCACCAGACGAACTTCGTCGGCCGCCTCCTGCTCTTCGTGATCCTTCACCCCAGCCGCCTCATCCTTATGTTCGCTGCCCTGAGCATTATCCTTTGAGGAGGCCGGAGCCACACGAGCTTTCGTCGGTGACTCTGGATCTGGCTGTGGCTCAGGCGCTCGGAACGGTGACTTCGAAGTCTGATTTCTGGCTTCTTTCACAGGCGACCCCAACAGATAACAGATCGGCGTGCGATCCGCCATGGTCTCCTTGGCACTAATTTCCTGTTTGCTCATCTGCTCCTGTTCATCATACAACGCATCGAGGAATTTGCGCAGTCGTTTGCGGAGATGTCCCGACTTGAGCGGTGGCCAGTCGCCGTCCTCCTTCTGGAGTATCTTCCGGATAAACGTGTCCGGGTCCTGCACGAATTTCTCCAAGTACGCCATGAGATACAACCCACAGTCGGAATAGTTGGGCTGCAGCGGAATCTTCTGAGCCGTGATACCTCGAATGGACTTCGCGTTGATCTCGACGCCTTTCTTGGACTTCGCCTCCTCGTACAGGTACTCGCGCAGGATCCGGGAGGTAGGACTGCGGGTAATGCCTAGCGAGTCGAAGGTGATGATGGTAGGCTGGGTGACGTCGACTTTGCTCGTCCGCTTCGTCGCCTGTTTTCGCGGTGCCTTGGCAGAATCCGAGGTCTTAACGGCGTCCTGCAAACAAGCTGTCTGCGACGACGGCTGCTCCGCCTGAGCTTGGGAGAAGGCTGGCACAGGAATAGAGGAAACCTCCTCGCGGTCGGGCCACTCCTCCGCCGGCGTCCCCTCCCTGGAAGCATTCTTGAGAGGCTCATCGGCTAAGCTCATTGAAGCCAACGAATGGCGTGTCTGTTCTTCCTTCGCAGGCTCTGCATCGCGAGCTGTCGAAGCCTTTTCTTCAGTGCGAGGAGCCTCAGGCGGAGGGGTTTCCGGTATCTCTTGGACCTGACTGTCCAACCGAGCCGACGACTGCACCTGGCTGGACAGTGGCTCATCGAAAACCTGCGGCTCGGCAAGGTCCTGCAGTTTCGGTAAATTGCATATGATGGCAACATACCAATGTGCATGTTCGTTGATGGGCACGACGACGAAATCGTGGTTGAAGATGTCAACGTTCCTGGTCCATTTCTGCACGCCGTCGTAGTTGATGCCTTTCTTCCCCCGCGGCACATTCATGAGAGTGTCGTAGAAAAAGGAATTGAAGAAATATACTCTCTTGGCCACCTCTTCATTCGTCCGACTGAGGTGTTCCTGCAGAAAGCGGATGTAGAACTCGATGAGATTGTCGTTCAGGAACTCATCGTTTTTGCGGAGTCGGTCACGGTCTTGCATGTTGACCTCGGCCTTTTTCTTCCCGAATCGTGGGTAAACAAGGGGTCTAATGAGGAGTCAGAATCACCTCGTGGCGACAGCAGAAGATCACATACTTATGCCACTTTTTCACAGGCCCATCAGAATGCGACTGGGTTGACTGGTCCGCTTCGTCCTCGTCATCACTACAGCTAGTCAGTGGACCGCTTGCCTAAACAACAGGGACGGAGTAAGGCTCACCTCAGGATAGTGGTCGATGGAAGGTGACGTAACATGGCTCTAGTCTGGCGATTTGACGTTGAAAGTGTAGGAGAAGTATAGGTCGTTATGGGGATCTGCACACTCAAGGCGAAGGATAGCTTGGATGCACGAGGACTGACATCCGGTGAAGACGGGGAGGACTTGGCTGCAGAATTGGAGGGGGCGGGAAGCTCCCGCGGGGCGGTGACTGTGGGGTTTCCTCTTTCGTCTTGCAGGGAGTCTGAGAGTCGCATTCTTTTGACCGGCGACGCAGGCTTCTCAGTGCTTTTCTGCGGACCTGCAGGCAACGGTCTTTTGAGTCCATTAGGGTGTTGTTTTAGTTCCTTATCGTGAGTGCGAAAAAGCTTCTCCATCCACTCCCTTAATGCAGTTAGCATTGTGCGTAGGGCCCAACCGAGGGGTGACAATATACATACTCTTCCTGCAGCAACGGCTCGATATTCCAACCCCTTAGGCCAGCGGAGAATCGTTCTTTCTCTTCGGCTGAAGATAGCTCCAGGTCTAACTTCTGATCGAGCCCTTCCATCTTAGACAATGAGAGTCTGATCTTGCCACTCGGAGGAAGCCCCCCTGTAGCCTTGGTGACTTTACTCAAAGGTAGCTCAAAGCATTCTGCCGGGTCATTTTGGTTATGCAACAAGATAGCCCCTCGCTCCAGGTCCAAGAGAAGCTCAACACCCTTTTTTTGATCAGCATGCTGCTCGATAGGCCCAAAGCGGGCATAAACAACCCCAAAGGACTTTGAGTTGGAGGCTACTTTGTTAGTAGTGCGTTTCTGCTTCTTCCCCTTCAATCCGCGCTTAGTTTTGGAAGGAGTAAAGACGGTGTGTTGGATATCGGCCGGTGACGATTGTCGGTGCTCTTTCCCCAGGGCTACCTGGTTTTCATTCTCGCCCTTTCCCGTAACTTTCTTACCCCGGCGCACCTCGACTGTGACTTGCAACTCGTCGTCACTGCCCTGTGACTCATATTGGCCTCTTGACCTCGTAGGCGAAGCCAGGCCGTTTCGACCGGGTGAACGAGCCAGTGCACTTTTACCAGGATTGCGATTCTGTGATGGTGAAACCTCCAGACCCCGGAACACCTCATGCTTGGGCGCACGCTTCGAGCCGTCGGCCATGGAGAGGCCGCCATCATCCGAGGAAGCTCGACAACGCCTCTCCGCCGCGGCATTCTCCGTAAAGCGTTCCTCGCGGGCATCGTGGGGCCGAGTCAGGGCGGGATGTTTCTTGCCGTGCTTAGCATTCCCTTTCCTGTGCTGCTGCGGGGGTTTGACGTTCTCCTCGACACCGCGAAACTCTTTCAGGGTAAATAAGTTATTCCGCGTCTTCCTCAACTTGGCTGATCGCTGGCTCGAGGTGGGAGACATACGTGACGGGTGTGGGGTAGTGGGAGATGTGTCCAGCGCGGGGTGCGCATCGGTCTCCTTGTCGACGAGGCTGAGAATGCTTCCAGACCGTGACGGCTCCGGGCCGGCGCGATGACGGGGTCGTTTGGTCGGCCTTTCATATGGATGAGCATCGTGGGGACGGGCTTCCTTCTTGCTGGCACGGACTGGTCCACTTTGTCGGGCATTCCCTGAAATCCGATCCACGATCGTGAAAGGGGAACCCTTCACGTCCGAGGGAACACCAAAGTCAGCAGAGTGAAATCAACGATGCGACCCATACCGTCAAGGAGAAGCAAACTCACCCCTATCTTTTTTCTCTTCGTCATAGTTTGTCCGGGGATTATGGGCACTCCATTGGGATCATCTGATCTAGATGGCAAGCATGTATAAGCCCTATACCAATCCACACATTGACCATCGAGCCTGCGCGTACCGTGAGTTGCCGGGGAAGAGTCTTAGTTCGTCTGGTAAAGTTGCTTGGTTGTTGTGGTGGGGACGAATGGGCTTGTCATCGGGTCTGGATGTATCTTGCGACATTAGCCAGTTGTTCCGCATGTGCGGATATACCGAGAACATGTGGGCTGCTGCTTGTACTTACGAACGAACCATCCTCCCCGGAAAAGTAAAAAAAAAAAACAAAAAAAAAAACCGGGTCTTTGGTTGCTATAAATGCAAAACGCACGGTCGAAGCCTTCCCAAGACTCAAGCCCCGCAGAAAAAATCACAATGATGCAACGGACGTCTTAGTCCGTCAATTGGAGCGGAAAGTCGCATCGGATAGCGGAGGGCAGATTGGAGGCAGACCGAAAAGAACAGCACCGGATACGAGGTTCGGCTGTCAGTGGGCAAGGCGGCGGGGGATTAAATAAAACTGAGATTTCAAAGTAGCAAGACACCTTCCCAGCGATGGTCATTGCACGACCGAGAGGTTACAAAGAGCTTTCATAACTCTGTTTTTAAAACTGCAGCAGCAGCAGGACGAAGAGGGGAGTTTGAATTGACTGACAAGAAATGCATCATAATGGGGGAAGGAAAGGCGGTGGGGGGGAGGGAGGGAGTTTCTGCCCACCGACCGCTTTGTGGAACTGCGAAACTGGGGCACCGTTTCTTTTCTTTTTTTTTTTTTTTTTTTTTTTTTTTTTTTTTTTTTTTTTTTTCTTTTGTTCCTTAATTAATCTTCTTTCCTCGCTTTATCTCCCCTACTATCCACTCCCGCCGGAAGGATGCAGCACTGCATTACTGCACCACAGGGCACGGAGCCACTGGCAGTCTGGCACTAATACTATCAACATTAACCCGGTCATCCTGTCGTGCACTAATAACTTAGTTGAATGCATCTTCACTGCGCTAGCCTGAGCTCCCAGTTACTTCCTATCTATCTATACAAAGAATGCATCTCAGCCCTAAGTTTCATGTTTCGGCTTTGGAGGCTATAATAATAATAAATTGTCCAACTATCCCTAAGAATAGTATACAGAACCAACAAACCTACCAAACCCTCAATCTGACAGCTCACATCCACGTACTTAGACTTAGTACTTACTCCGTAGCTCTGCCACTAACCCTAAACCGCTTGGATGCATGCATCCATAGCTTTTTTTTGGGGAGATCTATCTTATCGCAGATCTTGACCGAATTTACTGGACTAAGATCCGCTCCATAAATCGAACCAGTAGCGAGAAGTAGTTAAGGCATCGGATATATGATGAATTGGGGTTTCAATGGACCGGTCCGTATCTTCTTAATTCGTTATGGCTCTGGCTTGAAAGGAGCGCCGAGGAAATTCTCCGCGACGAAGAGTTGGCCGACGCTGCAGAGGAGCAAGCAGGATATAGTACAGGGATTCCCCAAAATGTTGATCTCATAGCGTCATAGCCTGCAGGGCCTAATTAAGTCTGGTGTAAATACTTCAATCTATTCGTACGGGAGACTCAAATCATCAGTAATACCAGTAGTTACTAACGCATATCTTCATCCCATCACATTTGAACAACCATATCCCACAGCCCACAACCCACAAACCCAAATCCCAGATCATAACATCAGATGGCATAGCATAGCGTAGCATCTCGCATGACATTCGAAACTAGTGAGAATAGAAGAGAAACAATGCGACACGAACACCCTCCGGACAATAAAAAGGTAAGATAGAAAATCAGATCAGACGCAATGTTCGCCCCAAATGCCCCCGATCCCAATTCGTCCCAATGAGTTTTGCGTGGAAAGAAAAAAAAGGTTTCCTTTTTTTACTATACAGGACCCATATGACCCAGGCTGGCTGAAAAGAGAGAAAAGAGAAAAGAGAGAGAAGAATAAAGCATGGCGATCAAGACAAAGCCGCCTTGCTCTTGTAGTCGGACTCCTCGCTAGCCGTCGTCGGGGCTCGTCGTCGATCTCCACCCAGCTGCTGGTGCTGCTGCTGATGGTGGTGTTGTTGTTGGGTGTTGTTGTGGTTATTGTGGTGGTGGTGATGGTGGTGCCCGGTGCTACCAGCGGCCTTATCCTGGCGAGCCTGATCGATCGCCGAGCGTTGAGCGATGCTGTCGTCGTGACTCTTCCAGACGATGTTGGTGTCGGTGGGGAAGTTGAGTAGACGCTTGATGGTTTCGCTGCAGTCGATCGAGTCAGTCGAAGAATCTTGGGAATTTCAGAACGAACATACCGAATCTTGATATTCCGTCCCCCATCGATCCGAGTCCACACATTCAGCACATCCTCCCCACTGCGCACACTCAAGACAGCTCCGCACACCTCATCACCCGCTTCCGCAAACTGATCTCCAACCATAGCCAGAAGCAGATCCTCCCAATACCGGTCCGCCACGCCTTTCTTCAACCGGACCACCCACTTGCCACCCTTCTTGTTGGCATCGTCCTCCCAGACGGGACGGATGCCCTTCTTGAAGATGTGGTAATCGGAGACGGTAGGAAGGAGCGACGGTCTCTTGAGGTGCGAGTAGACCGACCAGAAGCTCTCCACCGAGGATATCGCTGCGAGGGGGACGGTGGACTTTTCGTAATCGGAGTACTTAGGTGTCGGCGGGCGGTACCAAATGATCCATGTGGACTTGAGCGGATGTTCTTTGATCGCGAATGCGGCCTTGGCTTTGACGCTTTCCGCCGCCAGTTCCTGGTCGACAGGGTTTTCCCGTTTCTCGAACCCAGGAGTCTTGACGTCGGAAGCTCCGGGAGTCTTGGGGGCTCCGAATGACGCGAAGGCACCAGAGCCCAGGCCGAACGCAGAGGAGGCGTTTGTCGACGGGGAAGAGACGCCGCCAGATAGAGGCGACAGGGCGTTGAAAGGGTTGGATCGACCACCGTGAGAGCTATCTGGGCCAAACCGTTTCGAGGCGCGGGGAAGTTCAACTCTAGCGCCGTCCGACCCTGTCATCGACAGAGACAACTTGGAAGCGCTGCATGAGAACAATGAGTTAGTTCCAATCCAATTTATCTCGACCTCGCCAAGCGGCCGAGGTATATCACTAAGCGCGAAGTCGGGACATACTTAGATCTGCGGGTCCAGAGGTTTGCGTTATCCATGGATGTACTAGCTACTGAGACAGCTCAGAAAAAAACGAGCGGTCACCGGCGGAGGAAGACAGGATCGGGCGGGGTGACGAAATAGTACAGAAGAATAGGAACCCGAGAACACGAAGAGGAGGATCGGACAATGAGGCCAGTATCGACGGAGAAGGGTGTAGGCAGGGTTTAGAAATTAGGTTCAATTAGGTTCAAACTGGGGCGAACGGAGCGGCAAGAGGGGAAGAACTTCGGTCCAAACGAGAGAAGAGGAAGAGAAGTCAAGGAAGAATAATCGTGATCGTGATCGTGATCGTGAACGTGACGAATGGGAGAATGCGGGGGGTGAGGGATGTGATCTGTAGGATTTAGTCTGTTGTATGGGGAGAAGGAAGATCGGAGGCGAGGGGTGGGAGGAATGGTGTGGGAAGATCGGAGAAGTGGAAGTGGAAGTGGAAGTGGTGGTGGTGATGGTGGTGGTAGTGGTGGTGGTGGAAGTTGGAAGTGGAAGTGGAGTGGAAGAAATGCGGAATTGGGAATTAAACCTGCTGGAGAGGAAGAGAGAGAGAGAGAGAGAGAGAGCAAAGGCAGAAAGAGAGTGAACCTGTGAAGAACCAGAACGGAAGAGAACACCGACTGGAACCCAAGTCAGTTTTCTGCCGTCAAGCTTCTTCCTCTTCCTCCTAACCAATCAACTCTCTGCCCCGCTGCTTTTCCGCCTCCGTGGTTTTTCCAGCTCCGTCCCTTCTTTCCGTCCATATAAAATCCTCGACTTCTTCCCGCTCTTCTTCTTTCTTTTTTTTTTTCCATAACAAACCCAAGACCACCAACTCAAATCATCGCTGGTTGCACAATTGTTTGATTCTGTCGAATTTATCTACTGCACTGGCGACTCCGATGAGTGTGTCGAGAACGAGCATCAAGACCCCGCATCTAAAACCATCATCACGAGGGCTCTTCTCAGGGCTCCATGATGCGGTGATGACCTGATTGACGGGACATTCCTTTTACTTTGTTCAAGTCCGGACTGGAACTGTGGTGGATTCGGTAGTATTCGTAGTCCACTCCGCTCTATAATGCAAGAGCATCGTAGTTTTTCGAGGATCCGGTGCGTCAGTCACTTTTCCTTCTGCTCTCAGACCTTAGGGTATCTCCCATGATGAAGCTCTTATATCACATACTCTGGTAATCCGAGGTGCTCAACCGCGCGAACTGGCCTGCCATGGCCATGCGCTGGTAGAGTGTGAGGTGAAAAGGCATTTCTGATTGTCGTAATCATCCGTCCCGAGCAATGGTTGACGCTTGCAGCAAAGTCATGCGGTCGCTTGGTTACTGACGAGCCCGATCATAGTGACCCTCTAAGCATGGGTGGGAGCCGACTGTTTGATGCCTCGCACTCTACAACAATCTACAACGCTTTGATCTATGTATTAACTCGACCAGTACTCTGCCATCGAATTTGGGATACTTGGTTGAATATTTTCTATAAATGAAACAATGAAATTCGCAGGGGGAATCGAGCAGCAACCGGAGATGACTGAACGAACACAAAACTAGAACGCCTCCCCCCCCCCCAATCCCCTGGAAGAATCGATAACAAATGCATGCACGCAGTGTGGTCCAATCGTGTCGCACAAATATGATAAAAGAAATAATAAATGCTACCTTGGGATTATTGGACGAGTCAACTGGCCCAACCTCTGAATCGTGAGTAGGCCTGGAAATTTGAAGGACATTCATAAGTACAAGAATATCGAAGTCATGTCATCAGCAAAGGGTCAAAGTACTTCGTAGCTACCCGGACCCAGCAAATCGTTAACTAGATGCAGCAACCTAGTACTGGGCATGCTGTGCGGAGTCTGACTGACGTTCGGAGCCAGCCTTGATGCGCTTGGCGTCCCTGTCACTTTGAGGTGCCAGAGGAGCCACCTTGCGCTTCTCTTTATCCCTCTGGTACTCTGCACGGCGTTCTTTGTCCTTCTCTCTGCGGAGGGCCTTAGACTCAAACTCGTGCCAATCACCCTCAATGTTCTCGAGCCTAGAGACTATCAGTTAGGTTTCAATATTCAATAAAGCCAAGGCACGAAGACCTACTCGATAGCTTGCTGAGGCCGTGGCTCCTCCGAGGTGAAGTATGGGTGCGCCAATATCTGACCAGTGGTTGGTCGTTTCACAGGATCATATTGGAAGACCTGAGATATAAGATCGAGAGCTGCTGGCGAGAGGACTTCACCGTAGACCTCCTCGAAAATCCTCTTCTTCCGCTCCGTGGGGCGCATTAGCTCGAACCAAGGCATCTCAATCAAATCTGGCCATTCGGCGCGGTTCGGGGTGCCAAGGCAGTTGTAGAGCTTGTCGAGTTGACTTATCTCTCCTCCTTCACCCGGGAAAACAGCCTTCTTCGTGAACATTTCAACATATACGCAAGCCGCACTCCAGACATCAACAGCTGGGCCGTACCGAGTCTCGCCAAGTAGAAGCTCCGGTGGTCGGTACCAGATGGTGATGACACGGTTTGTATAATCTAGCTGGCGACTTTTGGAGAAGAACCGTGCTAGACCGAAATCGGCATACTTCAGCTGCCCTCTGTTGCTGATCAAAATGTTGGCAGCCTTGATATCACGATGCATGACACCTCGGTGGTGGAGGTAATCTAAGCCTTCAAACATCTGCTTTGCCAGGTCTTTCTTGTGGGCTTCAGTTAGAGTGAAGGTCGGGTGGTTAATCAAACCAGTCAAGTCGTGCGAGAGATACTCAAACACCATGAAACACTCATTTCTCTCCACCATGACTTCTAATAAGCTGACGACGTTGTGATTGCGAAGATGTTGAAGCAGCTTGATTTCTCGAACGGCGGTCACCGGGAAGCCATCCTTCTCACCCTCCATTCTGATCTTTTTGAGCGCGACTTTACGCTGGGTATAGACATGAATTGCCTTGAAAACCTTGCCGTAAGTGCCTGCACCAATGACTGATTCATTGCCTGGTTTTCGGTAGTATACAGAATCTGAGTTTGCGAATTCCTCAGAAAGAGCGGGGCGTGGTTTTATGCGGGTCATAATCTTGATTTGCTTTCTCGGCTCCGGAGAGTGCTCGGGACGACGATCAGGACGGAAATCCTGTCTCCGATCTCCTCGAGGTCTTTCCGTGCGAGGAGAGTCGAATCGGCGGTCGTCCCGTCTACCCTCACGCATACTTCGGGGCTCTCGGGGCCCACGAGGTTCTCGCGTGTCGCGATAACTGCGGGAATCCCGGAAGTCTCTTCTGTCATTTCGTGCACGCTCTCGCTCACGCTCACGCCGGTCACGTTCGCGTTCGCGGTCACGCTCGCGGTCGCGGTCGCGGTCGCGGCGATCAAAGCGAGGTTCAGATTTGAACTTCGGCGGTGGGCCAACCGGCATCCTATTGCGTGAAGGTGGCTCGGCGGCACGCTGAGGTGGCTCTCGAGCTAGCATTCTCTGGGCTAGGTCGGGAACCGGCTTGGGGGCTGGGGCAGGAGCAGTTTTGGCCTTGAAGGCGAAACTTATTTTGCCTCCCTTATTTGGAGTAGCAGAAGCAGCAGATGGTTTCATACCAGGGGGCGGATTTCTTTGAGAATCACCATCACCATGGTCAGGATCTGCTCTAGACCTCTCGATATCTGCTCGTGATTCCTGTCGTGAACGTCCATATTGATCACCATCGTCGTTGGCACCTGATCTTGCCCGATCACCTGCTGGCGGGGGTGAGGGACTACGCGACGGCCCATACAGTTCGTTAGGGTTTGACGGGTCCCCTTGACCCCGCGAACCCGGTGTATTCCAGTGGGACTTGTTGAAATTACCTCTTTCCCGAGGAGAAAACCCACTCATGTTGGTTTGATGATTACCCCGATATATCAAGTTCCCATCGCGAAAAGTTGGGCCTGAGGATGGTGATGGACCACGACTGTGTGAAGAATGGTGGGGTTGCTGGTACTGATTCTGCGAATCTCCCGTGGGGTAATTATCTTGTCGTTGCGGTGGAGAGCGGCTGGGTAGATACCGGGGTTAGATTTGCATTGTAGAGGATACGATTCAAAGATCGACTTACCCATGTGGATTCTGGTACGATGACTGTTGTCCGGTCCACTCGCTCCGGTCCTTCGAGTAAGGAGATGTGGACTCAGCATGGGGTTTGGGAGACGCCGCATGATATGATGATCTTGAGGCATGGGATTCACCTGCTGATGGCCGGAAATTTCTCGAATGCTGGTCATTAGAAGCATCAGACACACGTCTTTCCCGAGTTGAACTGTGCGTGGCATCTCCCTTAGACGACCCCCCGGCGGTATGAACATCAAAAATTGACGGCTCTCGGCGAGGAGAGGAAGATTTGTGCGAATCGCCTCCCGAAGGTCGAGTCGGTCTCGTCGAATCCATCATAGGCTCACCTATTGAGTTCCGACGTGAGTCTCTGGAGTATCTCGAAGCCACAGATTGAGCAGAATGACGGGATGCTGAGCGGTAGCGGCGTCCGTCCTGGTGCTCGTCTTCGAAGGACGGGCTATGTGGGCGTCGAGGAGGATGTGAGTATGGCTTTCCTCCGCGGACTGGCGACCTCGAGCGCCTCGAGAGTGGGGACACAGGGCGGCCTCCCCCGGCTTTGCGGCGTTCCCTTCCTCGTCGTGACCCGGGAGAAGGCCTCCGGCCACCTCTACCGCGTCCTGAAAAACGGCCTCGCCTGTTCGGTGGATATCCACGGTCCGGCTCGTCGTTGGGGTTGAAGGAAGGTCGACGATGTCCTGGCCGGTTGGAGTGTGAATGAAACCCCCCAGGAGACGGGCTCCGTGTTCTCTTACGTTTCGAGGGTGGTGGTGCAGATGGAGAGTCGTTTCGTCGAAGGTCTTTGCCGACAGGTCTATCCGTATCTACCGACCGGTGCGCCTGCGAGTCAGGACGATTCGCAGGGTTGGGTGAGCGATGACGATCTGACTTTTGGCAAGGGTAAGCGTCAGGGGGGGGAAGACCGGATGAGCCACGGCGAGAGATAGGAGGTGAAAA